AAAAATTATACAATTAACCAGCCTGTAAACAATCTCCCCCCCCCATTTTTATGACTGTGGAAACTAATATGTTATTGTACATTTTCCCCATTTTCGATGGGAATTCAGGGTATTTCAGAAACTACTAAAGATATAATAAATCTGACGCGACGTTCTCGAGCTCGATTTTCATGACAAACTCGACTGTCAGAAATTTGCTATTTTCATTTGTTTCTGAGTTACAGGGCGTTTCTCGTTATTGTCACATTTTTGAACATGTCTGTATCTCTTCTACCTTGGCGTAGAATTGAAAGCCGGTATTAGATTTTTAGTAGATCTTAAGATTTCGGAGTGACCCAAAGTTATAATTTTTTAAATGGAAATCGTAGGTGCCCATGGTCCAAAAAGATAGAGATCTTTTTTGCTTTTTAGCAATATATCACATACTATAGTTATTTTTACAAACACAGGAGATAAGGGGTGTTTTATATATAAATTATATATGTTTTTCCTTTTTAATATGGCTGGCTATGAAAATACATATAAAACTATAATTCCTACTTTTACAAAACTCAAATCTGATCTGAAATTTTAGGAGATAGGTGGACAACAACAAACGTACCGATCAGATGGCCATCTAGGTTACATGATTTGAGTCCGTTGGACTCTTTCCTTTGGGGTTTTCTAAAAGATATTATATTTAAAATTCCTTTTACTGTATCGAGGGACTTAAAAAATTATTTTAATAATATTTCTAATAGATATACATTTAATGAATGCTACCCGAAGCTTTGCCAGAAGATGCGGGAAATATGCGACAGTTGACGGACGGCAATTTGAACATTTAGATGATAATGTAGGTACTTGCTATTGTTTAATTTACGTTTAATATTGTAACTTGAGTTGAAGTGGAATAAAAATTTGAAAACGCTCGTCTTTTCTTATCTGTAATATATATTTTAAATAAACTTCATATTTCTACAACAGATATTAGTTTTTTAAAAGTAAGAATTATAGTTTTGTATGTATTTTCATAGCCAGCCATTTTAAAATGTAAAAAAGGATCGAATTTATATATAAAACACATTTTTTTAGGTCATAGACGATTTCAAATTTAAAAAAATATAACTTTGGGTCATAACTCTGGAATCTTAAGACCTACTAAAAATCTAATACCGACATTCAATTCTACGCCGAAGAATTAGTCTTGAGCAGTTTTCTCTTTAACTCTACCTTATTTAACAGCTGAGATACAGACAAATTCAAAAGTGTCACTATAACGAGAAACGTCCTGTAACTCAGAAACAAATGAAGATAGCAAATTTCTGATTTGACAATTGAGTTTGCCATGAAAATTCAGCTCGAGAACGTCGTGTCAGATTTATCATATCTTTAGAAGTTTCTGAAATACCCTGAAATCCCACAGAAAATGGACCAGCCTGTACATAATATTTAACATCTATAGTGATAAATTCAGCTTGCCAGAACAAAAAGTCGCGAAATGCTCTCATTATATACAAGTGTTGGATAATAAAGAGTATTTTGCAGCCAGATGACAAAAAAGAATCAGTGTCAACTGAGGTTTTAACGAAAATGTCGACTTTTGATGAAGGTTCTCGAAAAAAAAAAAATTTATTGACAAGTAAAGTTAGGTACCAACTTTTAGAATAAAAATCAATCAAAATAGAGCGGTACTTAACAAAATCTAGAAAGTTAGTTATTTACGAATAATTTTTGATTTCATTCATAGAAAAATTACCTACCTACCAAGATAAGAAAGACATTTAATTTATTTCACGTCGATGTATAAACTTCTATCAGGTTCTCTAAACTGTCTATTACGCTTAGAGGGTCTGCTAAAACTGTCAAATTGTAGAATGTAATCGAAATGTCGGTACCGCTGATTAAAAATTAGGTAATTAAAAATCCCCAAAATTACCCAATAAATTAGAACCCGATTTATTAAAGCCAAGACAAAAAAATCAATGCCCAAATTCATTTCGTTATTTCCGACCATCCAAACTCCCCAACTCCTAAAAAACTTCATACATATACAGAAACGAACGGATCGGATATAATCAAAACAGAAGTGGAAGAGTTGGGTATAATCAAAAAAGTTAATTGGATGTGACGTGCGAGACCGCAAAGTAATCAGATACGAAGTAGTCGGGGCCCAGTAATAGACATTGATTATTAGTTAGCATGCATTAAATAAGTACCTTGTAATTACAAAGCAATTCCAAACAATTTGCAACTAGAGCCTTTTACAGTACGGACAAAGTAATATGCGTCATAATAATTCCGGCATAACATTTCCAATGAATTTTGGGGAACAGAGAACTAATTTTCATGTAAAATAATTCTTGGGCTAGCACAAGGAATTTATTTTTTGTTACAACGTCTATAAAGTTTTTAGAGAATGAACTGCTGTACATACAGGTGTCAAGCTCCTATACTAATAACTTTTTAATCAACTTATAATAACTAGAAAATGTTAACTCATGCTGTACCTGCATAGTGACGGAAGTCGTTTCTAAAAAAATAAAATTATAAAACCGCCGAAATTCTAATAAATTAACTGTTCTCTGTAAAAGCTTCTTGACAAAACGGAAGAATATTATCTAAATGGAACCAAATGGGCAATTATGTAGAATACCAGTAAAAGAAAACATTTTAGGGTTATCAAAATTAATTAGAGCCATTGTTTTATCTAAATAACGGCTATGCCCTTTCATTTACAACTGATAAAAAACACGGGGTCTAAGCAATTAAACCGTAACTTATCTAATCTAAGTACCCATTGAAATTTAAAAAAAGCGTAACGGTACTTACAAAGTAATTTTAAAAAGTCAAGAGGAATGTAGAGCCAGTCTTCAAAATAGGGAATCTGCAATAAAAAAAGTCCAATGAATGTAATTTATAGAATGTCGCTTAAGCTAGATGATCATCTCGCAAGAATTTCCGCGTGTATTTTTACGACTCCCGGTCGAGGAATGAAATTTATGGTCCACATAAATCGTTTATTAACAATACAGGATACCATTAAAATCTTCGGAAAGGCGTAAGGAGATACGAAATCGATATTTTTAATAAAATTCGTCGGGCCACCACAATATATCAAAATTGTGGACCAGATGTATATTCCAAACATTGTTCTTGTATACGCCCAAGATTTTCGATGTCCTACTTAAAATTTTCAATGAAAATTGACTCGGATTCAATGGAAAGTGTTTCAGGTGAATAGTACTTACGGGTAGAATCCTTCATATATCACAATAAATAATCCTAGTGGGCAGGGGGATGAGAAGTCGTCGAAAAAAGTAAAGAACAACCATGAACACTTTGCATAGCCTACTTGATGTAGACAAAGAAACATTACATTTTTCCACCACGCTTTTTTCACACATACACTTCACAGAGTACGGTATTTGTGCACTTATCACTTACATCGACTGTCTTTTGGTGCATTTATGACAATTCTGGACGCCGGTCGTCTCAATCTGTTTACTTATATTGATAAATATTCTGATAACGTCCGCGATAGCAACGGGTAACATCACGACGCCATTTTGTATATTTTCGTGCAGTGCCGGTAACCTAGCGACTGCCAGCGAACTAGTTGCCCGGCACTACCAACATTACAAGCTGAAACTTACCAAATTTTCAAATGTCAAGTCAAATTCTTCAATTTTTCATGCAAAATGTATCCTTTATGAAGATTTAGTAACTGTTTACGGTTATTGTAAGTATATTACGTAAAATCTGCAAAAATTCTTCAGTAAATCAGTTGAACAGACTCGGGAAAAGTAAGAACAATTTGTTTATTGTAAAATCAATATTTTATTGTAAAATTCAATATGATACAGGGAAAATTTATATGGAATATTCTTGCAAAAAACGTTTTTCTGCAGGGCTCTCCCTCACCATCACTATAAAAGACGGCGTTCCCCCTCTGATGATGTAACTGAAAATAATTATTTATTAACAAATTGCTTCACACGATCACATGTTGCGTTATGTAACGTCGCGTTTTGTTATTGCAAATCGTACTTACTCTCTGGTTTTGAGGGCATCGCTTAACGTTTTATTCACGTCTATACTGATAATTTTCTTCCTCGGAGTTTCGAAATAAATATTTATGTTTCCTGGAATGTATTTCTTGTCTTCGTCCCAATCAGGAAAACTCTCAAACACCAAAGCAAGGTGTTCCGAAAACCTGAAATATTCTCGTTAATCAAATGAATCAGAAAAAAAACTGACTAATTACGTTTGCTTTTCGCTAAATTGCTGTATGTAGTCCATGATTTTGTATTCTGGATATACAAATACAACAGGCCATACGAGAGTGGAAGAGGGGTCTAAAAATACTCTGTTATGCATCAGTTCGGGGAAGCAAGGTTCCAACTTTTCTATAGATATGTGCGCTGAAAAAAAAATTATACGTTTGGTAATTTCCCGGTTAACTAAACATTAAAGAATTACCTTTGGTTCTCCCTTCGATGTTATACCCTCTGTTAATTATCTCTTTTATTATGTCCTCCTCCTCCTTAGCTTTCCTTTTGGCTGCGGCTTCATTCTTTCTATCGTCCCTTTCCTTCAATTTAGCGGCATTTATGCTGTTCTGCCTCAATTCTAATATTTCTTTATTATCTTTTTGTTTCTCTAGTATTTTATCGCAGTAGTCTACTGCTTTTATATACTGTTTCAAGTGGAAGCAACAATTTGCTGCTCGACTTAAAGCTTTGTCATAATCTGGATTAATTTTTAAAGCCGATTCGCAGTCCATTAAAGAAGACCTGAAAATCCAGGATTGAATTTTTGGTTAATCGGAAAGTTATTTTGAGCGTAGTCACCTATAATTTTTAAGGAAGTAATGTGAAGCTGCCCTGTTATTGAATAGCGTCGCTTCGATTTCTGGCTTCCCGCATTTAACCTTGATAGCTTCCGTGTACGCCACGACAGCCAATCGGTAGTTTTTATGCTTGAAATTGAAATTACCGTCTTCCTTATAACTTGTCGCCAGTTCTAAAATCATCGCGTAAAACAAGAAACAATGAAAACGGATAATTCTTACCTTCGGGTTCATTTTCGTCTGGGTCGTATTTTAATTGTTGTAGACCCTCGTACAAGGGATGCAGTTCCTGGCCAGGTTTGGGCGCTTGGGTCATGAAAAAAGGGTGCTTTTCCATTTCCTAAAAAAATTGTTTTGATATAGTCACACGGGAGAAAATAACACTGAGTTTAATCTCACTTCTTCCCATCGATCTTCGGGCCACCCTTCATCATATTTCCTTCTCGGAAGCTTTTCTATGAATTCGTCCAACTCCCTGTCTAGTTTATCTGCTAGTTCAAGACGCTCTTCATGTGTCATGGGTTTTTTAACGGGTTTTTCTTCATTTTCCATTTTAATAAATTATTTGCACTACTTTGTATATATAAATTTCCGCTGGTGGTTTATTTGTATGAAGTGAAATTGTATGGAAATATTTCCAATGTCACTTTATTTAACACCTATTAACACCTTAAAAAATAGATATTCTTTACTTTATATGTCGATAGTTTTCTAACCTAACTTTATCAGTAAACAATATGGTCATATGATGGGGTGGGGTAGTAGTTCTATTGCTTCAAATGACGTGTGAAGTTAGGCATATATGCTGCTTCCTCTTCCATAATATTTTATGGACATGAAAATCATTCAATCAATTCTAAGAACATATTTTCCTTTCCTTTTTATATGCTGATTGTGTTTCAAAACTTTTTTCCATTTTTTTTTTCAAGAAATTAGGTATTTTTTGCAACTAATATCAAAGATAATTTTATAACCTAACTTTCAAACAAGAATAATATAGTATGAGGTGGGGTAGTAGTTCCATTATGTCAGATGTGTGAAAGTAGGCACGGCTTTTTCTATAGTAATTTATTGGTATATTTTCATAAGAACGAATTACATCTTTTTTTGTTGAAATTAACAAAATCTATAAAAAACTTTTTTCTCAAAACATTTTACTGCACAAAAAAAATAGAAAGTTTCTTTCAACTAATTTACCTGAAATAATAATAAAAATAATAAGCAATGTCCATATTTTAAAGGCATAGCACATTTACAAAAATCACAAGGAAAGTTTTGCAATTTTTTCCATTGGAATTTTCAAAATAAGCAATTACTGAGAAAAACTGGACTATGCCTTTAATTGTGGGACGATTTTCAATTAAATACAGAAATTAACTATACACAGTATATTTTACATTTTATTACGTATTTACTAATGAAAACATAAGTCGACAATAGATATGCTTCTCTGAAGCAATAGAAAATATACAGAAACTTCAATGTACTTACACTAAATCTCATATAATATTTATACCTTAATTCAATACTCAAAAAAAAACATCAATATTTTGACGGTTCGTTATCATTTATACCTTTAAAATATATTTAAAAGGCACAAACTTCTTGGTAACGGGTTAAACTTTTTATAACAAAAAAAAAATTATTAACTTCCTCTAACACAACTAAGAAATAATAATCTATCCATTTTAACGAATTAACGGGTAAAGAAATGATTTTCATGAAACGATATTTGAAAAAAATTGAATACAGGCCTCTATATCAAAACAGTTGTATAAAAATTACAGTACTAAAAATTCTATAAACTTTTATATATTTTTTTTTTGACTAGCCAAGATATGTGAATATTTGTAACGTTAAATTTGAACTGTTAATAAAAATCGGCACATTTAAAGTCCAATTGCAACTTTTTTTGCATCACGTTTACAAATTTAAGCATTCACACCTTGCAACTAGCAGCCAAAATTTCGGTGCAGGTTCGCTGCATCTCTTAAAACTTTGCTACTATCCGCATGGTGCAAACGCGACTCGACACATTGAGAAGATAAAAATTTACTCTACTACCGAATTAGATTTTTCTTACAGACAAACTATCCCCCCGTTTCAACAATAAATACTAATGACCCCACTGACCTTTCCTGAGGAATCATAAAACGCACACCGCGTACGGTTCAACCTCGAACGTCTGCTTCAAAATCGCGCTGAAAACTAACTCGACGTTACACACGATCTTCGTCTTGTCCTTCTTGTTCTTCAGCAGGTCGGCGACCAGGTGCAAGTCGTTCTCGTGGGTGACGATGAAGTAACTGTAAGGGGAATTGACGCTGGTCGCGTCGATCTGCGCCGAACTGCGTCTTATCCTCTCCACGACGCCGCCGCAGCTCTGGATCAGCTCCGCCACCAGCCTCTTGCTGGGGAAGACGCTCGGGGTGACAAAGAAGAACTTGCCCTCGAACAGCTTGTTTCTATTTTTCGTCGACAGGGTCTGGTCTATGTCGCACTTATACTCGTAGTTGAAGTCTTTGGAGTTCAGGTTGTAGTTGTTCTCGGGGAGGAACTGGTTGGCCGCGTGCGAGTCCTTCAGCCACTGCTCGGAGAGCACCTGCGCCCCCCTAGCTATGGCGAAGAAGAGCTTGTTGGAACGCGCAAGGTGCGACATTATGAGGTGAGTGAAATTCGCGTGGTCCTTCGCCACCGAGCCTCCCAGATCCCTGCAATGGAACAAGAATAACGAGATTTTTTCACTACTATTTTAGAAATTCGCGAAATGGTGCGACTTGGACCCAAAAAATGCAATACTTTTATATTTTATAAAAAGTAAGTACAATATTGCCTAGAATAAATATGACACCAGATGAAAATTTGCAGAAATTTGCCCTAAAATATGGTGCGTTTAGCCGCAAGATGGCAAAAAATTTGTTTTTTTCAAATAATTCTAAAATATTTGTCCGATTTAACTGAAATTATGCCAATACTTGCGTATAAGTGTCTCAGTTTTTGACACGGCAATTGAAGTCATTGCATTTACAGAAATGTGAGAGATTCCCTCAACCCTAAGCAAATAAGTCCATACTTTTTCAGGAGACGACATTACAGTTTTATTTTATTGTAAAAGAAAGCGCCTAATAAAAGTTTCTCTCGAAATTTTATGTAAGATTTCTCAATTAACTATTTTATTGGTCATCAGCAACGCATTTTACTACAGTCATTGAAGCTGAAAATCAGCTGTAAGCTCCTTTGAAAGTGCATGGATTTGCATGAAAATTTAAAATAAGACTCATCTTAGGCTTAGGTTCAAAAGGGATATAAGCCCGATTGACGCTTTTTGTCTTTTACGGGTAAAAACTACCCCCAAGTGAAAAAAATTGAAAAAATTTAGTTTTAAGCATTTTATTGATGAAAATCTTGTTCAAGCACAAAGATTAAATAATGTTAAATGTTTCTGAACATGTTTTATGATATATTTGATCTTTTCGACCCTTTATTTAACCCTTAAAAACTACTCCTATGCAAACAATAATGATAAAAAATTACTTTTTAAAGATTTGGAATGATTTAATGCAATTATTTAAAATAAAAGTTACCTTATACCTAACAAAAGAATTTTTCCCTTTCAACCCCTAAAAACCACCCCTGTATTGACAAAAATGAAAAAAAAAATACTTTTTAACCCTTTCACTGCTCCAGACGTATATATTCGCTAAAAATTTATAGGGCTCAAATTGCTCCAGACGTATTAATTCGCTTGAATAGTTAAATTGGATCAGGCTGCTCAAACCGTATATATTCGCAACCATGCGCATTAGCTACTGGATTATTGTAACTGGTAAGGCGAATTTTTGCGGGAGAGCTTATACCAATTGTGACAAATATTTTTATGGAAAGAGGTACTGGTAATAATACCAAGATTGTTCATGTTTCTTTCAGTTTCTATTTAGTACATATACTGTATTTTATTCAAAATAAAATCGTAAAATTTATCGTAAATCGTAATTTAACACAACATAATGTAAAACTATAAGTGGTCTAACTGCTCCAGACGTATATATTCGCACGCGATAAACTTTCGCACACGGCACGGTAGCTACGTTCAGACGTATTGCGCAGCGGTGCAATTATTTAAAATAAAAATTCCCTCATTGCTTATGAAAGAATTTGTATCTCATAACACTTTTCAACCCTTATAAATCACCCCTGTGCTAAAAAAAAAGATAAAAAATTACGTTTTAAATCTTGGAATGCTATAATTGTGTTGTACTTTGATTAACATTGAAGCCATAGTATCATACAAAAAAGCACTTTAAAGATAATTTCAAGAGCTGTAAGATTATTTGCATATAAAAGCTTTCAATTCCTTCGTTTTTTAAAGGGAAAGGATCGAAGGGCTCGAGACAGGTCGTTTTTTACTAAAACAGATACTTCAACTGACGATATCTCCTTTATTTTTTATGCTATAGGAATAAAAAAAAAGTAAAATATTTGTTGAAAAAAAAGTTACATTTTTGTTGTCTATCAATTTTTACGTATCTTTCATTGTTTCAGAGTTATTATATAAATAAGGCATTTTTTTTTGAATAATGAAAAATACGTTTTCAACTTTTAACGTACATTATTCAAAAAATAGGCATTCTAAACCGATCTAACTTCAGGATTGAATGAAAAACACTAAAACAAAACTAATTGTAAAGGGTCTACGATTAATTTTAATTCTGATGGAAATGGTACAGCGTTTACTGCTCATTTTTTCTTAAAAAATATGAGCCACCCATCTGTTTTTGACAATAACTCCCAATTAAGTTTCATAAGTTATCATTTTGAAGGTCTTTTTGAGTACTACAAAAAACTCGAGCGTTATACACGTAAAATTAATCCTTTTTCCGTCATTTGACGTTGAATACATCGATTTAAGTATTCCCCCAAAACAAGTCCCATTCCACTAACCATATTTCGCTTTGTATAGGACGTACAACACTTTTTTAAAAACGATTTTCTTTGTTAATTTATAAGCTACATTTTTGTTCATTACACTTTTTTTAATAAAATGCGTAGTTTTTGAGTTATTTGCGAAAAATACTTTGAAATAGTGTTTTTTTTAATCAAAATTTTCAATCGTGAATAACTGAAAAACTATTGATTTCTCGAAAAAATTCTTGGAATATTATTTGCTCAAAATATGATTCTCTTTCTTTGATTTCCAGTGTTATTTTTGAGAAAAAATTTCCACCCCCGAGAAGGGGTGTCAACCCCCAACAGGGTGGAAGCGTCAATCGGCGCTATGTCACTAATGTTCATTGACCTTTTCTCTAACTCTCTGCCAAATTTCAAGTCGATCGGTTCAGTTTCAAAGAATTTGAAGGTGAAAAGCTTCAATGACTACTATTTTTGATACAAATCAGTTTGTATCAAAAAAATTTGATTTACTTGATAATAAAAGCAAAATAATGCATCGTAGAGTACAGCAATTTTTAATCGAACATTCTTTTATGAGTATTATTAAAAATAACCACCATAACATGCAATTCCGTTAAAAATTATAAATTTAAAGAGTTTTTAAGCAAATTTAAACAGCTCATATCTCAAAAAACTGACGTTTTTCCAATATAGTACCTATATGACAAATTAAGGGGCAATTCTATACCTCACTATTAAATTTTAAATGCGTACTAAAATTTTAATATTTAACACATCTGTTAAACACTTACTATGAACTTCGTCGCAAGCATCCGCTAATGACAAAATAATTTCAGCGGGATTTTAAAATTGGACGGAGTAGTTCAAACGTCTCAGTCGCAGAATACTGATAATATTGATTTAAAGCAAATTAAATTTATGTAATCTGTAGCGGAATCTTTCTTAACTTCGAATAATCGCCATAAAACAAGGATTTTGTATATTTCGTGTTCCTTAAGGGATGACGTATATATTTGAAATGATCTGCACATTTTTTGGCGAACCGTACAAGAATATTTACACATCTCATTTAAACCTTACCTGACCATTTTCTGCAGGGGTTTGGTATCGGAAAACATGGAGAACAATATCCTGTGGGTTGAATTAGTGACGTGATCGTCGCTTATATTATCGTTCTCGTCCGTAGCCTCGGTCTTCAGCTTTTTAGGCTTCTTGGGCAGCACCACAGGCGAGGCGCTTCGTTTCACCCGTTCGTACGATTCCTGAGATATGTTTATGGGGGCCTTCCAAGCGACTACAAAAAAAACTCCATTACTTCCCCGTTATCCGCTAACGCAAGGACTTACGCATCAGATTCGGTACCAGTTTCGGGTCGAAGCTGAAATTAGAGGGGTTGGAGAACTGCTGGTAAATCTGGTGCTCCATCTGGTTCAAGGCGGCGAAGTTACCCAGCATCACGTCCGTTAACCACTGCACGTTGACGACGGGGATCTGCCATTTTTTCGCGTACACACATTTCCGTCCCTCCGCCTTGGCCGATATCAGGAGCGTGTTGTGCTTCGAGAAGTACGTCGTACACTGGGAAAAAATACAAACGCTCAAAAAAAAATTTAATTTTTGACAGTCCGTATCACCTACCTTTGCTCCCGTATACTTAATCATATGCTTCACCCTATTGCGGTCGCTGCCCTCGAAGCCGCTGATGGAGATCAAGTGCTTGGAGGCCGGGGCAGTGTCCAAGTAAATGTTCGGGAGGTGCAGGGCCGTCCAGGGGGGCAGCACCTGTTTCCTCGCCATCACGTCGCTGAGCCACACGATGGTCACGCAACGTTTACAGTCCCTCAGGGCCTGCATCACGACACCATGACGCTGGGTCTCGCACAAGACGTGGGTGACACGGCTACAGTACTGCTTCTCCACCTCCCCTGAAAGGAAAACTCGGATAAACGATTGAAATCCTCGATGATACGGAGACATTTACCCCCGTGTTTCTCGATTTTCTGTTGCCAACCCGGTATCCGCTCCTCCAGGAAGCTCTCCAGCTCCACCACTACGAAAATGCAACCTAGGAGGAATAAGTCTGGCGGTACTGAAAAAAAAGTGGTGAATAATGTATAAAAGTCAATTTACGAGTCTGACTTACATTTCAGGTTAGGATTGTGACCGTAAAACGGGCCGGGTCGGTGTTGTAAGGGCAACGCCGGTTTTGGGCAATACTGCAGCTTGGGAGGATCGTTGGTTGGCGTAATAGGTAGAGGTTGAGCCCCCGGCGGTTTTATTATTTCGCCGTTAGGCCCGCTTATGGTTCTACGTTGCAGGGCGATGATCTCCTGCGGCTTAGAGTTTAAGGCGGCATTATGCTGGGCCGTCATCAGCCTATGAACGAACGTTATGGTTAAATTTAAACCATTATCATCCTTCGGTGCCAAAATATTACACAGTAGAATCGTAAATAAAACCAAAAGTAGATGTTCACAATTTTTTAATACGATAAAATAATTTTAAGTATTATCTACCTAAAAACCTTCGTTTATGGTCTATAAAAATGGGAATGCCTTCACAACAACACAACAAGTGTAAATTCGTAAGGATAATTTTACCAAAATCAACAAATCTATCTATTATTCTAAATTTACAATTTTGAAACCCTCTAAAATGATATGCCCATGGAATAGTACGCCTTACCTACTGGTCACATGATCTACATCTCGAAAATGAATCAGTGCCTACTTTTCTGGCACTAAATTACAGTAGTAGTTCATTTGTACCCCTCAAACTGATTTTTTAGTATATTACCTTAATGTTCCAGCGGCTGAGGGCTCAGGCAGCGTTTCCGGCCTCTGCACGCCCATAGAAGACCCGCCGCTCTGCAACTTAATGCTCAGCATGTTCGCTAGCGCCGTTTTCGTCTTCGCGTTGACGACGAGAGAATGCTGAATGTTAGCTTCCGGAACTGGCGGCGGATTTGTCGTTGAATCGGCCAGTTGCGGCTGACCGATGGGTCGTACGATGGTGGGTTGCTGCAGAGGCGCCAACAACGAAGACGGCGATGAGACGCTCTCACAGACAAACGACGTACTTGGCGTACCCGGCTGCTGCTGCGCCAGGTGATTTTTCTGCTCCCTCTGCAACTGCAGCTGTTGCAATCTGTACTGCCTCAGTTGGAGCTGCTGCTGTTGGTTTTGGTCGGCGAACTGGGGGCTGTTCTGGTTGATGGGGCTCAGGCCGGGCGCGTGTTGGATGTTTTGCGACAGACCCGGCTGCGTGAGGGTGCCGGGCGTGATGTTTTGCTGTTGGATGTTCGCCGGCAAGACAATTCCCTGCTGTTTGGCTTGCTGCTGCAGCCACTGGAACTGCTGCTGGGTCGTTAGACCCGGAGGCACGTTTCCTGTAAATATGTAACCGCATTGTTGTAAAAGTTTTATAGCCATGGTAAATTTTACTGAAAACGCATATCCCTGATGATAAATTTCATAAGTTTTATAAAATCATAATTGACGAAGAGTAACAATCACTGAAAAATAAATACAACGCGAAAGTTAAATTTTTCACTAACCTCTGATCAAAATATGGCTCCCGCCCCCGCCTCGCTGCTGGACCTGCTTCAAAAGCTGTCGCTGCCTCTGCAGCTTCGCCACGAACAACGCCTGCTGCTCGGGCGGCATCTTCTGCAGCTCGTTGTGGGTCCTGGCGTCCAGCTGTATGAACTGTCGCTGTGGCACCACATTGGCCTGTTGTGCGTTCGGGGACCACTGCACCCTGGGACCCGGCTGCTGAACGACGTTCACTGAATGACGGATTATCTGTTGTCCAGGGACCTGCGAGGGTTGCTGCGCCCACAGGTGTTGGTTTATCTGGGCACGCTGCGGTACGGGGGACTGCGGCGACTGCTGGTTTATCAGGATCTGTTGGTTGACGCCGCCCTGCTGCGGGAACTGGGGGCGCACTACTTGCTGCGGCAGCGGGGAATTCAATTGCTGGTTTATCTGCGTAGAACGTTATTTGTTTATTTACGAGACGGTGAATGTTTTTTTGTTTCATATTACAATCAACCACTAAATTAAAGAACACAAATTTAATAAATTGAATTATAAAGGAATACAACACATTAAAAAAATACTAATCAAAGTTACATAACAACTGGCAAACGTAGAGAAAAATAAAAAATCGAGGTGTTTAAAAAGTGATACAAACCCACGTCATTAATAAAATCAGTTCTTACCTGTGGAATCTGTTGCTGCTGTTGGTTGAGCCCCTGCTGCTGCGTCTGCATCTGCTGACTCAAGTTCTGCTGATTGTTCAACTGCTGCTGCTGCTGCAAATTCTGCCTGTTGATCTGCTGCTGCTGTAGATTCTGCTGCTGCAAGTGCTGACCCATCCCTTGATTGAGCTGCTGGTTCAGCGCCTGACTGATATTTTGCGACAATCCCTGCTCCATGCCTTGCGGGTTGATGTTCTGGTTCAACTGGTTCAGCTGACTTTGCGGGTTCAACTGTTGATTCAGCTGATCCTGTTGATTCAGGGGCTGTCCCATCTGGTTCTGCTGGTTGAGCTGTTGGTTTAACAGCGCGTTCTGTTGGACCAGCTGCTGACTCATCTGGTTCTGTTGGTTCAGCTGTTGGTTGAGCTGTTGCTGGTTGAGCTGCTGGCCCAAATTCTGAGAGCTGAGTTGTTGGTTTAGAACCTGAGCGTTCAGTTGTTGGCCCATGTTTGGTTGCTGCTGGGAGACGGGCTGCTGCAGGTTCATTTCTTGGTTTGCGTTTTGGTTCTGATTGAAGTTTTGGTTGAGGAATTGCTGTACAGATAAATTCGACTGATTCTGTATGATCTGTTGTTGGCTGGTGACGGTCTGCGGCTGATTTAAGAACTGCTGCTTTTGCTGCAGGGTCTGTTGGTTCTGGTTCAAGCTCTGCAAGAAGTTCTGACCCTGTCCCATCTGGATTTGTTGCTGTTGCAGCTGGTTTTGCTGCTGTTGATTCGTTTGACTCTGTTGTTGGTTCATCTGATTGTGTTGTTGGTTCATTTGATTCTGCTGTTGGTTCATTTGATTTTGTTGTTGGTTGACCTGGCTTTGTGGTTGGTTTATCGGACTCTGTTGGCTCATTTGATTCTGTTGCTGGCTTTGTTGTTGCAATACTTGATTCTGCAGCAGCTGCTGATTCTGATTAAGTGCCAACGGTTGATTTTGACCAAGTTGGAGCTGCTGCTGTTGATTCTGCTTCAACAGCTGCTGCTGTTGCAACTGGGAGATCTGTTGTTGGCTCAACTGTCCCAGGTGTTGGTTTGACCCTATCGGCTGCTGGTTTTGCCCAACGCCTTGGGGACCGGGCCCCATAGATTGCTGATTGGTGTTCTGCCTCTGTTGCTGGTTCAACTGATTTTGTAATAGTTGTCTCTGAGCTAGTTGCTGTTGTAAGAGTTGCTGCTGGACGGTTATCTGTCCCGTGGATGTTCGTTGAATCAAATTCTGCTGATTCTGTTGCATTCTCTGTTGGAGCAGCTGTTGGTGGAGCTGGCTTTGGCCCAGCTGACCCCTGAGTTGTTGAATGTTGGATCTGGCCTGTTGTTGGCCCATCAATCTGCTGATGTTCAGAGGGTTCTGCTGCTCCTGGAAAGGCGCTTGTGTCGGGGTGTGGTGTACGATACTGCGCGGTATGTGCTGGCTTGGTAGGGCCGAAGGAGATCTGGGTATCTGTGGAAAATTAGGGGCGATGGGTGACTGAGGTGTTACTGGCAAAGGCTGAGCAGGCACTTGATTCATGTGGCTCTTCGGAGGTTGATGATTCGGGCCTTTCTGTATAAAACTAGGCGCTACGACGTTAGGCGGAGCGATAGGGTCTGAGGACGTAGTTTTTGGTGTACTGGGCTGGTTCCAAGGCATCCTCTGCTTCAATTTTTCTAATAAAGCTTGCGTAGAATCTGACACGCTTTTCTCTTTGTTTTTATCAAAGTCTTCCGCCTGTTCTGGTTCGAAACCTGTAATGGCTGTCGTGCTTTCATGTTTCACCGGTTTCGGCCAATTGATTAACTTTGGATGAAACAGAACAGCGTCCGCTAGAGAATTAGCTTTTATTGTTTGAACTACCCAATCTGGAGTGACAATCTTTATATAGTCAGGTCCTAAAGCTTCGGCTTTTTGATACTTGATGCTATTTGTATCGGTCGCTACCAGATAGGTGCAGTTTTTATTCAAGTTAAGTTGTACAGTACCTCCATTGTGTGTGATTAAAGACCAAAGGTATTTGAGATCTTCCCTTATGTTGCTAAAGCAAAACACTAGATTTGATAATAATTTCCCTCCTGGTACATACAAATAAGACCTGGGGCTTACTAGTTTCTTTAAACGGGCGCACATCACAATCCATTTTGGGGTAAGAGCTGGTACTTCGTAAACATCATTGGCATCAACGATATCGTTTTCTTCGGGGTTATCACCAACTATTAAATGTGTGACATAATCTGAGAAATAGTTAAGTCTCTCGGCACCACCGCATTTTAATAAATCTATTATCTAAAAAGGAAATAAATAAGAACAATAACATTTTGTGACTTGTTTTTAGTACCTTTTCATGTACTTCTCCGCTAATAAAGAATTTAATTCCTTTAAAAACGTCATCACTTAACTCTAATTTTAATACTGCTTCTGGTAAGTCACCCATTTTTAACAATATTATTGAGGATATATTCCGTATAAATTCATTTTATCATAAAATTTATTTCTAGGCTCCATTTTCCTCCATACACAATCAAGTTGGCGACATTAGCGCACCAAGTTAACCAATGTAAACCAGAAAAGTTACTGGGAAAAAAAATGTTTTCTTAATACCCTCCCAGGGAAAAACTAAAATATTGATTTAATAGCTTATTTTCTTCGAATTGATTATTTTTTATGTGATGTTATTGAACTTTGTTGACCAAAGCTTAGGCGCCAAAATTAAATTGATTATTTTTCCAGTTAAGGGATATTTCAGTCTATTTTGTTGGTAACGCCGACAAGCAAAAACCGATCTCCGCGACTCCTCCAGCAAAAAAGTAGTGTTTATGTCGAAAAGGCTCGTCAAAAATCCCGAATAATCCGAGCCATCCTTTAATTTTAAGTTTTAAAAATAAAATTAAAGTGTTTTTAAACAACCAAACAAATGGCAGAAGCTGATAAGTTAAACATCGATAGTATTATAGCCAGATTATTAGAAGGTAAATGTACGAAGGTCAAGATATGTTGACAAAAATAATGGCGTCTAGGTATACGCCTTGGTAAACGTCAAAATAATTTTGTTGTGTGCCATTTTTAGTGCGTGGAGCAAGACCAGGAAAAAATGTACAATTAACCGAAAATGAAATCAGAGGACTATGCCTAAAATCCAGAGAAATATTCTTAAGCCAACCTATTTTACTTGAACTAGAGGCTCCTTTAAAAATTTGTGGTAAGCGAAATAGTTTTTAGATATACGTCGCTATAAATTTACCACCATCTTAAATAAAAGCCCTATCATAAATTTCTTTTCATTGATTGTGTTGTTGTTTTCTTAAATTAATGGTGAATGTTTACAGTTTTAATTAAACAGAGTGTACATTACAGATAATGATAATCCATCAGTGAATCATACAATTTTAATATTTAAACTATCATTTACATAAACCTTGTTATTGCCACTTTAAATGCTAATTCGGGTTTAATGTAATGTTTGTTTTTATTTACAACTAATTTTTCGTAGTACCTTTTAAGAACGAGTTTTAAATTTATATTGTGAAGTGACTTGAGTCATTGACATCACATAAGTTGGTTTGGACTATAATATTTAATCATGAAAGGAATGTTAGCACACAATTTTTGTGTAATAGTAAAATCTAAGTCTTCCAATTCTTAAATGATTGACATCAATTGCACAATTATTGGATACGTTTGCCAAAGGTCAAAGTTTAATTAACGACTGCTAAATATATATTTGCACGTCGGTTAAAATTCTCTGATAAGTTACAGACGTACTGTTGTAAATTTCATTCGTAATGTTTTTTGCTTCAAGGTGATATACATGGTCAGTATTATGACCTTCTACGTCTGTTCGAATACGGGGGCTTCCCACCAGAATCCAACTACTTATTCTTAGGGGACTACGTCGACCGCGGCAAGCAGTCGCTCGAGACGATCTGCCTTTTACTCGCCTATAAAATTAAATACCCAGAAAATTTCTTCCTGTTACGTGGCAATCACGAATGCGCCTCCATCAACCGCATCTATGGATTCTACGATGAATGCAAAAGGAGGTAAATGTTCGACGGGACGTGGGTATATCCAGAATTTACTTGTTTTTTTGTAGGTACAACATTAAACTTTGGAAAACTTTCACCGATTGCTTTAACTGCCTTCCGGTGGCTGCGATTGTCGACGAGAAGATATTCTGCTGTCACGGAGGTGAGTTTTTGCATATTTGTAGTAGAATTCTTGCTTTTGTGTAACATGTGTAGGTTTTTACTGCTGTGATGGTGTTTTTTCTTCGGTTTTTAGTTAAAACGTATAAGGTCTAAAGTTCGTTAATTTGTATTTCTTTTTGTTAAAGTTGCTTAATATGCAAACAGTTCTGCTTGATATTGCTATACAGTCTAGATTTCTCCACTTTCACTACTGTTGGGTAAAGCATTTTAAGTGTTGTTGAAATACGTTGAGCAATATGCAGCTGTAATTCTTGAGAGTGCGAAATGCCTACAAAGAATTTAATTTTTCCGTAATGTAACGAACTGATTAATATTGTAACAAATGCAAAACGGGTTAGAGTTTACCAGAAACGGGCGTTATTTATGTATGAATGAAATCGTAGGGTTGAGTCCCGATCTGCAATCGATGGAGCAGATTCGACGAATCATGCGACCAACCGATGTACCTGACCAGGGGCTCCTGTGCGACCTGCTGTGGTCGGACCCCGACAAGGACCAGATGGGCTGGGGGGAGAACGACAGGGGAGTGAGCTTCACGTTTGGGGCCGAGGTCGTGGGGAAATTCTTGCACAAGCACGACTTTGACCTCATATGCCGCGCTCACCAGGTCGTCGAGGACGGCTACGAGTTTTTCGCCAAGCGGCAGCTCGTCACCCTCTTCAGCGCACCGAATTACTGTGGTAAGTAAGGTCGCAGAGTAAACGATGTAGTAAGACGCGTTATTCGAAAATTCGGGTTTAAAAAACTTAATTTTCAGGGGAATTTGATAATGCCGGGGCGATGATGTCCGTGGACGAGACGTTAATGTGTAGTTTCCAAATACTGAAGCCGGCGGACAAGAGGAAGTTCCAGTACAACATGAACGCGGGAAGACCGGTAACGCCACCTAGAGGTGCCACAAATAAAAACAAAAAGAAGTGAATTAATTTATTTTTAAGGTTAGGGTTAGTTTCAGCATAAACATAACAATATTTTTATCATTTTAAATACTAAAATTTAAGCGCCCTGATGCGGAAAAAGTTAACGTTATCGATTAATGTTTTTTTTTTTTTGAGAGTTGTTGAACGTTTATTTTTCGTAGATTAGGATGGTAAAGTGAGTAATATGTCGATTTTTAAGTTTTATATGTACGTTGTTAATACACTTATTGAATATTAGTATTTAAAATGCTAAAACTCGAGCCGTTTTAGTTTATTTCTCGTTTGGTATTACGAGAGAGTAATATCTATTTATTTGAAACTTATCCAAATTACCTGGTATCAAGTGTAAATAAGTAAAATGGCTTAAGAAATATTTACAAAAAATAGGCTATATTTATTTTTCTTTTTGGTTTTAATAGAATGGAAGAGTTTTATGTTTTAGAAAGTTTTCTTTTTTTGACGTCTGTATAAATATATTTTTATATATAATTATTTTCATTTGATTTGTCAAGTGGTGTATGATTAATGAAAAATTTCATCGTTTCACCGGAGACGTTTAAAAAATTTACAACAAGACATTTTTGTAAATATGCATTCATTTTCTTCTGTTGATCTGCATTAATGTCAAAATAAAATTTTAACTATTATCATTTTATTTCTGAGTTTTATTAGCCATAATTAATAATTTAAAACCTTAAGGCTTCCTCAATATCCCAAATCTTTCTCTTCAGAAATAAAATTACTGGATATTTCATAAGAAACACGAATAAGGTTCGTTTATATCAAAAAATGCGAATGTATTATATTGAGCAAACTGAAAACTACTATTCTTATACGAGTAGTTCAAATGACCTAATGGCTGAATATCCTTTGTAGGAAAACCATTAAAATAGAAGCAGAAGAAGAACTTTTTATAACACGGAGGTTAAAATTTATTAATTTTTATTTAATAATGGGTATTATCGCAAGTAATTCATATTTGACTGTATTTAGTGCAGGAACTGTGATAGGAGCGGCCTCTGCTTATTTTATTCTTAAATTTAGGCATAAGCCTAAAGAGGAACTCTGGAAAAGTGGCATGGAAGAGAGATTTGAGGTTAGAATTTTTCAAATGTACGAAAATCGTAACTATTATAATACAATTTTTTAGTTTGAGGATCCCAAAGACGAGTACAGATTAATAATGGGCGTGAGAAACGACCTTAAAATGCAAAAGGGCAAGGTGGCGGCGCAATGTGGGCATGCAGCGGTTGCCGCTTACGCCAGAGCCTTAAAGGAAAAGCCCAAGACCTTAAAGAACTGGTTGAGATTTGGTAGTATGTACTTTCGATGAGTAATATTGTTTGTTAATGAAAATATTCATTAGGGGGAACAAAGATTGCAGTGAGAGTTGACAGTGAAGAGGAGTTACTGGAATTGGATAAGCGAGCGAAAAAGCTGGACGTTTTGTCTAGTATAATTCGAGACGCTGGACAGACACAAGTTGCTCCCGGAAGTAGAACTGTTATCGCTATAGGGCCAGCGCCCAAAAGTGTTTTAGATGAAATTACGGGACATTTAAAATTGTATTAGGACGTATAAATAAATTATTTAAAAAGTAATATGCATAAAATATATAATACTCCATTTTTTGCATTGTTAACACTCAAAAACAAATTTAATGTTCAACAATTTTGACAAACTTAAAAAAATGAGTAGTTCAAATACACACATTTTCTATTTGCATATAACTTCATGCATGTCTTTAAAAACATAACCTATAATTAAAAATTAAAAGCATTCAAATTTTGCTATAATGGAAGAAACAGTTTTGCCAAGATTAGCTTTCGATATATTGAAGGAAGCTGAAGAAACTTATAAGGAAACCGGAACTTGTGAGTGTTCGAATTTAAAAAATATATATATCACTAACCACTCCATTTTAGTTTCCTCAAAAATTTTGGAAAATTTGTATTCATTTTTTGGAGAAAGCTTTGTGCTGGCTACAGAGCTCCTGGAAAAATGTAAAATAATAGAATACGGTGTTGACAGTGGAATAAGAAACATATTTAAAGTTATTATGAAGGAGCAGTACACGATATACGAAGATATAAATTTTTGTCAGTGCAAGACGTTTCGTTTGCAGGTTCTGGAGTCCCGCCACACCTTGACTTGCAAGCATGTTCTGGCTGTGAAACTAGCTCGGATATCCGGACAACTGACCAAAGAAACGATATCGGATTCCCAATTTGTCGACTTCTTAAACGAACAGTTACGATACATAGAAGAGGATGATGATTGAATGAAATCGTGAAAAAAAAAAGTCGTGGTACTTTAACATACAGTATATTACAAATATAACAACAAATTGGACTAAGTAATACTTTTTAGTTTATTTAAATTAAATGCAAAGATATTTATACCGTAAATATGAAACATCGAGATGATTGTTGTGGGTCTCAATACTAGAAAATATAAACATATTAAGATGATAAAAATGTTGTTTTATGTATAATAAATATTCCAAGAAATAAATTAGTGGTTATAAATACGACAATGATACAATGCGACTATTTTAACTAATGAAAAACCTAATATTTAGTCTTAAAAGAATTTGTTTTGGTTTAAAAATTATTCGAGGGTTCTGGCAGATACAATCGATTACAAAGTTATGAGAAATAAAAGTAATGATTAGTTGTGCGCCCCTGTTTCAACAAATTGCAATTTTGATAAAAAAAAAAGTACAAAACTGAACAAAAACTCGGCGACTCCTCAATACTGCGTTGTATGGAATATACAATAAAAAATTATGCACTATTGCCTGCTGATATTTGATTTTCTTTACTTAACATTATTCACCGTATAATACAAATAGTAACGTCAGTTTTGATGTGTTAAGTTTTACATTTAGGTAACAATTAGAAAGAAAACATTGCTTTACAATTTTTTTTCCTACACTTAGTACCTTTTCAAGAATGCTTGTTTTGGTTTTTAGTTTCACTATTTATCCTCGACACAAAAAAATAATGTCGCAGATTTCAAGAATTTAAAATGCTTACGTAATATACTGAAATTGTTATATTCGAATCCAGTTTATGTTATTTGAATATTTCGTGTGTTATTAGTCATTTTTTTAGTACAGCGGTTAGTATACTACCTTAATTCATACATTACATCCAATTATTTTATTTGAACTCAAAATAGTCGAACTGAGATGGCAAGAAATCGTAGAAAATTGGATACCACATTTTTTAAATCGATTTAAACTCGGGATTTTATATTTTTACTGATACGATTATGTAATTCTAGCAAAAAAGTGTTTTCCGAAGTTTGTCCTGTGATATCAAATGATCTACTGAACGATCCCTGCAGTAACTGACTTAATCTATGAAAACGAACCCTTGGACCTATTCTGGAATCTGCGTAACTTCAAATGAAAAAACATTACCATATTTACCTTAGCTTAAACAAAACTATACTGATTTTCGACGGCTCGGCTCGAAGCTTCCGCCTGTATTTGTTCTAAAGTCGTCTCCTGCGTTCTAACACTACCATTATGCGTTTGAACCTAAAAAAATTGTCCGATTCTAAAATCATCGACCAAACAAACACAAAACTGTCTTCTTAATTGTTTTAATTTGGCTCTTTAGTTATTCGTTTAAATTAGCTTTTTTAGTTCCTCCGTTAAACGGTAAATAAAAAGGTGTGAAAATAAAACAAACTTTTAAAAATGTTAAATATTATATTTACATTTTTGTACTTAAACGTATAAATCAAAATATAATTGGACAATGACTGCTTTTAAAACCATAACTGTGGCGACATGATTTCGACGCCCCACAATGAGACCTTTCAAACTCAAAACCGAACTAGAAAAAACCTTTCAAAATGGTATATGTAACTTTTAGATCAATTTAGCCGGGAAATTTAAACAGACTGTATTATACATAAAACCAAACGTAAAGTAGTAAGTAGAGAAAATCTAGGCAAGAATTTGAATTTCAAAAATGAAATGAGATTATAAATAGGAAAAAAAAGGAACGAAATAAATTTTATAGAATTCTGTTAGTGATAGACCTAAACGAACTTTATTTAACATACTAGTACTTTCTAGATTTCAATTGGAATCACAGTTTGCCGCATTGAACAAAGTACTACTTTGTTTCAGTAGGCATCAAATGGCAATGACATTTAAGATATAGTTTGTAGGTTATACCTCAAAAAGTAACCTAAATCAGTAGGCACTGTATGGCAAATGACATTTACTCTACAGGTTATGTCAGAAAGAGAAACCTAACAAAGTAGGTGCAAAGTAATGCTTTGTGCAGTAGGCCCTGAATAGCAGTGACATTTAAGATACAAGTTATATTTTGTAGGTTATATTTCACAGAGCTACCTACAGGGTAGGTACAAAATAATGCTCTGTGCTAATAGTGACATTTAAAATATACTTTGTAGTCGCATCAAACGAGTTTTATGAATAAAAATTAAAAAAAGACTTTAATAATTGTTTAAAAATTACTAAATACGGACCGATATGTCGGAATTTAATTTAAATATCCAATTTTCTAGAAAAGTCTCACTGTGGAACGGATTTTAGACGAGTCGTGGTAAATACATAAAAGAAAAAAGCATTAGACATAATATTCTTCACCCTTGACAAATAGCACTTGCTTTCAACCAGACATTATGCTAACGTTAATAATAAATACTACAAGAACCGGTACCTTGGAACTATGCGATAGTATACCCAACGGACTGGTGTATATAAAAATAAATTATTAAATAAGATATAGCTATAATTAGAGGATTGCACTGAGTTTGTTTTGTACAAATAAAAACGAACTACTTTTATTTAAATGTTGAGAGTTATATGAAGGCCTACGCACACTTCCGGACGGTTTCGAGGATAAATCTGTATAGGAACGTTTGAACTACTGACTCAAGTGGAGGCAAAAAAAAGTAAAACTGAAGTATTCAATTGTCCATTATCGCCTGTAAGGTCACTTTGTGGTAAAATGTAGAATTTAAAAAAAACTACCCTAGAAACTTGCCCGAAGCGTGCACGCCCACCCTTAAGGAGTATTTTATATAAATATTGTTTAGGTTACGTTAAAAGCTACTTTTTAATGGAAAGTAAACGGGAATATCTACAAAACGGGGCACTCTACAAGTCGTGAGAGGAAACCTATACGGATTTAGAACATCCCCTTGTATAATACATTAGTTGAGCCCAAAACTACATAGAAATAAATAAAAAAAATAAGTGCAATTTTGTTTACATAATGTCAAGCAAAAAAGGCACGAAAATTACATACATTTACACGAAAATTATGTACAAAAGATAAATAAAAAAAAACGATATCACTATGAGGTACGAAAGGCATTTTAATGAACTCCGACGCGAAAATAAAGTGCTGTTCCCACGGGTATCGGGCTGACCGGAAATTTACGAATATAATTAGCCTCGCGAAGGAAACAACGTTATTTATTTTACGTATGTGTTTAAATCTAAGCATAGTCAACCCCCGTTACAGATTAAATTAATTACCCCCTTAAATTAAATTACTCGCTAGCGTCTTAAAGTAGATTAGTCGTTCCGGATAGTCTTTGGTGATCAAGGGAAGAAGTCTTAAGGTTACGATTAAAGAAGGAATGACGGCCAACCCCGTACCGCTACCTCTAATGACGTTAAAATGCCTTCCTAGCGAAAAGAAAAAAAAAATCCTATGAAACACACATCGAACACTTTATCTCACTTGTCTGACTTCCGGAATGGGGGGCACTCTTCTGTCGTGTCCGTTGGTGACCGCCTGCTGGGAGGCGCTGCTCGACAGGGCGGCCCCGCCGGAGCCGCGACCCATCGAGCTCTGGTGCTGCTGACGGGCGTTGGGGTTGAGGATGTAGTCGGTGAGTGTCACGTCGGAGCTGCCGCCGCTCTCCAGGGGGATTGGTTGGGAGCGGAAGTGCTCCAGCATCTCATAGATGGACTTGAACCAGAAGTGCTGGACGCGGCATTGGCCCTGTTCGTTTATTGTCATCCGGAGGTGCTTCGCTCGACCCTGCAGACACAAAGTACTCAGGAAATTGTTCCGTTCGGAGATCGGCACGTAATGAAAAATGTAGGTCAAATTTTCGTATCTTTTTCACCTTAAGAATATGCAGTAGTTCAATTACACGAGACATGCTACTGAATGTTGTGGATCAGAAAATTATGTCGTATACCTTGAAAAAATCGATATAAACAGTCATTTATAGACAAAAAACATTCAGTTTCCTCACTCGCAATTGATTTCTGGATGTGACTGATTCGTATTTGATATAAAAAGATTTTACTTTGTGTACTTGGTGAAAAATGTTCAAAACTGGAGCAAAAAGTTCAAGTTTCTACATTGCCGCTATCACAATTGGAAAGTTTAGTGAAACAAACTTTAAAATCACCTTTGAGCAACAAATTTAGAAAATATTAATGACGATTTCACAAATATTGGAATTAAAGAAAGATGAAAATTAATATTTTCAAGGTTTTCAAACGGTGGTGGCATAATAGCACTGTAATAGTGCTAGTCCATTTTTGCAGTCATTTTTAGTGAAATTTTCCTTCATTACCGCAAAATATTATCGAGAAAACAACACTTAAAACCCGTTTTAATGAAAAATCTAATTCGACAACTTCACAAACTGTTTTGTAAAAAATTCAGGTCTGGTGTAGACAAAACATTTTAAAATCTATTTATACACACAAACCATTAATTTATCACTATACGGAATAAAAAAAAGTTTAATTTTAACACTTATAGCAGAAAAATCATTCAAACATCAACAACGCTTATTATTGCAAGACACTGAAAAAAATTAAGTTACGCAAATTAAAAATAAAACATTAATCGACAGACCTGAAAGTTGAAGGTGAGCACGAACTCCCCAGTCCTCGTTTCGCTCTGCCTAACCAAAAATCTGCCGTGCCCTGCTGCACCGTCGTGTAACACCTGTTGAGCTGCCTCTGATCTACCTAACGTACCGTGAAACCACAATTCCTTCTTCAACGTCTGGCCTATGTCCGTCTCCATAGCTGCAAGACGAAATGATACATAGAAATCTGCCAAAATTCGAAAAAAACGAGTCACTTACAACTCAACGGATCACCGGACGCCGGGCAAATGTCGAAATTAGAACTGCTCGACAGTCTGTCACCTCCCCTCCCGGCGACGTGTCTCGGGGGCAAGTCGGGGGCATCAGTATGGTAATCCTTGGTGTGGTCTTGACCCAGACCCGAATCGGATCCCCCTGGGCCGGACCGCATGCAGTAGCGAATGGTGGCGAGCCACGATCTCATGTCGTCTGTATCGTGAGCTTCTATGACGAACTCTATAGAGTTGCTCACCTTCAAGACGAAGGTGTTCTCGTGATCGGGCATTTCCAAGGCCGTGGTCTCTCTCGCCTCGGTGATTAGAGCGCAGAAGACGCCACTTCGCGGCTAGAATGAGGATATGTTGGATTTCAAAGTAATTTCTTTAAGTCGCACTTACCTTTTGATTTTTAGGAGGCGAATAGAATTCCAACATATATCCCCCAGTGGCCTTGACCAGCTGTAAACGACACCTCTCCCATTTAGGGGGGCCACCCGGTTGATCCAAGCTTTCAGGAGTGGAATAATTGACGATACCTTCCTTTCGGCATTCCACAACGATCTTCGCCAATTTCGTCTTGTTGTGGGCTAGATCTACTTCATCCGAATGCTGCTTGTGGAATAAGTCCTTGCTCTTCTTCAAGACCTTAAAACTAAGCCTGCAAATAGACGACGAATGATCACGGTATATGACGGTTGTACACGCAATAGTTACCTTCTGAAGAAAGGTTTGTGTTGTAGTTTAGGGGACCCCTCTTCGATTTCGAAGGTGTCCTCTTCGCTCCTTGAACTTACACCGTTTGATATTTTTGCATTATGCAGTCTGCGTCTATTAAAGTCCATTTCGAATTGCTCTGTGAAACAATCTAAGTATTTTTTCAAAAATTCCTTGTGCGTTACCGTTGACCTGTTGTGTTCTGGCAGATTCATGTTGATGAATTGCATACAGCTCTTGGAAAAATCCTGCGCCGCCGCTTGTGCATGTCTTTCGCAGAATTCCACCCAGGAGTTGTCGATTGACGTTGATTCCAATGCCGCTGCCATTATGTCGTACCCTTTTTACGTTTTTCTCTAAATTACATTATTTATTAAACTACTTTCCTATCGAAATGTTATTGTTTTGATTTAGTATTTTTTTACACTTGACGCCATAACTGATTTGACATTTGATTTAGAGGAGGGGTCAAAGATTCACCTCGGTTCATGTTTAACTATACATTTATATTTTTTATAACATATACTGCAAAAAACATTTACTCCATAATTTAATATAGGCCCTAACGTACTTCTAATAAACTAGATTTAAATTTCAACGCAGTTTTTATATTGATTGAAGGTGTCATAATCAGTAGTCCAAATGTTCAAGCTGGCGTCTTTATGATTCGTTTTTCTATTGTGCATTGTGCGACATTTATTTTGTAAATCTATGGTAAATCCTAACCTTGTTTTTTCTTAACCTAATTCATTTTACGTTTACACAATATCAAAATGAAGAAAATTCCGAAAACATGGAAAGAATTAGGCGTAACTTTGCACGAAGAAGTTGAAAATAGTATTGAATCCTTAAATTTTCCCACTATGACACCTGTCCAGGCCCATACCATACCTCAACTATTAAATAAAAAGGATGTTGCTGTGGAGGCTGTTACAGGTAAGAGTTCCTTTTTCCTTCAGTGAATTCATTTCTAGAACAATAAAGTGAACCAGTTCTGTTGGTTTAAGGATCGGGAAAGACCTTAGCTTTCCTAATACCTCTACTTGACATACTGAAGAAAAGAGAAGCTGAAGAGAATTGGAAGAAGCATCAAGTGGGTGCTATCGTTTTGTCTCCAACTCGAGAACTCGCCTTACAAACTAAAAACGTTCTTGAGCAACTGTTAACTTCTGTCAAGGTTTGTAAAGGTTTGAATATAGTCAAAATCTAGGAATATATCGATATTGTTTATTTTCAGAATTTGACACAAATATTATTTGTCGGCGGAAACAGTGTTGACGAAGATATACTTAATTTTAAGCGTAATGGTGGCAATATTGTGATTTGCACACCCGGTAGGTTAGAGGATTTATTAACAAGGAGGCAAGATATAAACTTATCGAGCCATGTTAAGACTTTGGTAAGTTAAAAGCTAAATTTAAGTGAATGTGGTCTACAATTTTTTCGCTTTAGGAAATTTTAGTGTTGGATGAAGCAGACCGATTGTTAGATTTAGGTTTCCAGAATTCGATAGACACAATTTTAAGTTACTTACCGAGGCAGCGGCGGACAGGTCTGTTTTCCGCTACGCAGACAAAGGAAGTCGAAAATTTGATTCGGGCCGGTTTACGCAACCCTGTACTAGTAAGCGTCTCGGCGAAAGCCGCTCAAAGCACGCCTGAATTACTAGAAAACTATTATATCATCACCAAAAATGACGGTAACAGAATTAAATATGAAGTTGTACCCGGAATCGTATTTTCTATTTTTAGGTAAACTGGCATCGCTGATATGCTTCTTGGAAGCGAAGCACGTACAAAAGGCGATGCTGTTTTTACCGACATGCGCAACGGTGGATTACTGGGCGAGAGTTTTTCCTCACATCTTGCCCAAGAAGTTAGATTTACCGGTAATGGCGATACATGGAAAAATGAAAGTCAAACGGAATAAGGTCCTAGAAAATTTTCGAAATGCTTCGAAAGCACTGCTCTTATGTACAGACGTTATGGCCAGAGGAATCGACATACCGGAAGTAAGAAAAAAAGACTGCGGTAAAATGATTCCGTAATTGCAATATTTGTATTTCTAGATGGACTGGGTGCTACAATGGGACCCACCGGCAAACGCTAGTGCTTTCGTCCACAGAGTAGGTCGAACAGCCCGGCAGGGGCAACAAGGTTCCGCTTTGATTCTCCTTTTAGAAAACGAAGCGGCTTACGTACATTTCATCGAGACTAACCAAAGAGTCAAGCTGAATCTTCTGGAAGATGTCGCTACTGACGAAAAGGTAAGTTTTCAATAATGGTTTTTTCTCGAACATGGTTGCGTCTAGGCTACATACAATTGTACAATTTTTTTAAATTTTGATTAACACTGTCACATTTTAAACACATGGCATTTATACCGGGGACACCCTGTATATTGAGAATGTAAAAATATAATTGTACCATTTTTTTTTCAAGATAGAAGAATTAAGGGATAAAATCAGAAACTTGCTCAAAACGGATCGTGCTATAATCGAAAAAGCCACACAGGCATTCGTTTCACATGTCAGGGCATATTCAAAACATGAGTGTTCGTTGCTGTTACGAGTGAAGGTAGTTTATTACGTTTAATAGGAAACTTCCGCCATATAACACGTTTTATTTCTCATAGGAATTACCGTTGGGTGCTATGGGCGCTGCATATGGGTTACTACAACTCCCCAAGATGCCAGAACTCAAAAATCGAGATCTGTCCGATTTTCCCGAAGTTCTCCAGTTGGACATAAATACAATTCCATACAAAGATAAGACGAGAGAAAAGATCCGGAAGCAGAAATTGGAACAGTACCAGAAAACGGGTATGTTGTCTATAATTTGTACTAAGGTTAAGAATTACATTGTACCTACTGACAAGTGACCTACTAATCTGTAGGTACCATAAAAACATATAACCTACAAAGTGTACCATCGCTACTCGATGCCTACTTGCGCAAAACATTACGTTGTACCTACTGGGAAAGTGACCTACTTTGAAGGCATGACTTATTTTCATATTAGGTGATGCTACCGACATTTTTGACTAGTTACTAAATATTGGGAGCGTAATTCAATTCAGAGTAGTCCTTTCTCACAATATATATATTAAATGTGTTTGATTATTGGAGCGTTTCGTAGGTGTTTGGCCTGGCCACAAGCAGAAATTCATTAGAAAGCCTTCAGAACCTTGGTCGATCACCAAACAAAAGAAAGAGGATCGAAAAGAAAAAAAACTGAAGAGGAAGCAGTCGAAGCAAGCAAAACTGGCAAAGAACGAACCCCTGAAAAAGAAACGAAAAGGTATTTTTGATCAAGGTGAGCGTTTAAAATTGTGAACCGTTCTTTATTGCTGTAGGTATAAGCGACGAGGACTTGGAGGAATTAAAGAAAGACGTAGCGTTGCTGAAGAAACTAAAGAAAAAGAAGATTTCGGATGAAGATTATGAAAAAGAAATCGGTTTGTTGTAATTTTTTTTAAAATAAAATCGTGTTGATGTTTTTTTTTTTTGCTTTGAAGTTTACGCGGCAGGTAAGTTGAATAAAATGTCGTCCTTTTAAAAAACTGTAAAAATTTAATGTCATCGATGTTAATCACAAACATATAAAAACTGTTAAAAAACATCTACTGATAAAAACGAGAATGAACGTATCAATTTTCGTCAGACGAATGGCACCTCGATATAATTAATTTGAAACGTAAATTCTAATTTTCACATACATAAAAAAGTTGCATAAGAATATGTAATTAAGCAGTTAGATATATATTAGTTAATAAAATATATAAAGTGAACGGTGATTATTGCTGCGCGTTGCCCCACATCCGCAATGCCGTCAGGGCCGCGTTAAACTTGTTACACCATTCTATCCTCTCTTCTTTCGTGTCTGCCGACAACAAATGCCTGGAATACAAAAATACGATAAAATTAAAAAAAATAGAGCGGCCGCCAAGATCACCAAACACGAGTCCTATAAATTTTTAAACAAAACAAGACGCATTACCTAATAATAGTTTTGTCTCCTTTGCACACCGTCACCAGAGTATCCTTGTCTTGCGATTGGGCGGGCCTTTCCCTCTCCAGAAGGAAGGTGTGCAACCGGGCACAAATATCTCTGCTAACGGGACCCGCATGCTTCGTGATGCAATTCCTCAAGTCGACCGTGTCTATCGGTGCCTAAAATCACGACGTAATGAAAGGAAATGGAGAAACTATACAAAATTCGCCTTACCATCTTCCTCTCGTCGTCGGGGTACTTCCAGTAGCTTAAAGTGTGACCTTTCAGCAAACACCACCTGCGGTGCCACGCCCCGAACCCTGATACGTCCTCGAACATGGTCAGGAAGCCCCTGTGTTCGACGGAAACGGCCAGTTCGCAGCTGATGCGCATCTCGACGCTGCCGTCGAGCGGGCTCATCGACGGCGTCTAAAATTGAAGTAATTTTGAAAAATTGCTCCTCCAACACAGGTCTGACGTCGGGGACACGTTTTCTGCTTTTAAAAGTCTACTTGGTAGGGTTAGCGTATAAGGGGAATGTCAACGAAATGCTGCTATAGCATCGCGGTGGTATGCCAAGCATTTTATTTTGCTTTTCAACCTGAGTACTTACGTTATTCAAACTGAAAACTTTCTTATTGACGGCTTGCACAGAGAACACAACGTAACCCATAAGCGCAAACGAGGAAGTTCGCACAGCTTGAGGCCCCGCCGGGGACTCCTTTATGGGCATCACCATCTTGGAGTCCTGTTTCGATTTTTTCGGCGTGGTCAGTTTTGTGCCGGACTGAAAAAAATTGCATGTACACATCCGTTCTGGAAAAAAAGCACTGTATGTCTCTTAGTTACCTTTTTGTTGCTGATGTGATACTTGATCTCGTGCGGCAAAAACTCCTCTTGCGCCTGGAGACAGTACACCTCAAACGTAACGGTAAAGTCGCTGTAAATGTTATTCAGCGTAACGTTACCGGGAACGTACAGATCTACGTCTGGATTTTTGGCGTTTGTCACGACCGTGGACACCAACTTCGTCGGGACTACTTGCTCGCCGCACTTGATAAGGCACACGACGTGGTGCCCTTTACCGCCAGCTAAAATCAACGTAATTAACGAATTTTACTAGTAAACACGTGTTATCGCTCACCTGCGGCCAGGGCTTTGACGTATTTCTGCTTCAAAGGCAAGACGATGTTGGATATCGTCAGAGTTCCCTTTTCCAAGGGAAGGTTTTGCGCGTGATGACTTTGAGGCCGTACTGTCTTCTCGACCCTCAACCTCTGAAGTTCATGCAGCGCGGCCTGTCTCCTGTGAGCTGCAATGAAAACGATTAACCGACGCGACAAACGATATACTTACGGGCGCTTACTGGCTACGAGTAAAACTCGTTCCGCCTCGACTTGCTCCGTCGATCCCGAAAATTCCAACGTGGCGCTGCACAGGTTCAACGCCTGGCTAGTTTGGGAGATAATATTTTGCTGCCTGTTCACTTCCCCTTGCAGCTCGAACAGTTTCTTCTGTACGGCCTCCTCGTCTTCCGAGGCTTCTTGCGGGGACTCCTCGATGAGCGGCTGGCGAGATACTTGTCGAACGGGCGTCTGAACCTAAAAAAAATCAAGTTGGAAAACAAACGAAGAGCGCAAACGTCACGCGGACAAACCTGATTCTGTTGCCTGCGATAAAAGCTAACGGTGTGGGTCAGCGGCAGCACGTTATCGCCCTCCATGATGTGTGTGGGCAGCTCCGCCTGTCTTTTCGGCGACGTGATTATCTTGACGGGCGACTGGAATTTGTTTTTCGACGTGGCGACGTTGGGCGAGTAACTCTTGTAGTTGAACGAGTTGGAGGGCTTCGCCGATATTTGCTGCAATCGGAACGACGTCAGAGGGGTTCGGGAAACTTTCGGTTAACTTACGGGTGAAACGTGCCGGCCTTGCTTGGGGGGCGTGGGACCTGTGCTGTTGTCCTCGTCGCTGGCTTCGGCCAAATAATTATCCATGTCGTCCAGGATGCTGGAAACGTCGCTGGCAGTGCTCTCGTCATAAATCGGCTTAAAAACAAAAAGAAATGCAAAGAATTGTTTCAACCTCTGGATAAATATATCGTACTTACCCTTTTTTGGGGCGTTTGGTTGCTGCACACGGCTTGCAAAATTTCCCGACCGAAACTAGTGTTAGGATCGTCCGATTCGTAATTCTCTTCGGAACTGTTCAACAGACAAGGAGAAAATGATATTAGAAACATTCAGCACTATCACCGACACCACGGACGTGCGCAGCGCAGATCAGAATGAATTCATCGCATGCATGAGGTGTGAAAAAAAATGAAATGAGAGGTTTCGGACAGATATTTTTTATTAACACACTTACTTACACAGATCTATAGCCAGTCTTACGTTCTAAGAAGCGTTCGGATAAATATCCCAAGGAACTACTTAATTATAACTATAACGACTCTTGAACAAACCGAATGTATTTAAAAATAAAGATTTCGTAACAGTTTTGAATCGTAAAACTATAGAAACTCGAGTTGAACGTGTTTAAATAGACTCGATTTGTTCGTAACAGTAGTCCGTTCTTTCCATGTACTAGTTCACGGTTACTGAATATTGCACATAGAGCCAGTGAGTATTTTACATTTCCAGTCACGTAGAAGAAGTACAGTCATTGAAGCTTTTCACCTCCGATTTCTTTGAAACTGAACCGATCGACATGAAATTTGCAGATAGTTAGAGAAAAGGTCAATGAACATTAGTGACATAGCACCGATTGACGCTTACACCCTGTTGGGGGTTGACACCCCTTCTCGGGGGTGGAAATTGTTTTTTCAAAAATAACGCTGGAAATCGATAGGGAATTTGAGCAAAAATATTCAAAGAATTTTTTCGAGAAATTGATAGTTTTTTTTAGTTATACACGATTGAAAACTTGGAATTTTGAATGAAAAAAAAAACACTCTTTCAAAGTATGTTTCGCGAATAGTTCAAAATCTACGCATTTTATTAAAAAAAGTGTAATGAACAAAAATGTAAATTATAAATAAACAAAGAAAATCGTTTTTTAAAAAGTCCCATACGTCTTATACAAAGCGAAATATGGTTAGTGCAAGGGGACTTGTTTTGGGAGGAATACTCGAATCGATGTATTCAATGTCAAAAAATGGAAAAAGGATCAATTTTACGTGTATAACGCTCATGCAGTTTTTTGTAGTACTCAAAAAGACCTTCAATATGAGCACTTATAAAAATTAATTAGACCAAAATTGAAGGAGTTATCGTCAAAAACAGATGGGTTGCTCATATTTTTTAAGGAGAAATGAGCAGTAAAGGCTGTACCATTTCCATCAGAATTAAAATTAATCGGGGACCCTTTACAATTAGTTTTGTTTTAGTGTTTTTCATACGATCCTGAAGTTAGACCGGTCTAGAATGCGTACTTTTTTAATAATGTACGATAAAAGTTGAAAACGTATTTTTTATTATTCAAAAAAAATTGCCTTATTTATATAATAACTCTGAAACTATGAAAGATACGTAAAAAATGATAGACAACAAAAATGTACCTTTTTTTTCAACAAATATTTTGCTTTTTTTATTCCAATAGCATAAAAAAATAAAGGAAATATCGCCTCTTGAAGTATCCATTTTAGTGAAAAAACGACCTGTCTCGAGCCCTTCGATGCTTTCCCTTTAAAAAACGAAGGACTCAAAAGGTTTTATATGCAAACGACCTTACAGCTCTTGAAATTATCTTTAAAATGCTTTTTTGTAGGATACTATAGCTTCAAAATTAACCGAGTTATGGTAAAAACACCAATGACATTTTTATATTATACAAATAAAATAAGTAAAAAAATTTAGTGTGATTATTTATATGCAGCGTAGCAATTTTTTTTATGATTGATTATATTTAAAAATCGATTATAATAAAAATATTTTACATTAATATTGGTAAAAGGGTAGTTTATAAGAGTTGAAAATGGCAAAAGTAAAATATTCTTCCATAAACCGTATAAGGGAATTTTTATTTTAAATTATTGCACAATTGTAGCATTCCAAGATTTAAAACGTAATTTTTTATAATTTTTTTAGCACAGGGGTGATTTATAAGGGTTGAAAAGTGTTATGAGATACAAATTCTTTCATAAGCAATGAGGGAATTTTTATTTTAAATAATTGCACCGTTAAAGCATTCCAAGCTTTTAAAAAGTAATTTTTTATCATTTTTGTCAATACAGGGGTGGTTTTTAGGGGTTGAAAGGGAAAAATCCTTTTATTAGCTATAAGGTAACTTTTATTTTAAATAATTGCACGATTTAATCATTCCAAATCTTTAAAAAGTAATTTTGTATCATTATTTTTTGTATAGGGGTAGTTAGTAAGGGTTAAATAAAGGGTCGAAAAGATCAAATATATCATAAAACATGTTCGACAACATGGAACATTATTTAATCTTTGTGCTTGAACAAGATTTTTATCAATAAAATGCTTAAACATTGATTTTCAAAAACAAAAAGCGTCAATCGGGCCTATGTCACTTTTGAACTTGAGCCTAAGATGAGCCTTATTCTAAATTTTCATGCAAATCCATGCAGTTTCAAAGAATTCGGAGGTTACAGCTGATTTTCAGCTTCAATGACTGTAATAATATATGAATTCGTAAGCAAAAAAACGAGGCAAGCGAGATATCGAAGGGACAGCGCTAGTACATACGTTACCTGCACCACATATATTAAATATTACACAAAACGTGAATAAATAGAGCAAAAAAATTAATAATCATCATTGAAATTAATTTGTTTGTTGAGGTCGCTCACTGAGATGCGTTAAAAACCATCAGTAACAAAAAATTATGTTCGAGAACTACCGTACATTTGAACTACTTATGTTGTTTTAGGTACGAATTATTACGTAACCTGCTAGTTTCACCGACAATTCAAATGTCTGATAATTCCCTGCACAGATACAAGTGTAACAGATATTTTTAAACGTGGGTAAGTAAATTCGTCTTGCGTTAATATCAAAGTAGAATTTTAAAATTAGTTACGTCGATTCGTATCAGTTGCTGCGGTATTATTTCAATAAATAAATAAAATCTACTATTATTTCATACGTAGCAAGATTGAGACGTAGAGGAACTTAATAACGTTTCTTTCGAAGACCAACCGATAAGAACCGTCGTGAGACTTATCAGCGTAAAGCACAGATCATGCCAGACAAAAACAAAATAAAATCCAATTGGTTATCTTATCGCACCTGCTATTGCTGTCCGGTGATGGGCTTCTGGTGTGGTTCTCCGCCTCGGTTTCGGTGGCGGTTTCGATGTCGGAAAGGTTAGGGTACAACTTCCCGGGTTTGGGCGGCGACACCTTGATCCTTTTGACTTCCTCCAGTACTGAAGTTACCACCGGGCTGTCCCCTTTACCTGAAACGAGCCCAAGATTGTAATACGGTAATTTTCCAACGAAATCAACACTCACTGTGTCGTTTTCCCCCGCTCTTCCTCTTCTCTCCGGGTCTTGTAGTTTCGCCAACGATCGTGGCGGATTTTCCATGGATCATGGCCGTCTCTTCTGTAGCGTCGATTTCTTCATCGGAATCCTCCTCTATGGCTTCTTTGATTACCTACACACAAGTCGATATAGACAAGGTTGTAACGAACGACCGTCGTAATATTCACCTCTTTGTTCTTCTGGAAACGGTTAAGTAACATGTCCATCTCCTTCTGCCGTTGCTCTTTGATGCTGCTCTCGATCTGCTCCTGCGAGATCGTCGACTTGTTCTTGTTCTCCAACAACGCAGCCATTTTGCTTGCTATTCCGCCCTCCTGGTGTATCGCCGCGATCGTTGGAGAGCTACCTGCAGGTCGCGGGGCGGCACACTTTCCGGCCTTAGACGGGGTCTTCTCCTCCATTCTAATCACCGCCGTGGACTTCGGGGGCACGGGAATCTTTTTATTCGCAACCGAGCTCTGTTTATCTTTGCTTAGTATCGAACTCGGTTTCACATTTTCGTCCGTTATGATTTTCGTGCTGCTGGCTTTCATCGTCGTCTCCACCTTAACGGGCGCGGACATCCCGATGGGAGCTTTCGGAACCAAGGCGTTGCCCCTGTTCTTCTCGAACAGAGCTTTACGTTCCGAAACGGACAATAACGCGGGATCCTTTGCTTTACTGGGGCTCGATTCGAACATTGCTGCCTTGTTGGCGATTTGGGGGGCTCGGACGTTCGCTTTGGACGGAGACCTCGGGCAGGCGGGTTGATTGTTTGCGTAGAATTTTTGCGGAGAGCTCGGACAAGATACATTTACTTTTTGGTTCTTTGTCGGGACGTCCTTAACCGGTGACTGCCTGTTGTTTTCCATCATTATTTTGTTTTCATTGAATTCCTCTTCTTCTATAATCGTGTCGGGTTTTATTTCCTCTTGGCTTCTTGAGATTTGGGTAGTTTGAGCCGTTCTCACTTCAGCTTTCGAGCGCTGCTCCTGCGAATTATACGAATATACTAACCGCGAACTGGAAGATGTGCGAGTAAAGCCTTGTGATTCCTGAAGTAACAGTACAAAAAAAAAAAACAAAATCTATTAACATCAAATCGGAAATTACAAAAAAAATTACAGTAGTTACATTTGCTTTAGAAGAAGAAGAAGAAGAAGAAAGTGTATGAACTACTACTCATATAACATTGCAAATTATGAGTTAAATAAGTTTACCAGGGTGTCCAAGACATTTTGATCCCACTTGATGTGTTTGGGGACGGCTTCCTTCACTTCCGTCACGTTCGCAAGCTTCTGGGGACTGCCGGAAGATTTATTTGGGCTCCCCGTGATATTTCCTCGCTCTTCTACCATCCTTTTGACACTTGTGTCTTTTGTAACTACCGGAGGATCGGGTGCCTTGGGTTTCTGGGAAGGTTTTGAGGGATTGGGTTTTGGAGGGGATGAAGCGTTGGGTGGCTGAGGGGCGGGGGGTTTCCATGTTTTTCTGGGTGTTGACGGTTGTTTCTTCTCGACAGCAGTGCGATTCTGTGTAACAAACGGATGACGATGAAGGAGGAAAGAAGAATATTGCACAGTAGACAAGGTAATAAAATACGTGTGGAAATGTTGAGAAAATTAACTTCGTGTTGCCAAATTTAACAAGCTTCCACTTTACAAGTCACTAGTGTGAAAAAATGTTGGTAAAACAAATAAATAGACGGAATTTTTAAAAATTAATGAGCTCACATTGATTTTTAGTTCTAAACAGGGACATTTTTTTGAAAATGTTTAAAAATGCTCTAATGCTGAATATATTTCAACTAATTCTACTGTTGAAATCAATAAAAATGCACAACTACCCACCATCACGGCACTTGGACAAGAAATATAATGAATGGCAGACCTCAGTTCATTATTTAAAAAAAAAGTGCTTTAAAGATTAGTCACTCTTCACGGTTGTCTAAACTCTGGTATAAAAAGAAGACACATAGCATTTTCACGCCTTTTATATAAACACCGTAAATGGGTTCAATGAATTTATTAACAAGGCCTTTACAGTTTGTGAATAAGTAAAATAAATAAAACGTAGAATTTAGTAAGTGTTAAGTATTACATAACATAAACATATCCATGCCACTTTCTCTTATTTTGTTTTGGAATATATGAAACTTGTTTACATCCGTAATAAAAAATTATATCAAAAATTAATTATTAACAATAATGTTTACTTAAAAGTACCGATAAAATTATACACTTACTTGATGGACATCGTCCTCCCATTCATTTATAGTCTGCGCCAAATCTGCTAGCTTACTCAATCCTTTCCTAGATTTCGATGCACTTTTGGCCAAGTCTTTATCGCTTTTCATGTTACGCTCCTCTTTGTATTCTCTTTCGTAAAACTTGGCTTCTGTTTTATGAATCGGGGAAGAAATATCAGCATCGTCTCCACCTTCAAATTTTGAAATTAATTTTATTGCATAAACGTAATAAATGGTACGAAATACCTGCATATAATTTTCCTAATCGTTTCAATTTACTTTTCGATTCGTCCCTCAAACCGCCGTCGCTGACGGTACTTCCTGTATCGCTGTCATCCTTTTCTTCGATCTCTACCTCCACTCTAACATTTTCCGTGGCCGTAAGTTTAATTTCCATGTTAAAATTTTCTTTTTGAATGTTTAAAGTCTTCAACTGTGACTGAGGCGAGCCGGGTATATCCGAAGACACCCTAGTAGTTGAGTTTTGCCTCGTAAATTTAGCTGTACTAGTTTCAATTTTATTCTCTCTAATTTTTTCGCGTATGTCGGTTGCCGTATCCAAAACAGAGTCAGAAACGATTTCTTTACGGTTTGTGCATTTCACGCTTCTTAAATTCGGTTCAGAACGACTTGTAGTTTTTATTTCTTTATTGCTTTCGCGAAAAGGTGTTTTGTCGTTGTTAGAGTATCCCTCCAACATTTTTTGTCTCTCCCTTGCTCTTGCAAGTATGTTCTAAAATGATTCCTCGAGTATAATAAGAAGGAGAAGGGGGTGTTACTTACCTCTGTAAATGCGTCCATTTTCACAATTAAAACAAAAAGTTTTTACTCACTGTGCACTGAATCCACTGGTGCATTAACAAAACGATTTCCGTCAGTTTTATTTTATGCCAGTTACCTAATTTAAATCAACTTCGTGCACTGCAAATTGTAACCGACAAATTGCAAACAAACAAGAGACAAACCGTTTTTTGACATTCAAAAATAACTGTTTCGAATACTTCCCTTAAGATGTCGTATCTCACGTCATTTCATTGGTTTACGACAAACATCCAATTAGATGATACCAAAATGTAAGTTTCCTCCAAGGATATTTATAACGTATTATAAATATCCTATAAATATTTATAAAGAATATAAATTTTCTTGGGTTTCCTCCATATGAGTAAATAAATAAGAGGATTGATTGGATCGGGCGGAAAGAGCATGCATTCACTGGGGCCATCTAGCGTTAATGCGATAAAACTATGTCCTTTGTAGAAATTGTCACACAGAAATTTGAAATCACAGATTCAATCTATAAGGAGCCCTAAGTCCATGTAAACAAATATCTTACCAAATTAAGAGGGCGCATATGTACCGGTTAGAGTGGGGAGATAAAAGAAACGGTTACTTTGAATTAGATCCATACAACAATAAAAAAGGAAAATATGTGGTGTACAAGGAACACTAGTCCACTAGCGACTCTAGCGGTAAAAACGATAAGTAATTTCTACTATTACAGATATTATGAGTAACTAAATAAGAGGTTTTGATTGGAAAGGGTGGACCGGGCATGCATTCACTAAGGCCATCTCGCGTTAATGCAGCAAGTCATTGTACTTTATAGAAATTGTTAAACAGAAATCTGCAATCACATATCCAATCTGTCAGTCTACAGAAATAGAATGTTTGAGGTTATAGTCACTTGAGTAAATAAATATATTTACTCATATGGTTATAAGTTTATGTTCAAGTGGGTTGCTGCGTTTTGTGCATTGTTTTTTTTTAAGATTAATATAATAAGGGATTGATTGAATCAATAATCTCAACTGCCTTACTATATTTTTATTCGTTTTTTTTTTTATCTAAAATGAGTTTACCTGGTAGAACTACACGTCAATGTTGTGCTCCAAATTGCAAAAGCACTTACTATGTCTGTATTGAATCCTATAGAAATAAAAGTTTTTTCAAAATTACAAAAGACAGACAATTATCGTGGATAGAATCAGTTAGAAAATTATGCAAATCAGACTTTACTCTGACAGACGTAGATCATTATTTTTGTGAAGACCATTTTGAGTTAAAATGTTTTAAAAACAGTAATAGGAATAGTCTCAACAGAAATGCTGTGCCGACATTATTTTTAGGATCAGCTACAAGTTCAGCTATTAATTGTGATAATATTACCTGGGAATCCTCGGATAGTGTCCAATATTCAACAAAACGATTTGTTAACGTAACATTACAGAATGTTCAGGGTACGAGCTGCCAAACTTCAATTTCAGATGATTGTTCACCACCTTTTAAAAAACCAAAATACACATATTCAAAATTGTCGTTTCCTATAAGTGCTACTGCGAGTACCAGTGCCATTACTGAGAATACAGACAGCAAGTGCAATGAAGCCGAAGCGGAATCAAGTACTAGCCATGTAAGTACCTCATTTTGTCGCATCACATCTTTTCAGTCAAATAATAAACAAAGAACATTTCTAAAAACTTTGAATGTTAAGAGAATATCTCAACTTTCAGATAAACATAAAAAATGTATTATATAGATCGTCAACAGAAAATTCAGATTTTGAAATTAAAAAGGAAACTATTAAACTGTAATAAAAGTAATTTGTCCCATGTTCAGCACTTGCTTTAGCAATTTACAAACATGAGCCAAGGAGCTACATGTTTTTTCAGAAACTTTCTGTGCCGCACTCTAAATCTTCCATAAGGAAATATTAAGGCCAAATTTTGTTGATTGATTTAAAGAATATTTAATTTTATTTTACAGTAATAATTATTACTGGATATATCATCTACTTATTCACAAAAAGAATTTTTCTTATCGTTTAATAAATAGCTATTTTAACATTTATTTATGCAAAATTAAAGTAAATACTTACATTTTGATTTTATTTCCACAAGTGGTGATACATTCATATGTCTACGATCCTACTGTTTTTTTCCTATGTAGTAGTAGTAGTTCAATTCCCACATATAAAAGAAATCGGCAGTACATTGTACTGATGAGAACCAATTAGTTTGAAACAAATGTATTTCACCATAATTTTTGGCAAGCAACTGGGCAATATTATTTTACATTGTCAGGTAGGTAAATAATTCTTTAATAAAATTACTTTAAATTTTGCAGTTTTTAATGGTTTCTTAAAAAATAATAATAACAAGAGTCTCCCTGTACATTTTTTTGAGCCTTAATTATTTTATAATTCATAACAGAATGAATTCTTAAATTTGTCACACATTTAAAAATCACTGGTTTAACTTTTTCAATCAACTTAAGTGATGATTAAAGTGTTTCATAAATAATGGGTCATGGAACAGCTGTTAATGGATCACTTTAATTTTAATTATCAACGCAAACCACTAGCAGCTGTTTTGTGATCTATTATTTATGAAATACTTTTTATTCTAAAAGTGAATCGTTTAAATTTACCGTTATTATGGTGCAGCGACATCTATTAGACAGTAGAATTAAAGATTACTCTAATTATGTTTTCCCATGCAGTTTCCTTAATTATTTTGTGGTATGTGGTTTCCAAGCTTGTCTTTGTTCTTCTGCAACCACAAATCGAATCTGTATTTCCAATCTTTCAATCGACAGATAACAGAAATAGAGAGCTTGAGGTTATAGTCATATAAGTAAATAAATAAGAGGATTTTATTGGATAGGGCAGACGTAGCATGCATTCGCTGAGGGCATCTCGTGTTGTTATGGCAAAACATTGTCCTTTATAGAAATTGTTAAAACAGAAATCTGCAACGACAGATCGAATCTATTTCCAATCTTTCAATCAGCAGAAATAGAATGTTTGAGGTTATAGTTTATGTTGAAGTGAGTTGATGCGTTTTGAGCATTAATAAATTTGTTTTGTTTTGGATTAATGTAATAAGGGATTTATTGAATCAATCATCTGAACTGCCTTACTGTATTTTTATTCGTTTTTTTTTTTAAATCCAAAATGAGTTTACCTGGTAGAACTAAACGTCAATGTTGTGCTCCAAATTGCAAAAGCACTTACTATGTGAACGTGTGTGATGAGTCCTATAGAAATAAAAGTTTTTTCAGAGTTCCAAAAGACAGACAATTACTGTGGATAGAATCAGTTCGAAAATTATGTAAACCAGATTTTACTCTGACAAACACATGTAATGATTTTTGTGAAGATCATTTTGAGTTCAAATGTTTTAGAAACAGTAATAGGAATAGTCTCAACAAAAGTGCTGTGCCGACACTATTTTTAGGATCAACTAGTTCACCTATTAATTGTAGTAGTATCACCTCCCAATCCTCGGATAGTGTCCAGTATTCAGCAAAACAGTTTGTTAACTTATCATTACAGAATGTTAAGGGTACGAGCTGCCAAACTTCAATTTCAGATGATTTTTTTTCATCACCTTCTGAAAAACCAAAATACTCAATTTCAAAATTGTCCTTTCCTATAAGTGCTACTGCGAGCACCAGTGCCATTACTGACAGCAAGTGTAATGAAGTAGAAGCGGAATCAAGTACTGGTCATGTAAGTAGGTACCTCACGTAATGATACTTCATTTTGTCAAAGCATCACATCTTTTCAGTCAAATAATTAACAAAGAACACATCTAAAAACTTTGAATGTTAGAATATTTTAACTTTCAGGTAAACATAAAAAATGTATTATATAGATCGTCAATGGAAAATTCAGATTTTGAAATTAAAAAGGAAACTATTAAAATGTAAAAGTAATTTAAGTTAACATCTTGATCCAGTAGGAGTAAAACTTATTGAGTCGCAAATTAAAAATTGCGAAAAAAACGACCTATCTATAATTCAGAAAATAATGCACTTGCTTTAGCAATTTACAAACGGGAGCCAACTTTTTATGCAGCCCTCTAAATCTTCCATAAGGAAATATTAAGGCCAAATTTTGTTGATTTATTTTTATTAATATTTAATTTTATTTTACAGTAATAATTATTACTGGACATATCATCTATTTATTCACAAAAGGGATTTTTCTTATCGTTTAATAAATAGCCATTTTAACATTTATTTATGCAAAATTAAAGGAAATACTTACATTTTGATTTTATTTCCACAAGTGGTGATACATACATACATGTCTACGATCCTACTGATTTTTTCCTATGTTGTACTACGAGTAGTTGAATTCCCACATATAAAAGAAATTAGAACCAATTAGTTCAAAACAAATGTATTTAACCATAATTTTGGCAAGTAACTGGGCAATATTATTTTACATAAAGGCTGGTTTAACTTTTTCATTTAACCAAGTGATGAATAAAGTGTTTCATAAGTAATGGGACATGAACAGCTGTTAATGGTTCACTTTAATTTTAATTAACAACGCAAACCACTAGCAGCTGTTTTGTGATCTATTATTCATGAAATACTTTTTATTCTTAGGGTTGTATGACATTATACTAAATTAGAACTAATTTCAATAATTAATTAAGAACTTTTTAATCTTGCATAGTATCATACACAAATTGCAACAAAAATTGTTGCAGTTTCTGTATGATACTATGGAAGATTAAAAAGTTCTTAGTTAATTACTGAAATGAATTATAATTTTAACATAGTGTCATATGACCCTTAGTGTATTTTGAATCGTTTAAAATTACCGCCATTATGGCGGAGCGACATCTATTAGACAGTAGAATGAAAGCTTAATTTTGTTTTCCCATGTATTTCTTTAATTATTTTATGGTCTGTAGTTCCAAGCTTTTTGTTTATTCCACCTACTACAGACAAAAGTTTATAAATCCACTTATTTAATTAGTCGTATGGTTTCCCCTTAAATGGTCTAAATTAAACTGTTTAAAATTTGTCAATGTAATACTAGAAATTACTTATAGTTTTTACCACTAGGGTTGTTAGTGTTCCTTGTATGCCGACAAATTTTCATTATTTATCTAATTCAGAGTAGCCCACATTATTTATTTTAAAATTTTTAGCACATCACAAAAACGACACGATTGATTTTTAGTTCAAAATGCCGCTTTCTTTATTTCCTTCCATTATTTCCGTGCATATGGGACACTAGCGCCCTCTAATTTGACAAGATATTTGTTTACTTGGATTTCGTGCTCCTTGTGTAGTCTCCATGTGTTGAACATTTAAATTTTATTATTATTATCATTACAACATATTTAACAGTTTCTTTATTACAAAATAGAGATATCATAGTTAGTACAGTCATATGACTAAATAAATAAGACTCGTGGAAAGGATAGGAATAGCAGAATCATGAAAGTACGAGCGCCACCTCACAATCGGCCTGAAAAATACTGCCATTGTTAGCACTATTTATGTATAGAAAACTGTAATATTAACTTGAACAGAAAAGTAATATTTGTATTGGAACCTATAGAGTTCGCTGTAAAAATTAAAAATTGATGATTACATGTATTCTTTCGTGCGGAAGCTGAACAAACTGATTGTAATCTGTAACTAGCCAATCATAATACAGCATTTTAAAAATTGTTAATCATGATTGGTTCTTTATTAATTTCAATCACTTTGTTCAATACGAAAGAATACGTGTATTGAAGATTAGGTCACAAAGGGCATGTGTTCTGTGGATTAGGTTAGGTTTGAGGTTATTTCTTCTCTATGTTGTATATAAAGTTCAGTAATTTGTGGTTTTCTATTTTAGACTACAATTTAATGTAACGCAAGAAGATAATTATAATTGTTGAATTGTTCATCCGAATTGTCTTACTGTTTTTGCTTCTTTTACTTTTTAATAGAAAATGTCTGGAATGATCTCCCATCACTGTTGTGCACCAAACTGCAAGAATACATATTATTTATATACCACAGATACTTCTTACAGAAATAAAAGCTTTTTCAGAGTTACCGCAGACAGGAAAATGATTTGGATAGAATCAGTTCGCAAATTATGTAAACCAGATTTTAACTTCATCAACGAAAAATGTTATTTTTGCGAAGACCACTTTGAATTAAAATGTTTCAGAAATAGTAGGAAGAATAGCCTCAACAAAAATGCAGTGCCAACAATATTTTGTGAATCAAATAGTATATCATCACATTTAGATTCTCTTAATAGTTACATCGACTTGAAAACTACTCTAGAGTCAGTTAAACAGTTTGTTAGTGAAACGTTAGAAAATGCCGAAATTAATGAATGCCAAACATCAATGTTAGATGATTTTTCAGAACCACCATTAAAAAAACCAAAATACACTTATTCCAAATTGCCATCTCTAAATACCACTGCAAGTACTAGTACTGACGACGCCATGCCGGATGAAGTAGATTCAAATACTGGTTGTGTAAGTACTTCACATAATACTTCACTTTGTCAAAACTTCACTTGTAAGTCGAATAGTAGACAACAAAAAACGCTTTTAAAATCTCTCAATGTTAAAATAAAAAGTTTTATTATTTAGACCGTAAACAAAAAAATCAGATATAAAATTAAAAATAATTTGTCCAATGTTTGTAATATCAGTTATTCAAGGTTATTCACAGATTTTTCTCAACGTCTCGATCCTATTGGAGTAAAATTTATTGAATCACAAATTACTAACCGCAAAAAGAAACATCCTTTAATTAATATTTAAGTACTTGCATTTAAAAAAACAACTGCTTATGCATTTTTTAGTCATTGCTTAAAAAGTGAAACCAATAATAGCCTCTTAATGGATATACCTACTAAAAAAGTCAATCTTTTATACCATTATTGTGTGTAACTTACATGAAATGAAATTCATAAATCAATGACTACATAATTTTGTAAAAAAAAATCAATTTTTACATTAGAACTGATATTTTTTTACAAAACTTTGTTGTCAATGTTTATGAATTTTATTCCATATATAAGTTGCACTCTGAATATTATAGTGTATTTAAATTTGCCGCCAAGTGCAGCGTAATAAAGCGACATCTATTGAATAGTTTTTGAACTACATTCTCAAACCAAAAAAGACTTGCACGGTCATTGCGGTTTTTGTTTTGTGTTGCAGTTGCTTTTGTTCACAGGCCGGGTGTAAGTTGGCGCCAGTTGCGTCTGGAATGGCAGCAAGTGATGCTTCCAATGAAAGACAAGGAAATAAACCCTCTTATTTAATTACTCTTATTAGTACAGTTTTAAGATCAGTGTATGGTTGGTAAGAAGTGTTGGAATAATGAACACGAGGTGACAGCACCAGTAATTTTGAAAATAATTTGTAAATATTAAAATTTTGTACATTATTTTAAGCGATATTTTACTAAATACGAGTATTTAATCTTATTTAAAAGATGGGTTAATTGTAATCAGAAATAATACGGAAATGTTTATAACAAAATTACATAAAATAGTACGTATGTGCTGCCATCTCTGTAAGGTAACAATTTCGGGAACCATTTCTGATTTCGCCATTTGTCTTCTAATAAAAATGTTAGAGTATGTCAGTTCCCCGATATTTTTTGAATTTTGAATTTGGAAGTCAAGTATATTTTATGTGTACAAAATTGAGAAAATACAAACGTTTACGTATATGCAAAATTTTTAGATCATCAAAATGACGTGCAGAACTTGTTTGAAAGTGATGGATCCGAATTCTGGTGTGGATTTAAGGAAAAAATTAAGTTTAGGTAAAACCATCGAAGAAATAATACTTCTTTTTGTTCCAGAAATGGTAAAAGTGACCTTATAGTTCTGTTTTTAATTTTATTAATATAATTCTTCCTCAGGTAAAATCAAAATTGGTGGATAATGTTATATGTAGTCAATGCGTGAATACTGTCGAAGTCTTTGCAAAGTTTATAGAAAAGATAGTCAGTGTTGAAAATTATTTGAAAGCCACAAATTTTAGTCAGAAACAAATAGGTAGGATTTTTATTTTTGTAAAAGGTATTATTTTACTCGAAGCGTTACTTATTTTTAAGATAAGTTAAACAGAACACTTGAAGAGCCTGGAGCAAGTACAACCAATAAAAGTTTAAACGAAGGAAAAACATTGCTATTAGAAGTGAGTTAAACAATCGTTTATTTTTATTGTTACAATGCACAAATCGAACAATTTTCCAAGCAGGTGCAGCAGCCGCTTTTAAAACCAATAACTTTTACTAGACCGTTAAGAACATATCCCGGTAGAAATCAAATCCCTGTGTTGATACTCGCAGAAGAGCCGTCGAATGTTCTTAGTCCGACTATCGCTAATGTAGTACAGTGTAAAGAAAGCCCTGTTATTGTAAGTACTCAAAATCTTATAGAAGAAACTAAAAAATCTGCTGAAAACTGCAAGGTAAGATGTTTGTTTTCGTTAAACGGACCTTGGAATGTGACATTTTTTTCAGAAAGTGATTGATTATGCAACCGAATTTCTAAAACCCATTTTTCATCATTCGAAGAGTGATAATGATGTCTCGGAGATAAGTAGTTCGCCCAAAGGCGAACCAGAGGCGACAAAAGGTACTATTTGTTTTTATTCTTAGAAAGAAGTTAAGGTTTTGTAACGAATATAATTTTTAGCAAGTCCTGAGGATTTAAAAACCATTGATCGAGTTGCCGTTACAGAATTTTTGGAGACGAAAGAAGACGATTTGGCGTTACCGACGATAAATTTAGCCGCCGAAAATGGAGATTCGAGTCTGTCCGGTGACGAATTGCCAACAGAAAAACAGTGCCTGGACAACATATTCAACAACACCGACTTAATAAAACCGTTCGACCCATCCCCGTCGTCGACCGACGTCAACCTAGACCACAACCGAATAATCGCCATGACGAAAACAAACATGGAAACCTTGGATCTTCTAACAAAATTGTCGGAAAGCAACGTCACGTTAATAAAACAGAACTCGCTGAAAGAAACGGGGACGAAACGGATCCTCTTGCTAGGAGCGGTGATTTTCCACTGCCCGGAATGTAAGATCCCATTCACCAGCCACAAGACCCTGAAGATTCACTTGATGGCGAGGCATCCGAACGCCACGCCCCTCCCGAACGTAGAGAACAAATTCTGCGACGTCGTCACGTATTCCAGGTTCTCGGGGACGATGCGGAAGGTCTGTCCGGTGTGCGAGAGACGTTTCATGACGTGCAGAATGTTGGAGAACCACATACGTCAGGTCCACCAGGACTACTACCTCTATTCGTGCCAGGTGTGCGGGAAGGAGTTCAAAAAAAAGAATAATTATATCACGCACGTTAAGAATTACGAAACGTACCAGAGCTGCAAAGTGAGGAAGTGCTCGTTTTGTAAGGAACTGTAAGTATTTTGTTTTGACGTAGAAGCGTTTATAAAATTGTGTGAAACTGTCCTTTGCCTTGTAATTTTCAAACGGATAAACCGATTGTGACGACTCGATAGCTCTTAAAGTGGCTGGGATATAATTCAAAGTTCAGAAATTTTCATAAGTGCACCCCTGAGTGCAACTGAATACGAACCGAATTTGAGTAGACCCCTAATTCTTCAGTGGTGCTGTTTTACAAACAATTTGAGGACACTCATCAAATTTGGTCACTCAGTTGCAAAAATTAAATTGATTCCTTGAACTTTGCACTCTACTGAATAACTCCTTACAAATTTACAAAAATTCATTTTGCCTACTGTGAAAACAAATAGCTAGAAGTTAGTAGGTCATTTCACTAGTAGGTACAAAGTAATAGTTCATGGCAGTAGGCATTGGTTAGCGATGACATTTAAGACATGACATATATTTTGCGGGTTATATCTCGCCTACACTCAAAATATTTGTTTTATAATTAAACTTCCAAAGCTTCACTGCGTTTAATTCCCGACAATTAGGGAGCGTGTTTAAACTGAAACAAGTTTTTTATGATCCCTTATACAATGTAAAAATTGCCGTTTGTTTTTTTTTTTTTTCAAAAGCACTAATTTTAGAAACTAATTGGAATAGCAATATTATAATCTATACAGGGTGTCCCGAAATTCATGCAACAAAATTTGGTCACAGATTCTTAAGACAAATTTATTTTTGCCAAGTGGCCCCCTCTTTCGGAGTTACAGCCCTCTGAAATCCACCCCCAAAAAGAATATTTTTTTTATGTCTCGGACGAACCCTGTTCTACGAAAGTCACTAAATTTGGTACACAGGGGTTTTATGACATGTGGAATCTGATGGTGCTACGCTTTTTGGTGGGGTACCCCCTTAAGACAATTTTTCGTGGGCCCCCTTGTCTTTGGAGCCAAAACAAATTGCTCGCATATTTAAATTTCTTAAAAATCTACTAGAAAGTCATTACATTTATAAACTTTTTGTCTCTTTATACTTTTTTCGTAAAACGCAATGTTTTCGAGAAAAATGTCAAAATGTGATCGAATGCATATCGTGATTCGCCATTTTCCACAAAAACATTGCGTTTGATGAAACAAATATTAAGAGACAAAAAAGTTTCTAAATTCAATGGCTTTCTAGCTAACTAATAATTTAAAAAAAAATTTAATTTCCAAAAAAATTTTTGTAGTTCCAGACACGAAAAAGTGTCTTAGGGGGGTTTCTCGCCAAAAAGCGTGGCACTGTGAAAATCCACATGTCATAAAACCCCTGTGTACCAAATTTAGTGATTCTCGTGCAACATGGTTTTGAGATATAAAAAAGACTTCTTACGGGCAGATTTCAGAGGGCTGTAACTCCGAAAGAGGGGAAAAATACGGGTCCCCTAAATTTGTCTTAAGAATCTATGACCAAATTCTGTTGCATGACTTTCGGGACACCCCGTATAGGGTCAAAGGAAAAAGTATTAATTCCACAAAATGTAAGTTATATGAATGTATCCAAAAAAAAGGTAACGTAGTCAGCGACTTGCCGATATGCCGATATGATAGACGATAATATTAGATCTTTTTTTCTGGGGCCGGCTGTGCACACCCCTGCTCCCCCCCCTAGCTACGCCCATGTTTTTTGTATTCACTAATGTCAACTTCATTTTTTGCTGAAAGGGTTGCTTTCACCATGGAATAATACAACCACTTTGAAGAAAAATACTCTTTTGACAACTCGGAAAAATATGCCAGTAAAATATTTTCAGTATATTTTTTAATTCCGTGTTTCTTGAATATGTCATATGGCGATTGTATTTTTCGACTGATTTTTGTGGTAGAATTTCAAAACAAGTTTCTATCGACTTTTCTCGAATTGCAGGCGGCATGCACTGAATGTCTTTTTCCATGATTTTCTATGAGTAATTCGCGACAAAACTTTAACTGTTTGGGCTGTGACAGCGACTAACGATGTTGATAAGTATTTGCGTCCGGTAAAATGCTTGATTTTTACAGTAAAATAAATGTGTTTGTATACTTCTGGAAATCGCTACGGCAATGCAGGGCTCTATTGACGATTGGCGATAAAAATATAATTTATATAATTATATGAAAAAAAAATGTACACAAATTTTGAAATTCACTCCTGCCACCTTTTTCTCATCAAAACAAATTACCGATTTTTGATCTAACACAAACCAACCAGGCTTAACTCTTGGCACAACCGACTCCAAGTTGTTTTAAGACAACTTGAATAAATTTTATTTCTTCATAAACTTTTAGAGTTACCAAGGAAGGATATAAGACCCACGTAGAGACCCACAGAACGTTCAGGTGCAACAAATGCCGAATGTTGTTTTTGTCCGCCAGAACTTTAAACAAGCATTACCTGGTTCACCAAAAACCCGTAGTCAGGAAAAAATGTATGAAAAAAGAACTCTGCATCATTTGCGGTAAGTCCCGTCAAAGTCTTTGTATTCGTTTAGTTTTTTAAAAGAAAAAAAATGATAAAGCATCCATTTCTTTTCTGTGACGTCAGTTTCTGCGTCTTAATTTTGTGATTTAATGTCATTTTAAACCCGTTTTTATGTGTGGATCTGCAGGTAAAATGGTGATCGGTTCCAACATAAACTACCACATGAAAAACCATTCGGCGAACCGCGACCTGCTCTGCGACAAATGTCCAAAGTCCTTCAAAATGAACAACTGCCTGCAGAAACACATCAGGTTGGTGCACGAAAACCCTGAATACCACGAGTGCTCGCTTTGCAACAGGCGGACCAAAACCAAAAGCGCGTTGAAGTACCACATGAGGTGAGAAATTAAAAAACTTCGTTACAAATAGATTTTTTTTTCCAACTTTGCAAGCGTTTCCAGATTAAAACATTCCGATGTGTACACGTTCCTGTGCAGCCTCTGCGGCAGCGGTTTTATTAGGGAGGATTACTACAAGAGGCACATGAACCAGCATCTGTTCGACAACCTGTCCGAGGGCCACAGGGCGGCCAGAAGGAGGAACATTTACGCCAAAAGGAAGGAAAACGGTAAGCTGACATTTCTACTTTTCAGGTCGTTTACTACGGACGTTATGCGAGGCGTAACAACGCGACGTGTTAAAAATGGAAGTCGAATTTAACCCTCAAAAGTCACACTAGTGCGAATGCACACCACCGTTTTTTTTTTTTTTGGGGTCAAATAAAGGTGACCTTGAAGTCAATTTTCAAGGTCATTTCAATATCGACCTTGATTTTTAAATGGAAACCTATATTTTTTGTTGCAGATTTGTATTTTGTGGGGGAAAAAACAAATTTTGTTTGAAACATTGTTTTGAAAATGCTTCGTTCTCTCACCAGAGTGCGCTTTACTTTTACTATTCCATTTTAATTCTCAGGCTAACATCTCAAGAAATAAGCAGAATGGTAAAAATATCTCCGACAAAAGTTGTCAGGTTTCGGAGGGATCAAATTACTCTGACCTTGAAATTATACTTAAAGTCAAGGTCATGTCAAGGTCAACCTTGATTTTTTAAATGGAAACCCATATTTTTAGTACAGTTTCGTATTCTGCGGGAAAAACGTAACTTTTGTATGAAATATTATTCTTGAAACGGCTTTCTGTACGTATTTTTTCCCGCAGAATACGAATCCGCAATAAAAAAATATGGGTTTCCATTTAAAAAATCAAGGATAACCTTGAAATGACCTTGATAATTGACTTCAAGGTCACCATAATTTGACCCCCTTCGAAACCTGATAACTTTTGTTCGAAATATTTTTTTATAAAAGTCTAATACAAAAATTATGCGGCCTGGTACATTAAAATGGGACACCTTGTATAATCTCTTCAATGTTGAACCACACTTACAAATATTTTCTTATTCGGTACTTGTCTGTTGCTCTTGCAACAGCATCATTTTCTCCTGACAAAAAATAGGCTCTAACCATATCAGCCCTTTTTAGATTACTTTCCATTTTGTCGTTATGTGACGACAAGAGATGGACTAAAAGCAGGTTATGTTCTCGGGCGCACTAAATGACATCACAATCCATTTTTGATCACTAAATTTCTGTACATGTTGCCTATCCGTCATTTTTAACACGTCGTCGGTGTGCTACACCCGCACTCTCCGAGGAAAAGACGATTTCACGAACAACTAATTCCTTTTCAGACCCGTTATACACCTGTAAATACTGCAACAGGGAATACACCACCGTGTATAAACTGAGGATGCACCTCATAAGCAGCCACGTGAACGGCATGAGGTTCAAGTGCCGCTACTGCGACATGACGTGCAAATCGGTCGCGAACAGGTACAAGCACGAGAAGAGGCACGAGGATCCCGAGACATTCGCACTAACGTAAGTCTTGGTCTTGACTCTAGCGACGACGATCCGATTGTTCCGTATATTTGTTTCAGTTGCCAGATTTGTTGGAACAGGTTCAGGGATAAGGATCAGCTGGCGGTCCATTCGTTGAAACACGTGGCTTCGCAAAGGTACAAGTGCGAGGTATGCGACAAGGCGTTTGCTAGGAAATACCTGCTGAACCACCATGTGAGCGAGACGCATTTGACCAAGGAACAGCTCGAGGAACAGAAGATTATTTTGCTTCAGGACGGCTTGAAAGATTACAGGATTAAGAAAGATCGCACTCCAAAAGTCGAAGAAACTTAAAGAATGTTTTATTTTTTAATGTCTTGAAGTTTTTTTTTGCTTTTTTCATTTTGTTTTTTACCTGACTAGAATATTTTTATACATACGATTATTGCTCTTTAATAAAGAATGTTGAGAAAAATGTTTTTTTTATGAAAAATGGCCTAAATTGGTGAAATTTACAGAATGGGCGACATCTAACGAAATCACTAATCATTTCCAACATTTTTAAAATTTACGCCATCTATTAGTTGTATAGGTGTAAATAATTTTTGTTCTTTTTACTTTAGAATCAAACCTAATTCGTTGTGTCATATGTCAATTCAACGACCTCTTTAACTACAAGGTCACTATTTAATAGTACATAGAATGACTTCTATTGTCGCCACTGTTCCTATGTGGCCGCTGTATGAACAAAATTTCTGCGTTCAAAGTCAGTTACTATCCATTCATTCTGTAAATTTAGTTCAATGGTGTGCGCCATCTACCGCGTACAGGTTATATTAAAATATTTGTACCAATTTATTCATAACCACATATCTTTTTAAAATCTTAACCCCATATTGTTTTGACTTGACTTGGTTGTGTCGACTGCAGTATTTTCAAAAGTTGACATACAAATTTAAAAATTTGGTCCTGATATGCCTTTTTTGAAAAGAATAGTCCAAAATGCAGTGCAGAACGTGTTTACAAAAATTGACATGTCGTAGGTTGCCCCTTAAAATGAGAGTATCCTTTGGGAAAACTGTGGAAGAAATACTACAATTTTTTATCCCAGGAATGGTATAAATAAAAATACGTTCGTTACTTCATTTTGATGTCGCTTGTGTTTAGGTTAAATCGAATTTGGTCGACGATTTCATATGCCCTAGTTGCCTGGATGCCATAGAGGTATTTCTGAAGTTTATTAAAAAATGTATGGACGTTGAAAATTTCTTAAAAGGGGAGATTGTCAAACAGAAGCAAGCACAACACAATGTTGATGTTTCAGACTTGGAAAATGAAAATCGAGTTAAAGAGGGTACAAGTGTTAATCGAAACAACGTAAATTATGGTACAATTTTATTTATGATACTTGCAACAACTATTTACTGTTCATGTATTTTACAGACAACTTGAAGAAGAAATTGAGGGATCGGCTGGATGAATTATTGAAAGATCCAGCTCGAGATAGAGAAAGATCGAGAAAGGTATGATACTTTAATTGTTAAATAAAGAGATAATTTCTTGTATCAAAACGTTTAAACAGGGACTGCAGCTGCCTTTCAACGAAGAGATAGGTTTTATAAAACCGCAGAAGACTTACCCTTGTAAAAAACGGAGTCCTCAAAGATCACCTGCCAAAGAGGTATTTCTTTGTTTTTCTTCGTAGTTTTACCTATTACATAAATTACTTTTTAGCTGCTACTTGAAATTCCTGGATCAGATTCTGATGCAACACCAATTTCGAATCCTAAGATCTCTCCCGAGGATATAACCGTCGCTTCCGAAAGACAGAAGGTAGTGTCCAGTACAGTTTTATAGAACTTTAAACCTATTTTGTTGGATGTTTCATTAAAAATTTGGTGTTTTTAGGACGTTACTTCTACTTTTGTAGGGGGAAGTGCGAGTGCGATATGCGAATCGTGTGGTGAGAAACTTATTTCTGATAGTTGTAGTAACACGAAATGTGCCAATTGTAAGTCAAAAAAAGGTAAGTCTTATTAACACGGGGTACACACAAACGGGACACCATACATAATTTTTTAAATAGTACTTCAACAAATCATTAATACACTTTCAGATGTTCAAACGGAAGGAAATACAAAACGTACAGAAAATCCGTTGATTTTTAAAAACAATCCGTACATCGAACTTGGAGAAGCCAACACGAACAGGCCAAAAATGTACTCAACGGTCATCTCAGAAAACGGCACCTCTTTGAAAATAGTCCTCCCAGCAGCATCTCGTTCAATCGTTCGTAATACCAGTCGCGTAGTAAGTATCGTCACGAACGAATCGAAATCCGACTTCCTAAAAAACTGTTTCCAACACATCAACTTGGTGAGGGTACGTTCGCAGCATGAAACGAACCCGAAACGAATACTCTTCCTTGGCGACGCCCTCCATTGTTGTCCGGAGTGTAAGGAATGGTTTCCGTTGAAACAGTCCCTGAGGGCACATTTCAAGGTGGCACATCCGGGCTGCCGGTACACATCTCACCCTAAAACGCTCAAAGTGTCTAAGGATTGTCCGGTCTGTAACGAGAAGTTTGGCACGCACTTGATGTTAGAGAACCACGTTGTCCTTCAACATAAGGAATCGTATCTTTATAACTGCGACATGTGTAGGAGGAAATTCAAGAGGTTCTTTAGTTACAAGGAGCACCTCAAGAGCTATGAGTTGTACGGGGACTGCACCGTTAAAAAGTGCCCCATCTGCGAACAGTTGTAAGTAAAAATGATTTCGTAACATGGATGAAAACCCATTTATAGTTCTTATCACTATCGTTTGGTGTCCATTTGCCATATTTTGCCCTTCACCTTCACTGTATCATTGCCTACTAGTACTTTAACCTATTGACAAGGTGTTTTGATCTACTGACGTAAGGCGTTGTTTTGACCTACTGACACAATGTGTTGTTTTAACCTACTGACAGAAGGTGTTGTTTTGATCTACTGAATTTCCATTCTTGAATGCAAAACTACCATTTCACGTTGTAGATACAAAATTAACTATTTAAGTTATTTTATTATATTTTCAACGCTTGAATTTGGTACGTTCTTTAAATTCTTTTAATTTTGTAATTTGTCTTTTTACAATGTACAATGTTATATCCTGCTGGAAACTTTAATTTGTGGGTCTTATTTTTATTATATTTATACGGGGTATAACTTTGAATTAATTCATACTTTATTAAGAACTTGAAATAATTTAAAAAAAATTGAAATATTTTATTTTCAAGCAAAAAAATACCGAAATAAATACGATATTGTCTGTAGTTATTTATACGAGGCATAATTTTAGTTGTTCTGTTGTTTTGAGTATTTTGTTACCTGTGCAAAAAATTAAAAAACTTCAAAGAAACAAATAAATAATTACAGACAGTACTTCAAGATAAACCGTTTGATTTCAGGGTTAACAAGGCCTCGTACTTGAAGCATTGCAAGACCCACCAGACCATCAAGTGCGACCTTTGTAAGAGCAAGTTCATGTCCCGCGCTCGTTTCAACGCCCACCGGTCGAAGCACCAAACCTGTGGACTAGCCGTAGAGAAAGAGAAAGCTCTTTGTCCCGTCTGTGGTAAACGCCGAAGCGTTTTATTCCCTCGACCGTTCTTTTGCATATCATTTATTTGTAGGCGAATTGGTGACCCGTGGGGCTCCGCTGCGAATCCACATAGAAAATCACACGGAGACCCGTAGTTATCTCTGCGACAAATGTACAAAGTCCTTCAAGACGAACGGCAGCCTTCTTAGGCACATCGAAAAGGTGCACATAGATGGTAAACGGTACGAGTGCCCGATATGTAAGGCAACGGCGAAACACATGTATTCGTTGAGGTACCACATGCGGTAAGATTTTTGTTGGGTTGTTGTTTTAGAGTTTAGAAGGATTTGGTGCCGTAGGTTGAAGCACATCCAAGCTTATTCCTACGTGTGTGACAAATGCGGGAAAGGTTTTTCCCGTACCGACTACTTCCAGAGACACATTAAAAGTCACTTGGACGCAAAATGTGGCGATTCCGGCGATCGACGAAGGAAATACCGTTACATCCCGCCAAATTCAACCGGTAGGAACGTAAACTTGGCACGGACGTTTATTAAATAACATTTAATGTCTTTTTAGACCTGGCCATCTCTTGCAAGTATTGCAATATGAGGTTTACTCACGTTCATAAGCTTCGGGTGCACCTGCTCCATAAACACTTGACGAATTCCGAGAGGCCCAAGTGTCTGTACTGCGACATGACGTTCTCGAATATCAGGAATAGGATCAGGCACGAGAAGAGACATAGAGATCCCAAGGCGTTCGAGTTGACGTAAGTTTTCGCGATCCGAAACTTGTACGGTGTTTATTCCGTGATTCCGTTTCAGCTGTAACGTTTGTTACAATCGGTTCGGGAGTAAGGCGGATCTGGACGCCCATTCCGCTAAGCATAAGGAGTCGCAGAAGCGGGTATGCGAGATTTGCGGGGAGACGTTTCCGAGTAAGTATTTCCTGCAACACCACGTGGGGGAGAAGCACTTCGACAAGGCGAAGGTTAAAAACGAGAAGAGCGCTCTGTTGAAGGAAGGTTTGAGTCATGTGATTATAAAGCCAGGTTGATTATGGCCGTAGGTTTAGGGAAAAAATTTGAATAAATTGGTATTTTTTATGTGTATGTAGTAAAAAAAAAATAAAAATGGTATATACGTTGTTTTTTAATGTCCGTTTCTTTTTGCAATTCTCTTCTCTTCTATGACACTTTTATATGAACGTTGTTTTCTCAAAAATAAATAATTTACACTTTTTTTGTGAATTCTTAATAACATCCTTATAAAATCACTCACAGTGATGAAAATATTGTTCCATATTCGATTTCCTTCATGGTTTTTACATAATTCACACTATCGACCAGTTTCGGTGACATATGCTTTTTGACAAAGCTGCTAATCTGTAAATACAATGTAAACGAGAGTACAGAGGCTTACGAAAATTCACTTCGTCTTTATTCTTGTTATTATTATGGCTCTAAAGCCATATATGTCCAAATCGCATGAATTAATTTCCTTAAGTCCCTTATAGGCTAGTCAAATTGACGAAAATACCTAGTTTTTTGCTAAAATTTAGTTCGGTAAACAAAGACGGGTAAAAATTTATCCCAGTTGAATGTTAGGGCTTCATTTTCAAAATGGCATTCAAAGTTTTTGCAAAAAACATCTTTTTCATTTAAAAAATTTTAAAAAACTAAACATTTTTAGTTATTGCAAAAAAACGGCTAAAAATGGCATTTCTTTAGAACTTTTATGCCTTTAGAACGAAAAAAGATTTTTTTATGAAACTTTAAGAATATGTAGTCCTTGGCAAGCAGAATAAGTGCATTTTTGTAAAATTGCAAAATATTTAACAGTTTTCGCAAAAATTGAGTTTTTCCAAAAAAATAAAATTTTTTTCAAGTGTCAATAAATCATACAGTAATACACTTACGTGACCCATCGTGGGCTAAAAATTTTCTCAGAATTGTGCTTTCCTGTGAAAATTGTTCGCGTATATCAAAATAATTAGAAATATGCGAAAAATGTACCAAAACTTTTGACTTCTTTTTTTGGGTCGAAAAATATAGATCATTTTCTTATCGTTGAAATTTAATCGAAATGGCATTATTGCCATTTGAAAGCTGACATTTATACACAAATTAAAAAAATGTGTAAGCATTTTACGGGACCAATGGAATTAAATTTACTGTAAAAGAGGGGGTGTAACAAAAGCCGGGACGCGTGGTCATTTAATTATTAGTTCTTGGAACGGATGGGCCAAAAAGTAACATATTTCAGTCAACACTAATTTATCGAAAGTTAAGGGCTCTCAAGTAGGTTTAGCGTCGTCCTTCGGAGAAATTTAGCAATATGTTGATTGCAAATAACTCGCGAAATGCATTCCAAAGAACGTAGGAATTCCAAAAATAAGTTATTAGAAAAATAATAGATCAAATAGCTGGTTTTTAGGCGGATTTTCCAAGGTATAAGGATATATTAAATGAGATTGACTATATTGCTATGCGGAGTCACTAGAAGAAGGCTAGGGTTACTTGTAGGTTCAGTTAGTCACAGAATTATTTATATAAATGTAAGTCCAGTCAATTAGGTAATTATTAACATGGCATAGTTATGACAAAGCGTCCCGATATTCAGGTTCCCGCCAATAAGATAAGAACAAACATTTCTGGACCCAAGAAATGGTTGTGTTGAAGCGAGGTGTCGAATTCAGGAAAGATCCGAAAAACAGGCAGTTTTTCCTTAGGTTCCACATTGATAAATCGACTTAGTTTTAGAGTCTCGGGTTAATTTAATAATGGACAGTCATTCAAAATTTTGCTGTGGATCGTGCATTTCCTGAATCTCGGTATGCTGTCGCGTGTAAATAAATAAATTAATAATGTTGTTCGAGCCCATTGTGTCGTTAGTTTGTTTTGTTTTTATTGTTGTAGCGGTTTTTAAAAAAAAAATTTCTCAGCTGTTGATCGTAGGACATCTTTTTTTTAAATTCGTGAAAAAATTTCAGTTTTTATATGGCGATAATGCCATTCCGATAAAATTTCAACGATAGGAACAAGATCTACATTTTTTGACCCGAAAAAAGAAGTCAAAGTTTCGGTACATTTTTCGTAGATTTCCAATTATTTTGCAAAATGCGCACAATTTGCACAGGAAAGTACAACTCTTAGAATAAATCTTAATTTTACAAAAATGCACTTATTCTGCTTGTCAAGGACTACTGCCCTGCTCGGGAAACCACATCAAAACTGTCAGCAACGCCACTGCGACTGCAGCGAACCTCTTGCTTTGCACTTCTCGATCGGACCGTGAACGTAATTGACCATTCCAGTACTGTTTTTAAGAATATCATATTTATAACTATTATTTTAACAAATTTTTTCACTGTTTACAATAATTTACTACCTGTCAGTTTTTTCTTTTTTTGAAGAACACAATATTTAGGGAGATAGCACTGACTTTGTTTTGTTTAAAAATAAAAAAAGAAGAGCTTTCGAGACAAATGACCTTCACAGTATTAAAGACAATAGTTTGACTTATCGTCAGTAAAGATTTGAAATTTTTTTTATCAATTAACAAAAAAATTACGACGAGTTAAAGTGAGAGGTATCAATTTTGTAGGCAAAAAACCGAATTTTTCAACATTTTCAATAATAACTAAAAAATGGGATAACGAAACTGACTGAAATCTTAGCACACAATAGAGTAATAGTGAGGCTATATATGGTCCAAATTTCAAATTTTATTGCAGTTACGTTTTCCTAAAATCGGTTTCCAAACTCAGGGGTTTATTTCACTTATTTCGATAGTAGGCACCTACAGACTAGTAGGTCAATTATTGCCAGTAGGTACGAAGCAATGCTCTGTGCCAGGGTAGTGGGCCTTGAGCAGCAATGATATAAGATATTATTTGTAGGTTATATCTCGCCCACACTCAAAATACGTCTAAATTAAAAATACGAATAGCCACTACACAATATTTTTATAGTGTCATTTATTTGTATTTATGGTACAGTCACATCCATAACACAATAGAAAAATATTTCATATTTAAATGTAAAAAAATGGTAATTTTTTATTATTTGGATTTCTTCTTATCAGGAAACGACACTAATAAATTAAAATATTTATTGATGGATTATTAAAGTGGACTAACAAAAACACTTACATCTACAGATACGAATTACTAATATAAATATTAAACAACTTATTAAACATCAAAATTTACATCGTATCGGTTACTTTAAAGTGATCGTTGTCTATCGTAGAGTAAGCGTGGCCCTCATTGATGAGGAAATCCAGAGCGGCACTAAAAAAAACGGTTTTCATTCAACCTAGCTCGAAATTAATTCATGCACTACTTACTTCACTTCGCGATGCTGATTCGGTGGAAACTCTTTAAGCACGTTCTGGCGATGCGTCCCGGCGGGTGTATCATTAGCCTGTAGGATTCTATACACTTTCTGCTGCATGGTGGTAAGTCCGTTCTGATCGTTTTGTGCGGTATTCTCGTCCATGAAGCTCATGGAATTAGCCAGTGCTGCTCCAGGGTTATTCGATTTTATTTGGAGCTCCTAAAACGATAGCACAATTAGATAAACGTTTTTGTTAACATTTGTACTCACCGATGACTTGCTCATCGCTTCCAGTGCAAGTCTTGCATGAACGACTTGCAGGAGATGATTCGTTATTACATTAGAGTCTTCGACGAGAAACATTCTTAACACCATCAGTATTTTGCCCGATTCCTGGTTACGTAGAGACCCGAATACCTGCACGTAACTGCCTTCCTTGACAGCTGGTAGGTTTGGGGTGCTGTCACCGTCATGTTCTAGCCACCAAATGGCCTTTATGCTACCGGTGTGATCTTCTATGTTATATGTAGCTTTGGTGGACTGTACTTCGTAGTCTCGCAAGATACCAACGACGTTTAACTAAAACATAACGGAACTGTCATAAAGAAAACAAATTTGGTGAGACTCACAATTTGCGTGCTTATGCCAAAGATCTTGAAGTCTTCATCAGGACAACTGTTTATTTGGCGAATTACAACTGGGACGACACTTTGCAGCCTTCGAACAGCCTAAAATCAATGTACAATTGTATAGAAGTAACAGTAAACAAGGGAATATTATAAATACCCCTTTTTTAGCTGGAGAATCAGCAGATTGGGTAGCTGTGTTATTCAAAAAACCGCCAGCAGTTGACTCGTTACCTACATGATATTATTAGTTTATTACTTACAAAAAAAAAAATACGCTTTTCCTTACCAAAATCAGTTCCGTACCACATTGTAACTGTACAAATTGATTAAATAGATTTAATAATCTTAATCAGTTAATACTTCAATTTAAACGTAAAAACGAACACAGAAACACGTTTAACCTCAGAAGAAAGCGGGCGGGAAATAAATCTCCCAAGGTTAGTAGGTAAATACTTCATATTTGGTTACGTCATCGGATCACATTTTTATTTACTTACGGTTTTCTTTAGATTAACTGATGCGTTGATGGCTGATGGTTTTTCTCGCATTAAATATAAAATTAATGTGAAACTAATCATATCATAGTCTACGGTTATTATAATATTACAATGTTAAACGTGAGATGAAACATGACACCACCCCCGGGGTTTACACAGACGAGCCGGCGAAGCAAGAAGAGCGCCAGAAGAAAGGGCCCTAGCCGGCGGGGCCCAGCCAGGACAAAAGTAGGTCCCACAAAGCGCCTACAGTCCTACACCGGCCGCATTTGCGGTCGGGGTAGACGACGGATGGGGCCCACCTACGAAGGCTGTCCAGGCCTACACGAGATGAGGCAGGATAAAGAGGGATAATCAATCCCCCTCGATCCCAAATCATTGAGGCCAATTTCTAGCTATAGAATAATGGCAGATACAGCGTTCCTATAATACAACCTTTCTAACTTTTAATCTTGTATTTCTACTTCTTCTTCTACATTCTATATTTAGCATGGTTTATACTTCTACTTCTTCTCAATTCCTATTTCAAACCAGGCCAATTTCAATTGGTTTATTGGAAAATTGACAGCCTGGATCACAAATAAATAAAATAATTTATAAATTTGTGATGAAATAAGTAAAAAAAGTAATTTTTAAATTGTTTTTGTATTATGATATAATTTTCCTCAAGCTACAAACCATGGAGACTAGATAAGGAGCACGAACTCATACGGGAAAATTGACAAAATTTGTCCAAGAAATGGCAGAAGTTGGGGTGGCGCTAGTGTTCCATATGACCCAAATGAATGTAGCTTCATAAATACGAGTGAAGTAAGCAAATAACCAATTTTATTTTATTTATATTGAGTTTAATAGATATATTGGGGAGCGGGGAGGTATACTAACCTAAAAACTAGAAGTCAAGTCAATAATTATTACAATTTGTTTTTATAAATGGTAAATAAAAAGTTTCGAAAATAATTTAAATATGGTAATAGTATGTGAAGTGAATGACTGTCAACAGATTTAAAATAAAACAGTACGTTTGTGATCTGCATTTTCAATCTAATGATGTCCAGCAGTTCTATATTACAACTTGACCGAATAGTGGGTTAATATTATGGCAAAAGGTCGAATAATTCGGAAGTTGGAAGCAGCTTCTTTGATTCTTAATACGGTAGAGAAATTTTTAAATAGAAAGATTTCATAAGTGAAAATATTGTATAATTGAATGATGCATTGTTTCTTTATATATTTTGCAGCAGCATCAACAGCAAGAGCATCCGCTACACCAGCAACAACAGGTGCAGCAGCTACAACAAGAGCAACAGTTACAACAACAACAACAACAACAACAACAACAACAACAAGAACAGCAAGTAAATCAAGAGCAATTAAGTTACGATGAGATTATACTAGAAAGTGAGCATCCTGTCCTGTATAATCTAATAAAAGAAAAGTTCTGTTGACGTGTGATGAGGTCTCGACAAAGCAACTATGAATATGTTCACATAATATTGACAATAGCAACAAAGTATACTTTATTTATTTCTACATATTCTTGTAATTTATATTACGTGCATAAATAATTAAATTCGTATCTTTCATATAATTCTTGCTGGTGACATCGCTATTATCATTACTGAATTGAATAAATCATTTCCAATTAGTTGCTGTTTCTTTCCTGTTAGTAAAAAACTGATTGAAATTCAGATATCATATAAAATTTAAAGAGAGGATACGTGTAGTAATTGATGCTGATCGATCTGTATTGGTAATTGACTACTTTTACTAAATATTTAAACATGGAAATCAATTGCTTCATGAACAAAATGAAATTTTAAGAAGATAGACTGACACGTATTACTTATTTTTAAGTTGTTTTATTTGTAATATATATTTACTTTGTTACTTGTTTGTTATGAATAAATATTTATTTTATTTTAATTAGGCACAAATAATTTCGTTTTTTTTATTCAATTAATAAAACATTGAAATCTTTGGTAGATAAACATTTTATTTTTACAAAATATATAACAAAAATATAGAACATTGCTAAAATATTTCTTTATAATACCTTATTAATTTTGGTCTATACTCTACCTTGGAATAAGTCATGGAACCATGTTACGTTCGAATTAAATCAACAATTTTACGAAAGTAGAATTAAATTTTACAGCAATTTTAAAATATATACCCAGAAAACTAATCGATTTTAAACAGTTATAAAATATTTAGATTACCTATTTTTTGTGACCTTTATAATGGAGTACCTATATTTTGTTAAAATTTTGGTATCAATTGGTTGTCATGTTGTTTTAAGCTTCTTGACATTTTGAGAAGAGAGCGATATGACTCTCGAAGCATTGAGAAGTCTAAACCGACAACATGGCAATCAGCTTAGAAATTGTCCAACCATAATTTATCGACTTTCCATAGTCAGTTTTCAGTTACACTATAATAATATAGTATATTATTGGTTATTCAAAAAAATATGGATTGTGATATACTCTATCTTATATGAATTCCTTTCCCATCAATTATTCCTATAACCTGCTCTGGAAATTCATATTGGGCAAAATATTGTTCGATTACAACTGCCTCATTATCTCGGCCATTCTATAATTTGTGGAGACAAGTTACTTAGCAAGTATGTAACTTTTCTGGTTGTTGTAGAGCTTAAGGCAATGCAAAATTTACCAGAATCATGGGTGAAATAATTAGAAATGGCAAATTTTTCTTCAATTCTGTTAGCTACTTCCCATATGCTAACACGGAAATGTTAAAAAAACTTGGTCACTATATTCAGGTACAGTAATTTCAAAGTAGTTCTTATTTTTTACTCTTTCTGTTTCATAGAATAAATCTATTTCATCATCACTCAAGCTGGACAATGCGTCTAATAAGTCATCTGAATCACTGCACTGGACCACAGATTACAGGAAGATTACACTGGACTCAAAGTCGGACATCTGTAATATTTTAAAAAGTTTATTTAAAAAACCGAGTTTTTTTATATTCTATTTTTTATTACCACAAGTAAAAATTCCATATTAATAATACAAGAATTACTATTTTTTTAAAGGCAACTTCCTGTATAAAATGTGTCTATTTTTTACTAACATTAAACTAAAATTTTTAACAAAGTAATTATCAAAAACATAAACCTTACTTATAGGTTAATATTAAAAAGACACGTCATAAATTCCTTGAAAACTAGTTTCTTTCTACGAACACCAAATTCTTCTCATAAAGCTAATATTTTTTTTAGTTTAATTACAGTCCGGAATGACATATTTTCATGATTTATATAATTCAAAGTAGCTTACATTATTTATTTTAAAATGTTTAACACATTACAAAAATGACATGATTGATTTATAATTCAAACTGCCGCTTTTTTCTCCCCTCTCTACTCTTACTCCTACTCCTCTACTCCTCTTATGGGACATATGGAACACTAGCGCCCTCTTATTTTTGTAAGATTTTTGTTTACATGGAGTTCGGGCTCCTTGTATAGTCTCCATGCTACAAACTATGAACAGGTAAGCGAAGACACTAAAAATATATTTTTTCCATTTCAAACCAAGCACAATTACATTATAATACATAGGTACATACATATACAAGTTTACCTTTATTTTAGTGCCTCCTGTCGTTGTTTTGTGCCGGGATGTCCAAATTCAGAAGAAAATTTAACGGATGCAACATTCCACGAGTGTGTATATAGAAAGCTTTATACCTTACATATTTATTTAGCTCTAAATTTTTTAAATTATCGTCCCTTGTAGATTTCCCGAAGAATTACAAGGAGAATGGCTCACAGCAATAGGTAGAAACAGAGATACTTACATCCTACATGAGCTTGTCTGCTCAGAACATTTTGAAAGCAACGACTTTGAATGTTACGATTCGATTAAGATATTGAAGCAAAACGCACTACCCACTTTAAATCTACCTGTAGAGCCTGACACACCTTCATTTACACCGAAACCCCAGGTGAAAGTCATCACGGGTAAAGAAATAAAACAGTTAGTGTAAGTAAGGAGTTGCTAAACAGCCATAATGTCGTATTTTAAGCCGTGGTTTGTTTCAGTGAAAAATACAATTCTCTTGAGAAGAGCAAGCCTATAGAAATGTCAAGCAAAGCCGTTTGCACTGTGCTCAATCCTAGCTCAGACGAAAGTTGTAAATATGAGACCGCACAATTAAACACAATTAAGGTGATAGTTGTTACTGATAAATCGCAAGAGCAATCAGGTGGATTGAGGTAATAGAGCATTCATATGTCGTTTATTCTCTCTTTGTATGTTTTATTCTTTGTAGTGTAGCTGAAGACACAGCGAATCTGTTGGAATGGAGCGATCAAGAGAGCGTGGAAGAATATCTTGTGAAACACGAAGACATTCTTAATTGCCGAACGTGCCTCGACGAGATAGACCCGGAAGGGGGCTATCTCGTCACAGACGTACACCACGAGAATAAAACTTTGAAAGAGATGATCGTTTACTGTATCCCTCAAATGGTAGGTAGCGACACAGAAAAACCATCGGAATAATAAGAATAATATGTTCTAGACCTCGTCTCTCCTGGATACTGATCTAATCTGCAGCAAGTGCTTGGAAAGCATCAAATTCTGTACGAGCTTCATAGAAAACTGCTTGAAGGTAGAAGAGGAAATGAAGGAAAACCACTTTTTGGAAAACGGTGATGGCGACAACGTCGAGGATTCTCACAAGAATGGCGTGCCGGAAATGTTCCGACACATTCCACTGGACCATAACTACATACCAAAGACGTCAGACGACATCGTACAGGAAACTTGTGTGAAGTACGATCCATTGACGATGAAGCATGAGTGTTTGAAATGCGAAAGGACGTTTAAAACTAAGAACTATCTACTTGATCACATCCGGCGGTTGCATGGCTCAGGCGACAGGCCCGAGCCGAAGAAGAGGAAGACTTGCCCGTTCAACTGTGATTTTTGCGATAAATCGTTTCTGACCAAGCTGGGGTACGACCTGCACCTGCTGCTCAGCCACCCCGACCAACTGGAGAAGAAGAAGGAGCCCGGCGGTTACACCTGCAAAGATTGCGGGAATCGTTTCGAGACTTTCAGCGGTCTCTCGGAACACAAGGCGAAAGAACACGGTTTCGCTTGCAAGATTTGTTCGTTGAGGTACGTTAAAGTTGTGCCCGAATAATCGTCAAAATTTTTAAAAATTTCAACGTCCTCTGCCTTAAAAACTTCTTTCATTGCTTTTTTATTTGTTTTTCCACCTAAATCCAAACCGTTTCCATGTCAGATTCGACACGATGAGTGAACTGAACGCCCACTACGATTCCCATCCGAACGAGCACCTGTGCGAAGTGTGCGGCAAGGGCTTCAAGAGCAAAGCCAACCTGAAGGCCCACATGCCCACCCACAATGATCCCAACACGCACCTGTGCCACAAGTGCGGACAGGGCTTTAAGTCGCACGTGTCGTTGAGCCTCCACCTCAAGCGTCACAACCCCGACCTGAAGTTCCAGTGCGACGAGTGCCCCTCGTCCTTCCAGAAGAGGTACAGGCTCGAGTTGCACAAGAAGGTGCGGCACTTGGGGATACGGGAGTACAAGTGTACCGTTTGCAACAAGAGGTTCTGCTATAAGTCCAACCTGAAGAGCCACTATAAGTAAGGAGTTTTTGGTTATTTGTCTTTGTAAATAGAAGTAGGGGACAAGCGGCTCGTGACGGAAGTCATTTAGCTTGTCATCGTGATGTTAGGGCAGCATTTGGATGACGTTCTCTGTAAATTAATACCATTTAATTCGTCCATCTCTGCAAATAGCAGCTAATAAGGAAACACAATTACTATGTACATGATACTACGATAAAGTAACGAATTTTTTGGGTGAAATTTCAATTACTAGAGTGAAACTTTAAGGGTAATCCTCCTATAAGTTCTGTTATTTGGTATGGAGTCGTCGTTATTGAGATTAAGGCAATAAGTGACAACTTTTCAGTGAATTTAATTTTTTAAAAACGCCGTTTTGTAAACTGATAAACTGAAAACTAAAATAAATTTCATAAAATGGTATATTTGGCCATCCTCATTTTACTCCAGTCGAATTAGAGTTTGAACGTGAAAAAATTGTTAATAGATATTTTACTGCATAAAGAGTACCGGGCCACAGTGGGGGAAAACGGACAAAAGTGTCCGTAAGATCCGTAAAGCTTGATAATTTTTCTTTTAAATTACTCAGAGACACTTATTCTACGTGTGACCTTGCGACCACACCCTAAACTAAAGAAATTTTCATGTGGTATTACACAAATCGTCAATCAGTATTTTGCAAGTTCACTTCGGAAAACAATAAAAAGGTAACCACAAAAAACACGATACAAAAACTTTAGTGTACTCACAAATCTTAAACCCCAAACCCACAAACCCAACCCATAAAACTCAAAACCCAAACCTACAAATCCTTAAAATCTAAACCCACGAACCCAACCCATAAAACCCAAACCCACAAATCCCTAATCCTTAAAATCTAAACCCACAAATATTAAAATCATAAAAACCAAAATCATGAAATTCCTAACCTACATCCAAGTTTGTATAACCCAAACCAAGAAATCTCAAATTCGCAAAACCCAAAACCATTAACTCCAAACCCATATACCCCAAACTCATACACCCCAAATCAACAAACCAGAAATTCACAAATTCTAAACCCACAAACCCAAACCCACAAACCCATACCCACAAACCCCAAACCTCCAAAACCTAATTCCACAAACCTTAAAATCATAAAAACTAAAATCATGAACATCCTAACCTACATATATATATACTCCAAACTCATACACCCCAAACCAACAAACCCGAAATTCACAAATTCTGAACCCACAAATCCCAAACCCCCAAAACCTAATTCCACAAACCTTAAAATCATAAAAACCAAAATCATGAACTTCCTAACCTACATACATACTCCAAAGTCGTATAGGCCCAACCAAGAAATCTCAAACTCGTAAAACCCAAACCTATAAACCCCAATCCTAAATCTGCAAACCTTAAATTTATAAAACCCAAAACCATTAACCCCGAATCCATATACGCCAAACTCATACACCCCAAACCAACAAACCTGAAATTCACAAATTCTAAACCCACAAACCCAAACCCTCAAAACCTAATTCCACAAATCATAAAAACCAAAATCATGGACTTTCTAACCTACATATTTACTCCAAACTCGTATAGCCAAAACCAAGAAATCCCAAACTCGCAAAACCCAAACCTATAAACCCGAATCCTAAATCCACAAACGTTAAATTTATAAAACCCAAAACCATTAACTCCGAACCACTCATACACCCCAAACCAACAAACTCGAAATTCGCAAATTCTAAACCCACAAATCCAAACCCACAAATCCCAAACCCCCAAAACCTACATTCACAAACCTTAAAATCATAAAAACCTAAATCATGAACTTCTTAACCTACTCCAAACTCGTATAGCCCAGACCAAGGAATCTCAAACTCGCAAAACCCAAACCAGTAAACCCCAATCATAAATCCGCAAACTTTAAATTTATAAAACCCAAAACCGTTAACTCTGAACCCATATATCCCAAACTGATACATCCCAAACCTACAAACCTGAAATTCACAAATTCTAAACTCAGAAACCCAAACCAACAAATCCCAAACCCCCAAGACCTAATTCCACAAACCTTAAAATCATAAAATCATAAACTAGCCTATACACAGTTACAAATTCGATTCTCGCTATAGGGATCTCGAAAACGGTAAGAGATACAAACTAGCTTAAATGGGGGCAAAGTTGCTTAATCAGGGGACCAATAAAGCCTCTAAAATTTCAAGGCTAACATGATCAAAATATTTGAAAAAAAAAAACGAAATTTGGAAATCCGTTTTTGTTTCGTTTCAGCCTTGTTTGAGGCGATAATGAAATTAAAAAAAACGTTTTCTCATGGCCACTTTTTTCCCTCTATCGAATGGCATGATCAATTTTTATATGTAACAGTTTCTTTCTTCAGGACCATCATCAACTTAATTTTTTTAAATACGACCCTGGAAATTTTATTATATTTTTTGCAAGTCTTCATGACCCCCAATGCTGTACTGTGTTGTCCCGAACCAGATACAGACGTTTTATCTCGAAAAATTCATCTTCAGTGTATTCGTTCCAAATTTATCTAAATTTTTTATTTATATTTCTTTGTTTATTGAATTATCGTACACTGTAAGTTTCATTAGACCCTGTGAGATCCATCTAATTTGACACACATGTTGATCATTAAATTGACTGTCTTTTCCACAAATTTCATCAACGTCCATAGCTTTTTACGATAATAACGCACAATTTTCAAAAACTGATATTTCCACGTACAACCTTTATTTTACAGTTAACAAATTAGTGATAAATGAGTAAGTATTTTAAATTGAACGTAATTTAATTGCCTACAACATAAAATAACTAATATTCTGATAGGTCCTCTAGTTTTTCTTGGGCAGTAAAAAAAAAGTGAAAAAAACACGTAAATGTGCCACTTATTTGCAATTTGCCAACTTAGTGTCATTTCTTTCCAGTTACTTTTTGGAAATAAAGCAATAAAATGTCTGCTAATAATTTTTTCAAGTTTTCTGATTTTTATGATCTAATTCGTCTCGAGTATTTTGCCCAATTAACATTGGCCATTTGATTTTTCTCTGCCTAGCCCCCTGTTGTCATATCACATCAGGTGGATTGATACTATGTAGCTCTCACTAGGCCAATGTCAGAGGTGATTAACACTGAGATTCAGAAACTAAACACAGTGCTTTCAAAAATTGGTAAATACCTTTTATTAAAATTATTATTTCAGATTAGTATTCTGGGAAACATATACTATTACCCCTAAAAAAATTGAGCACTCTCTCAAAATAACGCCCTGTATAGTAATTTAAATGCATATAGCACCTACACCTTACAGTAATTTATGGAGTCGTATAAAATTTAGGCATAGAACAATCGACTGACTCCTATGAACAACGTGTAGTAAACAACCTAAATTAAAACTGTTACGAGTCGTGAGTCCGAAACTTTTTTCGTGACTTGAATTTTTTATTAAAAATTGCTTCGGCGAGTCTGTACACATTATTCTCTTTTAATGGTAGATTGAAGCACTCGGAAGTAAAACCTTATCAGTGTGAACGATGCGGGATACGTTTTGCCAGATCGGACTATCTGAGGAGGCACACCAGCTGCAGCGAGAAGTCGAAACAAAGGGATTTTGCGTCACACAAGAGGAAATATCGGTACAAAAGGGGAGATCTAGGTATGAAAGGACTTTCTTCTGCAAATTATAGAAAAAATATAGTTTTGAACGAAGTACACAAAAATACGTTTGCAATATTTTGAGTTTAGGTTAAATTACGATTTCGTTCGTGTAAAATCACAAATTTATCCATCTCGTTTACACGAATTATCAATGCTCGTAAATAGTCAAGTAATTTTGTATTGGATCGTTGCAGCAAAGTTGGTAGAAAATCTGTCATCGGTGTTGTGGAACTTGATGAAAATTTTTTGTATTTTCAGCTGTAATCACGTGCAAGTTGTGCGGTAAGGTATTCAAGGATATCCAGATGCTTCGTTTGCACATAAAAACCCACACGAAAGTCAGAAAGTATAAATGTAAGACGTGCAACTTGACGTTCACTACGAGCAATAACAGGGACAGGCACGAGAAAGTGCATGAACACTGCACGTTCAGGTGGGTCGGTCTTAGACGAATCGAAGAAAAAATTATAAAAGTTCAATCGCTAGTTTCAAAGTTGACTTTTTCGCTAATTTGATTTTGACAACCATTTTCCTAAAGTTCGTATTAGGTTACTTTGCCAATAGGTACAAAGTAATGCTTTGTGTCAATAGACGTTGAATAGCAATGACATTTAAGAAATGACATGTATTTTATAGGTTATATTTCACAGAGCGATCTACACTAGTAGGTACAAAGTAATTGTTTGTTGCAGTAGGCATTGCTTAGCAATGACATTTAAGACATGACATATACCACTATTTACGATAAAACGGATATTTACTTTGAAAGTTTGTCGAGATCGAGTTAGTTGGTGAAAAAACCAACTTTGAAATTGTCGGTGGTTGGTTTGTTTTCATGCGAAACGTTTTTTTGTTGCCGAAGGTGTGAAGTCTGCTTCAAAAGGATGGAGACCCAGGAGGCCTTGGACGATCACTGCGCTGTAACCCACGAGAATTCCAAGAAATACAAATGTCATGTCTGTGACGAGTTGTTCGGCAGGAAATACCTTCTGCACAGTCACGTGGCGGAAAAGCACGGAGATGTGGAGGATTTTGAAAAGGAGAGGGAGGTTCTCTATAAAGTCGTTATGCAGGATTATTTGGTTGACGAGTGAAGTTCGTAGTTGCCTTTGTATAAATATATTTTGAGTACCAAGTTGTTTTATTTTCTCCGAGTGGTTGAATAAGATCTTGAATAGAAAATGACTTATGTCGGTGAACACACAGAGAAGTCGAAACTAGTGTATTATAAACTTGAAATTACCAATATTTCTACTTGCTTCTCATATCTAGAAATCTAGTTAGCTTGGTCTGCCAAATTGCGATATGGAATGGGACCTAAAAAATGGCCGATATACGAAGTTCCATTAACTTTTTACCAATGTTTTGAGGATGATGAATCCATTTGTTGGCCTTTTAGAAATTAAAAAATGATCACTTTTAAAGTACCATTGACTTTTTAGGTTCTAGCTAGATTTGTGTGTATTTGACATTTGACAAGAAAAGCAAGTTTTTGGACCTTGATTGGCCATGAATTAGCGGTCGCCGCCTATATGCAGATATGTCGGTCTAGATTTTGTTCTATGTTTGTGTCTTAGGTTAATAAAATTAGTGCCAATCGCGGAAATATAATTAATTCAAATAAGCATCAGCGGCACAGAAAATATTATTAGATACTAGCATGCCATAAATCAGCTTAGAATTTCTAAGGTTTCTAATTAAAAATTTAAATCATTATTACTTTCGCCGTTCCAAGCACCTTTACATAATAAGTGGTAGAATTTCATCTTTTGTTCGCTTTATATTGGCACCATTGGTATTAGTAATTGGTAAACATAACCTCACTTTGTGGAAGGTAATGGAAAAATGTTTATTTGGTAGTTTTATAATAATTAATTATTAATTTGTACACTGCTCAATATTTTTAAAAATTAAGTCCGAGCAAACTTTTATTAATGTAAGTAAATGCATAATTATTACAAAGTAAATAACCATCATTTAAATAATAAACAAGCCACATATTTTTCACCTAGAGCACAATGGATTTAAAATGTATGTGAAAACTACAGAATGTAGTTTTGATTTAATTAATTACAGTCTAAATGTCTTTTGAAATTTTTAGATCAGTCTTGGAATATAAAACTAATAGCTGGTACTCTTAGAAAATATGAATGGCATACTCACTATCAGGGATGAAGCTACGCGGAAAATTATAAATCAACCTGTTTTTATACCATTTATATTCTTGAAGGTGGATAATGGTCAGAATTCAGCGACTCCGCAAATTGTACCAAGTAGTAATAATTTAAGAATTACTAATGTCGAAAACGAACTGCAGGAGGATGAAGTAGAAAACGAATTATTGCCTCCTATAAAACACATTGCAAACGAACATGATTACTGTATAATTAACGATTTGTCATGTTTAAAAAATTATCCACTATTAGGTGGCGTGGAAAACCCAAACAGGGCTCTCGGTTTGAAACCGAAGGTTCAAGCTGCAACAGAAAACAATACAACTTCTTTGGTGGAGAATGAAATAATTGTCTCGGATCTTTCAAACGATAGTGATGAGAATAAAACCAACGAAGAAGTTGATCTACTGTGTTCGGAAGTTTTTCAAAGTCCGAGTAACTTGAAACGTCCGAAAGAACATGTTCGTAGGGAGAGAAAACAATATAATTTAACAAAAAAAGTGAAGAAGTGTTACAAGTGCGGCAAAGACATTCGCAACGGTCTGTTGAGTTTTCATTTAGCAAAACATAGGCGAGACGATCAGAAAAAATTAGAATACGAACGGGAGAGGGAGAAGAGGAAGGAGGAGAAGAAACTGGCAAGTCTTACTTGCGGGACGTGTAATGAGAGGTATTTATATGTTATTTAGTTTCAAAGCTGATGAATGAATGACTTGCAACGTGGTAAAATACCCCAAAGAAAAATTGCAATTTCAGGTTTGACACAAAAGAAGAATTTCAGTACCACTTGCAACTGCACCCCCGTTTTATATGCGACAACTGCGGCAGGGGCTTCGCCAAGAAAGACTCCTTCAACGCCCACAAGAACACCCACAACGACCCGAATAGCTTCATCTGCGAAGTCTGCGGGAAAGGCTATAAGGATTCTAACGCTTTACGTGTTCACTCCCAACTGCACGAAAACAAGACGTTCAAGTGCACATTCTGTCCGAAGACGTTTGCTCAAAAGTGCAGACTCAGCAACCACATACGGAGGATGCACAAAGAGCCCCCGAGCTTCCAGTGCTCGTACTGCGGGAAGTTGTTCACGAACCGAGCCGGTCACAACTTGCACGTCAAGTAATATAAACTTTGTTTCGGTTCAGGATTCGTGGTTTTATGTACTTTTTTCTAGGTTAATCCACTTTAAGGAGAAGCCGTACGAGTGCAACGTTTGCCATAAAAAATTCGGTAGGAGAGATTACCTGACGAATCATAAATATTGCCATACGGGTCAACCTCGTCCGAAGCGTAACAAATCGCTGTCAGACGCTTTGAGGATAAACTGGCCGAAATCATCCAGTGACACGATAAAAGAGAACGGTAGATCCCTAACCCGAAACGTTTGATAACAATTTGAAGATAAACTAAATTTTTATAGGTGAGCCTGTGCCTTGTAAATTTTGTGGGAAGGCGTTTCAAACCGTGACGGGAATGAAACGTCACTTAGTGTCGCACGTTAAAAGGTATTCCTGCCGGTTTTGTCCTTTGACTTTCTCTATGAAGGCCTCCTGTCAGAGGCATGAAAAAATACACGAAGACGGGGAATTTTTCAGGTAAAATTATTTGCCGTTTTTCATTACTGTGATGTTTATTTCTACATTTTTCTTCGACGTTCAGGTGTAACGTCTGTTGGAAGAGATTCGACTCCCAGGAAACGCTAGACGAGCATTCTGCTTGTCATACGAACGCACGGTATACTTGCGAGTTGTGCGGAAAAACGTTCAACAGACGGCACTTGATGAACCACCACAGATTGATGAACCACATCGACACATCCGACAAGGAAAAAGCTAAAAAAATTATCATCGACAGTCTCCTGGAAGCCAGCGGAAAACATTAATGTATTCAGTTTATTTGAAGTGCTCTTAAGTTACGTTCTTTCTTAATAAATAAATATTGGAACGTTGGCAGTGTTAGTTTTTTCTATGTTCTTCAATTCTTAGGTAGATTGTAAAAAATTTGAAAAGTAGAACCTCTGAAAACAATTTAATAAATAGAGTTCTTTTAAATAATGTTTGGTTGCCTAACATTGGAATCGCCTAGCTTCTGTAACTTATACCTACTATTGTCACCAATGTAAGTTTGGTTGCCTAACATTTCCGTCGAGAAAAGAACATGAACATTTGGAAGCTAGAAGGGAAACGCAATGAGATTAGTTTTCGGAACCTTAAAAATGTTTAAGAAACTCGATAGTCCATGAAAATAAAAAATTGCAGTTTTGGATTTGTTAGAAATTTTATTTATTATCTGATGGCTATGGCCCTCTTGAGGTGTTTCTTTGTAACTAACCGATCTATCTTGTTTTGTTCAGATTTCAATGACATATTGCTGTAAGCCTGGAACTACATGCATGCGTGATCACGAATCCATTGTAAGCACGTGACCACCAATCTCCCAATTGTGCATCAATAAAGCGACTTGACACTTCGTCAAGATCAAAACGGATTGGATGTTGATGGTCACGTGGTTAGGATCCGTCATCACGCATTCAATACATGTGGATCCGGGCTGACCTCAGGCAAAATAAACGTCAATCTGTCAAATTTGTCGAAATGGCAAATGCTATGATGAACACAGTTTTGAAGAAATCCCTAGAATTATTGCCGTCAAAGCTATTCCTAAAGAATGGAGCAGCTCTTGTTCACACAAGGTACACCGCAAGGCATTACGAAAATATTCTTTTCACGTCTTTTTCCTTACAACGTACTGTTATGTAATTTGTTAGGTTATGTTTTATTCTTGTTCGTTTTGTAGTAAGAACGTGAATGCCAAATGGTATCCAGACGCAGAATGGNCATGCGTGATCACGAATCCATTGTAAGCACGTGACCACCAATCTCCCAATTGTGCATCAATAAAGCGACTTGACACTTCGTCAAGATCAAAACGGATTGGATGTTGATGGTCACGTGGTTAGGATCCGTTATCACGCATTCAATACATGTGGATCCGGGCTGACCTCAGGCAAAATAAACGTTAATCTGTCAAATTTGTCGAAATGGCAAATGCTATGATGAACACAGTTTTGAAGAAATCCCTAGAATTATTGCCGTCAAAGCTATTCCTAAAGAATGGAGCAGCTCTTGTTCACACAAGGTACACCGCAAGGCATTTCGAAAATATTCTTTTCACGTCTTTTTCCTTACAACGTACTGTTATGTAATTTGTTAGGTTATGTTTTATTCTTGTTCGTTTTGTAGTAAGAACGTGAATGCCAAATGGTATCCAGACGCAGAATGGATGGCTCAGTTCCAGGGACCCGTTATGTACCCTGACGAAACAACCAAAACATGGGCTCTGCAGCCTTGGAATGCGAAAAAGGCTCCGGTGGAGAAAGCCGTTAAGAATTTAACTTTAAACTTCGGCCCCCAACATCCAGCCGCTCACGGTGTGCTGCGACTCGTTTTGGAACTGGACGGAGAAGTACGGAAGTAAATTTAATTGAAATTGTTTGTATAGCGTCTCGTTTCAGGTAGTAAAGAGAGCCGATCCACATATTGGCCTGTTGCATCGCGGTACTGAAAAACTGATCGAATACAAAACGTATACACAAGCTTTGCCATACTTCGACCGATTAGATTACGTTTCTATGATGTGTAACGAACAGTGCTTCAGCTTAGCCATCGAAAAGCTACTTAATATCGATATACCTCTTAGGGCTAAATATATCAGAGGTAAATGAACGAATTTATCACTTCTTCGTCTAATTACTGTCACTGTTTTCTTTTAGTGTTGTTCGCTGAGATTACAAGGATTTTGAACCACATTATGGCCATTGGAACGCATGCTTTGGATGTGGGAGCCCTTACTCCGTTCTTCTGGCTGTTTGAAGAACGTGAGAAAATGATGGAATTCTACGAAAGGGTGTCGGGTGCCCGTATGCACGCCGCCTACATCAGGCCAGGAGGTGTGTCTTTGGTAAGTGCCCCTTAAATTATTTTTTAAGCGTTCTCTATGCGTGCCGGGTTTAGGACTTGCCGTTGGGCCTCCTGGATGATATCTACGAGTTCGCCTGCAAGTTTAACGAGCGAATCGACGAAGTGGAGGATGTGCTGACCCATAACAGGATTTGGGTGCAGAGAACGGAAGATATAGGGGTAGTTTCCGCAGAAGACGCGCTGAACTACGGTTTCAGGTAAAAAACGGTAACTGTTTCGTCTGCATTTATATTTTCTGTATTTGTCTTAGCGGCGTTATGCTGCGAGGCTCCGGCATCAAATGGGACCTTCGTAAGACCCAACCGTACGATGCGTACCATCTCGTAGACTTCGACATCCCTATCGGTACGAAAGGTGACTGCTACGACAGGTACCTGTGTCGTTTGGAAGAAATGAGGCAGTCGTTGAGGATAATCGACCAGTGTCTCAACCAAATGCCGCCAGGCGAGGTTAAAACGGACGACGCCAAGTTAACGCCTCCTAGCAGACACGAAATGAAGGTAAGTGCCCGTTAAAATCGTGATTTAACGTTAAACGTGTTGACAATTTTTTTATAGCAAAGTCTTATTCATTTCTATATGATTTTTTATTTATGGGCGTTTGTTTTGTCTCGTCTACCAATGCTCTACATACGTATCATCAAAATTAACAGCTGTGCCAATTTATTTCAGACATCCATGGAAGCTCTCATTCACCACTTCAAGCTCTTCACCCAAGGCTACCAGGTGCCTCCTGGGGAGACTTATACGGCGATCGAGGCGCCTAAAGGCGAATTCGGAGTGTATTTGGTGTCCGATGGTAGCTCCAAGCCTTACAGGTGTAAGATTAAGGCCCCCGGCTTCGCTCATTTGGCTGCGTTGGAGAAGATCGGGAGGAACCACATGTTGGCCGATATAGTTGCGATCATCGGTACGTTGGACGTAGTATTTGGCGAAATCGACAGATAAGTTTGTCGAACTGTTTAGGTAATGTTATTTAAGCATACAGTGATCAAAGTTTTTCCCTTTTTAAATTATGTATAATTGTAATGTAAATATAGACGTACATTTATGTTGTATTTCTGATTATTAAGAGTATTAAATAATTGGAACAATTATTTTTGTTTTTTTCTTTGTTTAACGATGCCTACTGGAACAAAGCATTAGTTTGTGCCTACTGAGGTAGGTCGCTCTGTGAAATATAACCTATAAAGTACATGCCATAGTTGCTCGCTTAAAATAGATCCATATTTTGCGTTCGGCCCATCACTTATTTCGAAAACGAATAAACAGAAAATCGAAAGACAAAATTGTTTCCTAGGGCTGTCATGTAAGTTTTTACAAAAATAAATTTTTTGTTTAAATTTAAAGAGGAAACTGTACAAGAAATCGCCATATTTTCAATTTATTCACTTAAATAAGGGCTTAAATCAAAAATTGCTTACACGAGAGAAGTGGATCTATCTTTTAGCTTTACAATGATACCAACATTATATTTATGGGTACACATGTCTGCATGTGACTCATTTTAAGTATTACATCAAGAACACTACCCGGACTAGTCTAACAGTTGCAAGGACAAAAAAAGACGCGGGACGCAACAGGGTTCCAGAAAAGGTCCACGGCAGATTGGCGCCAAGGACCAGATACCTACGAACGACTCTTTAGCGAACGCTCGCCCCGACAACACGTATTCTTTTTCACTAACTTGTTTTCAATAAAAATACTTTTGTTTTCATCGTTGAGAGAGCGTTTTATTTTGCTGCACACCGAAAGCAACCCTCATATTTTAAATTCTTTAACCAGGTGTGTGGGATGGGCTAAGAGATTGGTAATTGCGGGCAGAACCGCAGTTCAAAGAACCATCTAGTTATAATCTGTATGTTCTCAATTGAGACAGTATTCAATTAAACGATTAAACTTACGTTCGTCTTTACGTTGAAAAAACGGAAATAATATTGCTAAATATAAGACGTAAGTTTAATATTGTTATATTAAAATCTAACACGTGTCTAAACTAAAAAAGGTGTAAAAATGGCCAAAAACAGACAAACAATCTGCCGGGGTTTTTATGATCGGAACTTTATTCCAGAGGCCAAAAATAATTCGTATTCACAGCAATTTTCAATTTTGACCCAGACCACGTTTTAAAGTACAGAATTAGTACGTGGTCTTTTTATATTTTAAAGTTTTCACCATAAACTCGGTTGTTGACGTTGTTCAAATATATTTTTAGCTCATCCATTTGACAGTAGAGTGTGTTGATCCAACATATTCAAAATAATCTACTAAGGGAAATACGGTACAAAGGGTAAATGTTGAATGTATCTAAAACACCCCCACTAATGTTGCAATAATTGCACCAATCAGAAGTTGATATAATTTTATAACACTAATGCTACAATAGTAGGCCAACCAAACGAGATTTTTTGGCAATTACAGCAAATTTCATGTATTACCTTTTGAAAAATACTTAGTAAATGAAAACTCAAGTGATTTCCCCAGCAAAGTCGTGAACAATTTTTTTTTAAACAATAAAAACTACAAAAAATTACATTTTTTGGGTTTTTTATAATATCTCGAAAAATGATGGAATGGTCTTACTCTCAATAGGACTTTTGTAGAGAATAAAAAAGCCTCTAAATTGGTTTTTTGTGTGACTCGCTTGGTTCATTTTTTGCAGAGAAAATCAAGAAAAACCTCTAAAATGGACCTTTTTTTAAAAATTCATAACTTCATCAAATTTGAAGCTGGAAAAACAATCTTGTGCAAAATGACAGATAATAGTATGTATTTTGATCGTGCACAAGAAGGTTTCTGTCCGATGCATGCTTTTTGCACAATTGCATTATAAACAAATTAGGGCCTTTTTTTGCACAGATTTATCAAAATGGTCCGATTTAAATTCTGAAAAGAGCATCTGAAAGTAGACGACAAAATCTCCAATTTGTATATCTCGCCTGAGTGATGGGAAATATGCTAAAAATGCCATTAAAAGTGGCCCGAAACGATCGAAAGTACGCTCGAGCCAGAGTCCTCTGCTCGCTGCTTGGCCCTCTACCGCTACCGCGACTTTCAATTGTGGACCAATTTGAACGTTTTAATCTGAGATAGCGCATGAAAATAATAACAACTGCACGGCCCATTTTGCAATAATTAATTATTAATTTGTTATAAAATATTAATTTCGTAAAAAAAATTTATTTCGCATTTTTTCGAAAAATCATTTTCACAATGGTACCGGTAAACAATTTTCTTAAAACAATATTTTTATGTAAACAAATTCAGGAAATGATATATTTTTTATGTATAAAATTTATTTTAATGAGAATCGAGTGTTTTAATTTATACAGGGTGATTCAGACTTATCCAAAAAAAAATTCTGGATGTACAGGGGACACTTACAAATAAAATTTTGTAAAGAAAAAATCAAAAAGGTCAGTTCGAAATTGATTTAAAAATACACTTCTGCACGGCACTGGAAACTGGCCCAGTGTAAAACCTGACCTAGCACAATGGCGGTGTGATAAAAACGGAAAAAAACTTTCGCAAGGAAAGAAATATGTAAATAGAATTTTATCACACCTATTTTACATCGGCAAATTCAACTGCTTTTGCCTTTATTAATTATTAATAAAATTAATTTGTGTTTTTAAATAATAAAATCATTTGACATACCCGATGCTGCAACAGCAATTGTTCAAAATTTTATCCACTCACGTGTAAACACATTCGGGTTCGTCTTACTCACTTTCTACGAAATAACACAAATGATATCTTGCTTCACCATAACACAAACACTTCACCATAATACAAATGTTGTTTTGCTTCACCATAAATTAAAACGATATCCATCAACTCTGAGTTGCTATACACGCAAGCCATTTTTGACACTAACTACTAAAAAACTGATGTAAATAACACAGATAACAGGTAAAAACTACCGCAACGACGTATTTCAGTTTAGGAGTCACATGGCTCTCCACGCGTATTGCGAATGACGCTAGAGACTACAGTTGTCCAGCTATGTAGTGGTTTAATGTGCTATAACTTCAATAATTTTTTTCTCAGAAACTATAAGGATTTTACAAATTTTTTTTTACAGTATTGACTTCATTTCTCGTGCCGCAACTATTTCTAAATTTTTTTGGATAAGTTGTGAATCACCCTGCATAAAAATATTTTATTTTATTTTTTATTTAAAATATATGTAATTTAATGTTAAAAAATAATTCTATTATGCATATTACATCCAAAAACTCGATTCTCATTGAAATAAACCTTATACATAAAAAATATGTCATTTCTTCAATCTTTTTACATAAAAATATGTTTTTTTATGAAAAATTATTTCTCGAAAAAATGTGGAAAAATTTTTTTTTTACAAAATTAATAGTTTATAACAAATTAATAATTAATTATTGCAAAATGGACCGTGCACTTATTATTTTCATGCGCTACCCCAGATTAAAAAAAACGTTAAAATTGGTCCATAATTACCGGAAATATCGCAAAATTTTCGGTCAGTTAAGATTTGGAGTCTCAGAACGTTTCCGTCTTATTTCCCCCACCACATTCCAGGTGTAAAAATGTATTCGAGGACGTTTTTTAAAGGGTTAAAAATTACTATAAAATGCATTTTTTTCGATATCTGTAACCGTTATTATGAAGTTGATAGGTTTATTCCCGAAATTTCAAATGTTAATGTTTATAAATAAACAAGTTATGAATTAAAAAAAAAAAAAACGCTATCTCGGCTAAAAATGGTCCTACATTTTTTTTTTAATTCATGAAAAATTACCAGGATTACGATCAAAGGGGCTTTAAAAAATATTCATTCTTCGCAGTTATTAACGAAAAACCTTATAAACAAATTACACTATTTGTTTATACACCATTTTGAGGAGGTTGGCCTACGAAATTACAATTTCCAATTGCATATCTTGAAAATATAAATCAAGACGAAACAAATGAGCCCTTATAAGGCCCTTTATGATAACGCCAACAACCGCGTTTTTGCAATTGAAAAAATGCTGTTTCTAATAAACAAATGCAAAAACTCGTAAACAAATAAATATTATTTTACCAAATTTTCAGGGTTTCTTAAGCATAACAAAATACAACACTTTTACTGCGGTTTAGAGACGATTTATGCTATTTTCTTCTATTTATAGCGAATTCAAATGCCGCTGTTTTTTGCAATTATTTAAACAAATTGTTAATGGATTTTAATTTAGCAGGTCTCAAATGAAGCGCTTTTGGAAAACCCACAAGTATAAACAAAAGCAAATATTCCTGTTAGAGAACGCTTTTTAATACACCTAAAAAACTCAATTTTTGGTAATTTTTACATTATTAAACAATGCTCTCGTTGTTTTAAACCAATACTTTTTGGGAAATATTATTATTAACGATTAAACCAAGTTTCAATCTGAAACGAATCTTTTTCTCATTTACTGGGCTACAAGTGTCGGGTCTGGAAATAATACGAAGCAACATGATTTTCGCATTTTATTCAATAATAAAAAAAGAACAAAATAAACAATCGTAAGTTCTAAGTGGCGACGTAACGGACACCGCTCGAAAAACAAAATAATAAATAACTCCTTTTTATAAACTGGTATCAAAACACTTATTTTCTAACAAAAACAACTCCAATACAGGGAATGACCGTAAACGAACTATTTTAACGCTTACGAAAGTCGTCGGCGACGTCTGTCCCACGCGATAACAACGGAACCATTACGTTCCGTTCCGACAACAGAATGCGACCAAAAAAAAACTACTCACACAGTCAATTCTTCATCAAATATTGATAGTTCCGTCATAACAAAAATATATAGAATAAAATCTATAACTTAAATATCACCGTTAAATAATCATTTCTATATAAATAGCGATAATTTAGGTAACGTTATAGACGCAACGGGTAGATGCCTACGCCTCCACAGCTATGCCTTTCTTGATCAGTTCCTTACCGATATTGACGTCCTCGTCCGAGGACGTATCTATCAGTATCAGCTTTAGGACGATGTCCGAATCGTACAATTCGTCTTTCTCGATGTCGCGGATGATGGAATAAAAGTTCTTCCTCTCTATCAGCGCCTTGAAGTCCTCGCAGTCCGCCATCGTCCATTTAGACTGCTTCGGCTTGATATCTGGGAGAGACGATTGTAAAAACGTCGAAAGAACACAAACGGCGAAAAAATTGTTACTCACCTGACAATTTCGCCTTCAACGCTTGGTAGGGCAACTCGACAAACTCCACGTCCAGGGGGATTAGCTGTTGCAGGGTCAGGTTGGCGTAGTAACCGAAATCGCAGAAATACACCGAAATTGACCCCGAGTGGATCACCTTGAGGACGCTGGTCCTGAAACAAATCGCTGGGTAAGAAGATGGTGCGTCAGTGCCTCTCGTACGCGTACAAGTGGGAAAGACGCGTTTTATTGACATTTTAGTTTTTCCAAAAATTGTTGCTAGAAATAGAATCGTGCGCAGGTGATAGTCACATTAAAATTGTTCCGAAAAACAACAATACATGAATCTACTGGGAATGTAGTCAAAATGGAGCATCAGCATCGCGAATTTAGGTGAAATGTTCTCCTAACCCCGTTTACTCTTTTCCTGAGGGATTTGGGGTTCAAAGAAAGAAAACAGAAACATTTTTGATAAAAATTAATCAATTTTTGAAATCATTTTCCCGGAAACGGGCCGACAAGCATTGCGTACAACAATACATGGATCTACTGGGAATGTAATCAAAATGCAGCAGTGGCATCGTGAATTTAGGTCAAATGTTCCCCTAACCCCATTTATTCTTTTCCTGAGGGATTTGGGGTTTACAGAAAGAAAACAGAAACAATTTTGATAAAAACGAATCAATTTTTGAAATCATTTTCCCGGAAACGGGCCGACAAGCATTGCATCGCAAACGATTAAAATACGAACATACTAATCCTCACTCAACAAAGGCCTCACCTGTACCAGAAGCCGTCCTCGTGCTTGGACGCGTATATATTCCCCGGTACGATCTGGTCGATCTGGAGGGGGCTGTAGGTGACGTCCTTGTAGCGCTCCTGCAGTGCCTTCATCATCTTGTAGAGCTTGCTGCGCGAGGCGAACGGCTGGACGAAGAAGTTGTAGGGGTTGACGGCAAAGGGGATGTGAACCTCGAAGTACTCGTTCTTGTCTGGGATGGGCGGTTTCGGCAAGCTACCTCCCGAGGGTACGTTCTCTGCGACAAACGAGAAAAGATTGTCAATATCGGCACGCAATTAAAGTCAAAATCAACTCACTGCTGCTGTCGAACTGCGTCAGCTTCTTCTTGGCCCCCTTCTGGTTGTCCGCCTCCCTCTCCCTGAAACAATCCGTTTGAAACTGAACACTACCGTAACGTTTCCCACTTACTTCAGCTCCACTTCCATGGTGATCGACTTGTTAATGCAAAACAAACCCCCGTCGGCGTTTCTTTTAAAAAACTCTGCCAAGGGCAAATTGTTGTCGTAGTCAACGATTTTAAGCAACAGGGGCTGATCCTCGGGCATCGCTTTAACCGCCAGCTCGATGAAATTGTCAGGTATCTTGTCGATCGCCATCTTAACCTGAAAGAAAATATTTTCAACCACCCAGTCACGTTTTCCCCGCACCCGGCAACTTACCCTCACTGCCTGGAAGGGGTACTGGTTCAAGACGTCGCTTAGTTTGTCCAAGGGATACAAGACTTCCTTCTCCACGTTAATGACGTCCGCATTACCGTAATCGACGAAGTAAATCTGCGCCAGCTCTCCTTTCGGCGACCAGTCGATCAGCTGGGCCCTGTACCAGTGCCCGTCGGCCTTGTGCTTGGCGAAGTACACCTTCCCTTTGCTGTTCTCTCTGGTGACGCGCGAGATGATGTCCGTCGGAGGGTTGGTGAGGATCTGGGACTCCAGGTTCGTCAATAAGTTCTGTAGACTGTCATAACCGGGCGAGTGGAGCTGGACGTAGACGTCGCCGTTGCTCTCGATGTTGCATACGTATACCTCTGTGGTGGCCCTCTGTAAGGTTTACGTTGACACTCGTACGTTTATGTTCGACTCTGGCGTTCTTACCTTTTGTATGACGGGCGATGCGGATTCGATCGTCAGGAGCGGGATCAATTCCTGGTTGATGGAATTGCCCGTTTCGTAGTCGTACATAAACACCGGAATGCTCAGGTGCATGTTTTCCTCGGCTGCGAATAAAAATTGGTAAAAACTGGTGCAATAGTACTAGTCCAGTCGATATGTTTTAAAAGTAGGATGTATGGATGTTTCATGTAGTAATGCTTATTTTAGTTGCAAATAGTTCTAAATATTATGTAAAATGATAATTGCGTTATGCGCCCCCTGAAAAAGTTGTACATAAGTGTTAGCGCAAGAAAATGTAAAAAAGCGCATTTTTCTCCCTTCTTTCATGTATAACTCGGAGAATATTGACATTAGAGAAAATAGTCAAAGGAAAAAAAGTTTCGTTTTGAGAGATTCTTTTCAAAATAAAAGTGGTTCGAAATTTTTAAGTGCATAATTGTTGCTGCAATACAGTATAAACCAAAAAAAAACTTCATGATATGGTGGTATTGCGAAAATTTTTTAATCGAAATCGGCCAGGTAGATTTCTCACAATTCAATTGTTAATTAAGGAAATACAGAATTATACTTATTTTTCAATTATCTCTCACGGTAAAACCAATGATTATTTTGAGCTCTCAATTTTTATACATACCCTTTGGAATCTCAACTATCAATTCCCATTTAAAAATTTTTGATTTTATCCATTTTAGCAACAATTAGGATTTTTTCAAAATTTCTTCGAAAACATACTTATAAACATTTAGAGCTAGAGCTACCGTATTTGCATATTCTTCAAATGTAATTATAGGATCACATAGAGGAAGGATTGACGAACAAAATCCACTTTTGATCTTGTGGGTACGATGAATCGTCATCGAGATATGAAAACTCAAAGTCGAAGTGAGTTTATGGAAAAACAACGGACTGTACAATAACAATCAAAAGTGATTTTGATTGTTTGATGCTCACATAGTCCCCTCACTACTCACTCTTTGACTCCGCTCGATTCCTGTGAAATGTATCAATCTTTTTTGCATCAGAACAGTTAAAATACATTTCTGATTTAAACAAATTTTCATAGTTATAAAGTCTTTGCTTCAATCAAAGTCACTTTTGATTGTTATTGTACAGTACATGGTTTTGCCGGAAACTCACTTCAACTTTGAGCGTTCATATCTCGATGATGATTCATCGTATCGGGAAGATCAAATATGGATTTTGTTCGTCAATCCTTCCTCTATTTGATCCTATAATTACATTTGAACAATATGCAAACACGGGAGCTCCAGCTCTAAAAGTTTATAAGTATTTTCTCGAAGAAATTTTGAANGTTCTTACCTTTTGTATGACGGGCGATGCGGATTCGATCGTCAGGAGCGGGATCAATTCCTGGTTGATGGAATTGCCCGTTTCGTAGTCGTACATGAACACCGGAATGCTCAGGTGCATGTTTTCCTCGGCTGCGAGTAAAAATTGGTAAAAACTGGTGCAATAGTACTAGTCCAGTCGGTATCTGTTTTAAAAGTAGGATGTATGGATGTTTCATATAGTAACGTTAATCTTTATTGGAAATAGTTCTAAATATTATGTAAAATGATAAATGCGATATGTACCTGCTGAAAAAGTTGTGCATAGTTGTTAGAGCGAGAAAATGTAAAAAAACAATTAGAAAAAGGCGCGCTTTTTTCTCCTTTCTTTCATGTACGAGGGTGGTCTGAAAAGTTTCCGACCTCAACATGAAGATGGCAGCACTCGTAAATAAAACCTAGTGAATTTCGTTGTCCATCTGTTGACAGTTACTCACCAAAGTTTCAGCCATTTTGGATGAGCAGTTGTTATGTAACAGTCGTTTGAGTGAGTTGATGTGAGTGTTTTTATGAAAATTGACAAAATCGAGTATCGAGCTGTCATTAAATATTTGTTTTTGAAAGGCAATACGCCTACGCAAATCAAAGATGAGTTGGATTCTGTGTATGGGGACTCTGCACCATCATTTACCACAGTGAAATTTTGGGCAGCTGAATTTAAACGTGGCCGTAAGAGCTTGGGAGACGATGAACGTTCGGGACGTCCAAAAACTGCAACTACCGACGAAAACATCGCCAAAGTTCACCAAATGGTGCTAGACGACCGCCGAATTAAAGTGAGAGAGATAGCAGAGGTTATGAACATGTCAAAAGAACGTGTTTGTCACATATTAAATCAACATTTAAACATGAGAAAGCTGTCCGCGCGTTGGGTGCCGCGTTTGCTCACGTTAGACCAAAAACGTGTTCGAATGAACATTTCCAACGCTCTGTTGGCGCAGTTTAGGCGCAATAAATCCGAGTTTTGGCGCCGATTAATTACTGTAGATGAAACTTGGATACACCATTATACGCCCGAAACAAAAATACAGTCCAAACAGTGGACTGCAAAGGGGGAACCGGCTCCAAAAAAAGCAAAAACTGTTTTTTCGGCTGGGAAAGTGATGGCGACTGTTTTTTGGGATAGTCATGGAGTTATTTTAATCGATTATCTTCAAAAAGGAAAAACCATTACAGGAGCATACTACGCATCATTACTTGACAAGCTGAAGGCAGAACTTGCGGAAAAACGGCCACATTTGCAGAAAAAGAAAATCCTGTTTCACCAAGACAACGCACCGTCTCACACCTCAGCGGTTGCCATGGCGAAAATCCACGAATTACGGTTTGAACTGCTTGACCATCCGCCTTACTCACCAGATCTAGCCCCAAGCGACTTCTTTTTGTTCCCTCATCTAAAAATTGCGCTCGGAGGACAGATATTTTCGTCAAATGAAGAGGCAATCACCTTCGTGAACAATTATTTTGCAGAGAAAAACGCCGAGTACTATTTGGACGGGTTACAGAGATGGCAGCATAGCTGAGAGAAGTGTGTAGAGTTACAAGGAGACTATGTTGAAAAAATAAAAAAAAAAATTCTGAAAAAATGTCCTGTATCTTTGTTAGGTCGGAAACTTTTCAGACCACCCTCGTATAACTCGGAGAATATTGACATAAGAGAAAATAATCAATGGAAAAAAGTTTCATTTTGAGATTCTCTTCAAAATAAAAGTGGTCTGAAATAGTGGTCGTTAATTGTTGTAGAATCTGACAAAAAATTGATTGAAATTGCGCGAGTGAATTATGCTGCTCCGCTCGCACAGTCCCCTCACTCCTCATTCTTTGACTATGCTCGATTTCTTTGAAATGTATCAATCTTTTTTGCATCAGAACAGTTAAAATACATTTCCGATTTAAACAAATTTTCATAGTTATAAAGTCTTTGCTTCAATCAGTCACTTTTGATTGTTATTGTACAGTACGTGGTTTTGCCGGAAACTCACTTCAACTTTGAGCTTTCATATCTCGATGATGATTCATCGTATCGGGAAGATCAAATATGGATTTTGTTCGTCAATCCTTCCTCTATTTGATCCTATAATTACATTTGAACAATATGCAAATACGGGAGCTCCAGCTCTAAAAGTTTATAAGTATTTTCTCGAAGAAATTTTGAAAAAATCCTAATTGTTGCTAAAATGGATAAAATCGCAAATTTTTAAATGGGGATTGATAGTTGAGACTCCAAAGGGTATGTATGAAAATTGGGAACTCAAAATAATCATTGGTTTTACCGTGAGAGGGAATTGAAAAATGAGTATAACTGTATTTTCTTAAAAATTGAATTGTGCGAAATCTACCCGGCCGATTTCGATTAAAAAATTTCCGCAATACTACCATACCATAAAGTATTCAGAAACATACTTTTTATATGGCTGCTCTAAAGTCCAGGTGCGAAATAAATTCATGAAAAAAACGATCTTTTTCACAAATTTTTTTTCGGTCTATACTGTATTGCAGCAACAATAACGCACATAAAAATTTCAGACCACTTTTATTTTGAACAGAATCTCAAAACGAAACTTTTTTTCCATTGACTATTTCCTCTAATGTCAATATTCTCCGAGTTATACATGAAAGAAGGGAGCAAAATGCGCGTTTTTTAAATTTTTTTTACATTTTCTTGCGTTAACAATTATGCACAACTTTTTCAGCGGGCGCATATCGCAGTTATCATTTTACATAACATTTAGAACTATTTCCAACAAAAATTAGCGTTACTGTATAATACATCCATCCCGAAACAGATACCGACTGGACTATACATGAAGTGGGAATTTTCGGTGAATACAAAAAAAACTGGATTGGAAACAAAATGTAAATGAATTTGCCGATGGAAGCGAAGGTGGCGGTTTTGCCTGCGTAAAAACATAAAAATTTATATATTAAGGAGTTTTTATCTAAACTATTTAAGCGGTTCGCATTAACTCTCATAGCATTGTAATAAAACGCAAATTTTTTTTATGTAAACACCCACTTCTCCACCCATCTGCCAGTTAAGGGCGAGGAACAACGCTACCCGTATCAAAAAAACATTTGACATACTTCGACGAATGGCAAACGACGGTGATAAATATGTTAGAAAAGAAAATCTAATAAAATAGTGGTACACAAAAACAGTTCAAACTAGTGTCAAGCACGATTGCCCAACTGTGAAACACCAACCGATCGTTTTGCTAGCAGCGTACCACTGTCATTCCGTCATGCTGTTGTCTTATTATAGGCCAGTCAAATTGTAGAAAATACGTTTTTATGTCAAAATATAGTTCAGTAAACAAAGACACATAGAAATTGGGAAAAATTCCATAGAATTGAATGAACTACTTTGCCCCAGCTGAACGTTAGGGCTTAATTTTCAAAATGGCGTCTAACGTCACAAAAAACAGTTTTTTTCATTTAAAAAAAACAAAAAAACTAAACATTTTACAAAGAAATGTTTTAGACAAAAATTTGGAGCTCAGTCCAATGTCAACTGATAAACAAATGCATTAGTTATTGCAAAAAATGGATAAAAATCGCATTTTTCTAAAACTTCTACATCTTCAAAATGTAATATGTTTTTTTTACGAAACTTTCAGAATTTGTAGTTGGTGGCAAGTAGAACGAGTGCATTTTTGTAAATCTGCAAAATATTTGACAATTTTTGCAAAAATTTAGTTTTCGAAGAAAAAGACGTTTTTTCCGAGTTTCACTAAATCACACAGTAATGCCTACTTACCGGCGTTGTCCACCGCCATTTCTAACGTAACTTGTTTGCACAGCAGGCTCTGGATCTTCTCCGAATGAGCCGAGACTTCATATAGCTCCTCGAGCCCCACCAGTCGACAAACGAACGCCTGCAATTCAATTAACAAAAATCTGTCTCTAGAAAAATTGAATAACGAAGAAAAAGAAGTAAACAAAACGTTTCACTTACACGTCCCGTCTAGAATCGCCCTTAAATAAATAAACAAGTACCTGAGCTTGGGAGAGCGCGAACGGCCGCTTCAGCTGGTAAATGTTGTCCGTGGGTATCGACATCTCGTCCCCGAAGTCGATGAAGAAACAGTGCACCTCCTTCTCGGATATACCCACGGCCCTCACCCTGACCCACATGTTCTCGTAGTTGGTGACGTAATAACCGGCCTCGGTGATGACCTGCGCCTTCAGGACCTCAGCGTGCTGGTTGTAGTAGGCTTCCATCTTGGCGATCATCTCGGTGTACACCTCCTGAAAACGCGAAAACCGTCAAGCCGCTTCCGTTTCCACGTTTCCTAGAACTTACGCTTTCCTCGGTGGAGAGCTGCCGGCACCAGATCTCGTTGGCCGACATGACGCACGTCACCTCGGCGTAGAGCTTGCCGTCCTCTTGGAACTGCACGGTATTCGAGGGGACCGACACGTCGGATAAAGTCATCGACGTGTTCCACTTCTGGCTTTTCTGTAATGCCTGAGATGTTAGAAAGGCGGTTCGTTAATCTAGGTTAGTCCCAGCAAGCAATGCGTGTTAGGTAACATCGGGCGATTTGATGGTTGCGTGATGCGTATAGTTCAAACGACACTGTTTATATACAGTTATATTTTTACCATACATTTTAAACCTGTTACTTGTTAGCAGCGGCAAGATTAAACACAGTAGTTCTGATGAACCGTAGGCGTGAACTTTCCCAAGACACAATGAAGAGAATGATTGTTACCATTAACATTCATATGGAAATGCGGAGTGACAGTTAAAAAATGTAATAAATGCAAATGGAAACAAGGTAAAATATCTTTTTGTTACACCGACATTACAGCCCCTGGCTTGATCTACTAAATTTTTTTTTCTTCAATCGTTAAAAATTAACTGTGCAAATGTAAATTGTCCGAGGAAAGATGCAAAACTGCTCTTTTTTCGAAGTAAATGAAAATATGTTCGTAATTATTTATTTGTGACATTTTGATATGTTTTTATATAATTCCGTATTTCTGTCGCGCCGAAAATAAATTTTTATATGGAAATAGTCCAAGAACTATTACACTTTTACATTTGTATGGTATATTCAATTTCAAAACAAAGTATGAAGCAAAACGTTGTGTTATTAGATTGTTAGCAGTGACAAGATAAAACACAGTAGTTCTAATGAACCGTAGGCGTGAACTTTGTCAAGACGCAATGGAGAAAATGACTTAATATTAATATCATTTGAAAAAGAGGACAAAAAAATGGTAAAAAGTGAGATCAATGCAAATGAAAACGATATCATTAATGTAAAAAAAATACATGATGGTTAAATATATATTTTTGTGATATAAAATCCAACATTGGGCATATATGAAAATTATATCTCCCTAAAAACTTTAAATTTTAAGTTTGTTACCATTTTTTTTTTGTTTTTAATTGAAATTTTGAGGAATATGTATGTTTTTAAAGTACTTAAACAATCTTTGGTAAATCCGCACACCCCGGCACTTAAAACACAAATGCAATGAATGAAATGACGTGAGTTTACCATTCCAACCAAAATCCACGGCAACGTCACTACAAGATGTGAGAAACATAGTAGTTCAAACGAACCCTCGAGAGATGATCTGTTAGGTACGAGCAAGCATCCACACACAAATATTTACAAAAGGAAAACAACAAAACGATCTCGTAAAGCCTCAAAACCTGCAAGAATTTACAAACACCTCATTTCCGTCGTACTTACATCACCGGGTTTGCAGTGCCTCAACACGTAATTATCCAAACACTTCTCCACTTGGATACAGGGGCTGCTGTCTATAACTTTCAGCCAATCGGCGGGCAGCTGCTCGTTGTACTTGTCGGCGTAATCCAACTGCAATTGCCATCCCCAGATCCCTGGAGAATAGACACGAAAAAATAACGTTTTCGTTTTAAAATCGATTAACACTACTTACCGTGATGGTGCTTTTCCAGCATCGGCGGGATCCTCTCTAGAATGTCTTTGTCGCTAGCCAACAGGAGCGACTTCTTGCCATACTTGTGGATGAGGTCTTTCAGTGCATCTTCCGAGCAAAAACGTTCTGCGGCGATGGGACTGTCGAATTCCTCGGGGTAACTCGTGTAGGTGTGTTTGCCTATCTGAAAACGTACGCTTGGTCAAATTTCGTACATTGCGCACTAAAAAAGGAGTACCTTTATCCTGCACGTGTACATACGGTTTCGCTTGGTTTTCATCAGCTTGGAAGACACTTCTAACTGCCCGATTTTATTCAGTTCCACAAAATTCTTCAAGTCCACCACCGGATCTCCCACTGGGACGAACTCGATGGCCTTGAAAAAAATGTTAAATCGAAAAGTTTCAATTTCAAACTACAGTAGTTCTAATGAACGGTAGGCGTTCAATATTTTTTTACGAATAAAACAACAAAACATATGAAAAAACCGTTAATATTTACACATCTGCTTGAGTAAAAGTTGTAAGTATGCAAAACATATATATTGAGTAAAAATTTGCTCAATAGGATTAAATTCAGGCACTAATACCGGTTTATGAAACAAAACAATGCTGATTATGCAACAAACTACAACCTATCTGATCTTACCTTGGGTAACGGGACATCCTGAAGGGGGACGTCGAAAGTGGGACTGCTCGCCGTACTTGCCGTGGAGGAATTCTCGCTAACAGGACTACCCCTTCCCATGCTGACCTGCCTCTCGATGCTCAACTCCGACATCTTCTGCGTGATCCTCTTCTTGGTGCTGCTCAAGGAGCACGGTTCCTGCTTCCCGTTACTCTGGCCGGCATCCTGAGAAACCTGCGACACCAAATGCAGTCTGCTGTTGGTGCTCACGTTCCTCGGCGGTTCCGAGTTCTGCCTCTGCAGGTTCGGATTATACTTCGGGTAGAGGTTCGAGGTTTCCGGCACGACGATTTTCGACGCCACCGAAGGCTTGTTGTAGCCGGATCGGTCGATGAACTGATTGTGGGACACTTTGGCCAGTCGTGGGGGGGTGTTGTGGTAATGCCGCCTGCCCCAGGCGCCCACATTCTTGGGCCGCCAGTTGGACGGATTGGCGGGAGCGCCATTCAGTGTGAACCGCTCCATCTTCCGAAAGCTGCTGAAACGAAGAGGATGGAATTTATAGGGACAAGCTCGATCGTACCGACTTCTGTAAATTTATTATTCGTTACTTACACTTTCTTTTTATCTTGTTTCTGTTTTTGTACCATCTCTGTTATGTGCGCAGACTTTTGACAAATTTTGGCATCCACGAACGTTTCCCCATTGACGCCCTTGCTTATAACCAGTGTCGGTACCGATTGGATGAAATCCTCTAGTCTTTTAAACCCTAGTTTAAAATAGGGAATTCTTTCGCCTATCAGGGTGCGGTAGTCGTCTAGAAAATTGTAAAGTTAGGGTATTCCCACAGAACTGCATGGTATCTAATAAGTGGCCTTGAAATGCTATTTATAAGTTTAATCACTTTACAAATACAGACAGGATGTTTTCAAACGATTAAAAATCGCATAGATGATAACAGAAGTTGTAAAAACAAAATTACTTATAATTGAAAACAATTCTAGTTTGTTTTTTTATTGTAAAAGTTACTTTTAGTTTAACTAACTTACTGTCCAATTGCCTGAGTTCAACCTTTCCCTTGGTGGAAATAAGGCAAGCTCTAACGCCAGATATCACTTCATTCCTTAGGTTTTCCTGGGTCGTCTCACTTTTTGATTCTGCCATGTCAGAAAAACTAAAAACGGAATGTTATAATCTTTTTTCTAGTCCAGATGTAGGCTTTATCTAATGACCATCACCTAACAAGGATATAATATATCAAAAAAACTATCTGTGTCTTTCAAAACCTAAAATTTTACAGCTTCCATACAAGCCTGTCTTGTACATTACAATTTTACAAATTGTAAAACAAAATAAGGGTATGTATAAAACTTAATGTTTTACGGATTTTTATTTATCAAAATCGAAAATATGAGATAATTCCTAAGGAAAATTACAAATGAAAAAGTGCATATAAATTAAAAGCCAATAATAATGTTTTAGCTGTGATGTCATACTTGATAGCATTATCTTTACATAAGTGAACCAACTTTATCCAGATCTTGGCACCATAAAATTCAAACCTTGGAAATACATATTTAAATTAAACGAACTTTTAAATTGAATAACTAAAAATTACTGACCTGGATATATGCACAAAAAAACTATACAAAATGCGTTTCCCATATAAAAAAAAATCTTAAGAACTAAAGAGGAGACATCACAAAACCTTGTGACGGCCACACAAAAAGTAAACCACCTTTCAAAAGTGAACTTGAATATCAATTAAAGAATTCCTTATGCAACATCACCCACTGCCACAGTTAACAGCTCTACAACAGCTATTCAAGCAGACAGAAAAGGAAAAGCTATCACTGTCCCATATTATGCTTGTAGAAATTCTTATGCACTTCACTTGCACAAGAATTTATGTGACAGAATGCTTACCACCCAGTATAAACACTCCACTTTATTGTCCAACTCATCAAAATGCTATTTATCAAACTGGCATGTTAACTGGTTCAACAATAAACATTGCAATGATAAGGATGGGTTATGTATTTTCTTGGACACGAATTCGTGTGTAAACTAAAATTTTAGTCCCTGATGACTAGCATTTGGTAATATAACTGGTCCTAGGTCGGGTCAATCGCAATTTTAAACGAGAGACGGACTGTTGCATTTTTAGCAAGTGTAGAAAGGACGGCGAATTTTTTGGCACTGAAAAAGCTATCGTAAAAAAACTTGTTCGACCTCGGACAATGACTACACATCAGGTATCGAGGAACTAATGAATTTCAATTACTACAGTGAACTCTAAAGGAAGTACATACTCTGGCCCACTTTAAAATAGCGAAAACATGCTAAATTCTAACCTACATAACTACGGAAATGTCAAAATAGAAATGGCATCAGTTAGAACACAAAATACGTGTACTTACAGAATTCTGATGACTCAGCACTTTGTATTTGGCATTACAAGTCACGAAACCGAACATTTATTTTCTTTCACCAGCTACAAACCTTCTTTTTGGATAAAAAAACTTTTCTTGACACTGCTTTCGATGCTTCCGCAACTACTGAAATGGAGGGAAATTGAAACGTCCAATAGTGGTGCGAGTCACGTGCGAAATTTACAAAGTAATCTTAAAAACCTGAAGGAATCTTTAAGAAATAAATAAAAGTATTGGAAAAACTTTATAGTATATTAAAACGTATGTATTAGAGCACAGAAATGAATTTTTCAACTTTCAAACTATATATTATCGATAAAGTAGGTTTCCTTTACAGGTCTAAAGATAGATATCTCTTTTAACGGCTACCGATTTGAACTGCTGTCAAATTTCAAATAGAAAGTTGAAATTGGATGTGTTAAAAAGTTTTTAATCTGCATTTTCCGCTTTGCTAAGAGAATCACTAAAAGTAATAAAATGTCTAGAAGAGGACGAAATAGAAGGCTCAATATCGCCATTTCCCAAAACGTAAGTGAATTTATTGTATAATAACTAATTTTAGGATTATTTTTTGCTGTTGCCCCTCGTTTTTAAACTTTCTATTCCTCCCATACATATTTTAAATTATGTGTCAAATACCAAAACAATTTTTTTCTATATTTTATTTTATTAAACATCTGTATAAATAAAAAACTTGGATAAGGCACCTATAAAACTAGGAATACATTAAGTACATAACAAATGCTTTAAAAATTTAGTACTTGAAATTAATCATCTTCATCTTCTTCGCCAGGCTTCTTGATAACACCCCACTTCTCGGCTTCCTCCAGAGCTTTCGAGGCGATTTCCACAATTTGTTTTTCTTGCGAGTCAAGTGGCAACTTGGATAATGCCATAAGTATCTCCATAATATCCGTCTCGATAAGTTTCTCAGATAATTCTTTTGAACTAGTTATGATGTTATAAACCACACAAACCCCGCGGTACTGCATACTCGCTAGGGGATTGGCCAGCAGACAATGAAGAGAGTCCAACCAATTTTTCGAGTCAAACACCTTCTCGCAGCATTTTTTGCTTGCACCCGTTATTATAGCAAGCATTCCGGCGGCTGCCATTGCCGTGTCCTTATCCTCGTCCAGGCAGAGAGACACCACATACTTAACTCTATCGTTTTCCCCTTCAAACATCCTTATCACCTCCTCCGACTGCGTCATATTACACATACACTGCGTGGCAGCTCGACAGATGTACTCGTGGTCTTCAAACATGTAGTGCTCGATTTTCGAGAAGCCTTCTTCCTTTAAGATCCGCTGCCGGGCGACTTCGCTCATCTGAGCGATGTTACAGAGTGCCATGAGGGACTCAAAGTTTTCCAGACCGTTACAATCGGGATGTAGGAGCGAGATGAACGGTCGGATGACTTCCAGGGCCCTTTGTCCTGGAAATGCCACTTCTGGGTTCATCGTGATGCCTATCCTGGCGAGGGCTTGTGCCGCTTGTCGTTTTCCTTTGTCGGTGCCTTTCAACGCCAGCGAAATCAATACTTTCACTCCGCCCTGCGCGACTACCACACCTCTAAGTTCGTGCTCGCTGCACAGAGCGTTAAACACCCTCGAAATCAGTTCCCTTGAATTGTTGCTTTCGGTTTTGGCCAGAGCTACCAACGCTGTGGTGAAGTTTGCTTTTCCCAAGGCCAATATTCGTTTCGTGACAAAGTCGGGATCGTCCAGTTCGTGTTCTTGGGGGATGTGTTGCTTTGCGAACTTTGCCAGCTCGATCATCTCCGGGATGACTTCTTGTTTTTCGTAGGCGTTGCAAAGGTTCACCAGGGTGGTGACCACTCCGAAAAGCACGGATTGATCTCCGGTTTTCGCCAGTTCCACTAACGCTTGTAAAGCTGGTTTATCCTCGACCAATTTCTCTTTAACTTCGGCGTCCAGCGTTAAATACGACAGTCCCTCTGCCGCCCACTTCCTTATATCCTGATCTTTGCCGGGGTGTAGCAGGAATCTCCGACAAGCCTCTGCTAGTTTTACAGTTGAGCCCTCGGCGAACGGTTGCAAGGACGCGTCGCTACCCCCGGAAGCGCCCAGTTTGCACAGCCCTACTAGAGCCCTTATGCGGAGGTGTTCGTTTTTGGACTTGTACAGTTGTTTGAGGATGTTCACCCCTTGGTTTATTATCGCTTTGGCTTTGTCGGCTTTGCTAGCGGCGGCGATGATGCACTCGCAAGCAACCTTTTGCTGCAGTTCGTCGTCCGTATTTGCCATTACCAGGATCATCTCCATTATGCCTTCCTTTCCTATGATGGTGTTGCCGATATCCAAGGGTCCACGGAGGAGGGACGTTATGGCGACGGTGACTCGAACTTTGGACTCGATGTCGGGCGTTAATAGTTTGTCTTTGATGAAATCTTGAATTTTGTTCATGAATTTGTCTTTGAGGACGTCAAAGTACATGTTTTCGTATATTCTCGCCAAACAAACCGCGGCGATGGTTCTTGTGGATGGGGTGATGTTCATGGCACTCTCGTACTTGTATTCTTCTAGTTCACTGGCACATTCCATCAGTCGTTCTACGCCGCCTATGTCGACTAGTTGTTCCGCCCAGTTGAGTTGGTTGTAGTGGATGTTTCTCATAATCAGTTCGATCAAGGCGTCTCTGGCCAGACCGCTTATAGCTCGGTTGTTTACGGAATATACCAAGCAGGTCAGGAGGGTATCGATGTGTTTCTTGTTCTTTTCCACAAGCTCCTCCTTGGGCTTCGTTTCGGGTTTATTTTCCATGCCGGAGAACGAGTTCAGAACAGTTTGCATGCAGTGCTCTGCCGTGTTTACCTGTTTCTCGTCGTTGGAGTCCAGTATTTCCAAGAACCAAGGTATCCCGACGTCTTTCAACACTATTTTGGTCTTCTCGTCACCGTGTTTACATAACTCCCCCATGATCCTGATGCCGGTTATGAAAATTTCCTTGTTCTTCTCAACTTTGAGAAGTTTCTTAATCTGTTGCACGATAGTGGATTTGATCATAAGTTCAGCACCTGCGGTTTCTCTCGCCAGCACCAGTAAATTGTTCATTGCCGTTTCTCTTTTATCCATTGTCTCTGTCAAATCGAAAGCTATCTTCATCATACTCTCCAATTTACTGCTGGTCTGCGCGTTGTGTATAGCACGTTCCTGCACCACCTTGTGCAGCCTTTCCAGTACAGGTTGCACCGTTTTGTTGGTAGGATCGTCTTTGAATATTTGTGTGGCATCTCTGTAGGCCTCCTCGTACCTGTCGAGGGCCTCCAGGGCTTGGCACCTTCTGAACAAGGCTTTGGGGTCACTGGGGACGATCTGTAAACTTTTGTCGCAGTCTTCTAGCGCAGCTTTGTAGTTCTCCTGTTTGAGGTAAGCAGCCGCTCTGTTTTTGTGGTACACTGAAAGCTCTCGAGTTTCGTTCGGTGTTAGGTGTATTGCTTTGGTGTACAGCTTGATGGCAAGGTCCCAGTTGTTGTTCTTGAATGCTTCGTTTCCTTCTTCCTTGTATTTCTGAGCTTCCTCTACTTCGTTGGTGCCCATTTTTATCACAATCTTCACACTTTTTTCGTTATTTTATAGGTTATGATGCGTCGCGATTACTTTATTTTTGGATAAAACGACGTGCTCCCTTTTTTTATACTGAAAGATTGAGGTTCTGGCACATTCCCGATTCTCTTGAACGTCTATTTTTAAAGAAGAGTTTAAATTTACTAAATTTAGATTTGGCAACTAAAATAACCTGTTTATTTTCGTTTTTTCTAGTTCTAGTCTACTGTAGAAGATACATGCAAGGCGGTTTCGATTGGGTGCTCTGAACTATCGAGCTTTTTGTTAGAATCAGATTTTTTAATATAAAATGATAAGATTTACTTAAATTTCAATACTAAACAAAACGTTTGACAAATTTTATTCAATATATGTTCTGAGTGGGTTTACCCATGAAGATTTACCTTTCTGCGGGGTTACTTCTCGTATTTCATTACCCTATAAGAACGAGCTTATGGAATACGACTATGTTTATGACAGATATGTCAGATGAAATGATATACCACTTTATTTATATACACATTCCACATACTTTTTCAAATAATCTGTAAAACAAAATTTAAATAATCGTTTTAATTGTAACTGTGTAATTAATTAACTGCAAAAATGGTGAGTAAATTTATTTCTTACTTTTTTTTGTATACAAAATTATTGAAGTGTACTTTAATATTCTAAAGCAACTCTCTATATCCTAATTTTTAGTTCAGCTTCAACATGTTCCCGGAGATACCTCGACCCTTCAACACCACGTACCACTGCTACTCGGTGGCTATGCTACCCGGCAACGAACGTCAAGATGTGGAACGTGGAGGAAAAAGTATTAACGCGCCTCTTTGACGGTTACCCAGTATATAAACTTTGTTCATTTCAGTTATCATGCCTCCTTCCGCTCTGGAACACCTCACGAGGCTCAATATTAACTACCCGATGCTGTTCAAGCTCACCAACAAAAAGACGAACCGAGTAACTCACTGTGGGGTGCTGGAATTTGTCGCTGACGAAGGGAAGGTCTATCTGCCGCTCTGGGTGGGTGAAATTTTGTGTACATCGTCATTAGTTTGTTTTTATTTGGAACAATTTTGTAGATGATGCACAATATGGTCCTGGAAGAGGGCGATCTGGTGCAGATGGAGAGCGTTTCTTTGCCGGTAGGGACGTTTTCCAAGTTCCAACCGCTGAACCCCGATTTCCTCGATATAACCAATCCCAAGGCCGTCCTAGAGAATTGTCTGCGTTCTTTCGCCTGCTTGACCACCGGCGACGTGATCGCCGTTAGGTACAATCAGAAAAGTTACGAGTTGTGTGTGTTGGAAACCAAACCCGGGGACGCTATCAGTATTATAGAGTGCGATATGAATGTAAGTGGAATTTTTGCACAGGTATTTATGTAGGCAATGTATAAACGAATCGATTATGGGTGTCCCTTTTATGCTTCAAGTCAATTTTTTTTGTTTTCCTGTGACTGCAGCACAATTCAACTTTTTTCAAGTTCTACTCATGCGTTATTAATACACTATAGCAATAAGACAAATAATAATAATTATAGTGCTGTTAATTTCGTAACTTAAGTCAGATGGAAGATAAAAGTTTTCTGCTTTACGACCAAGCCAAATGCAATTCTTTAACCTATAATTTTCCATAAACTCCAAAATTTTCTTACATATCTGCTACAAATTTGTTATTGAATTCATATTAAAATGCACAAACGCCACGTAATGAGAAAAAAAATGTTAATAACTATTTATGTCGCAGAAAATGCTTTTTTATTTGTTTTCCTTCAATAGCTCGGTTGGATTGAACTCTGTAAAGAAAACGCAAGAGATCATTTTTGTTCTAAATGAAATTTTGTACAGGATAGCATCGCTCCGATTTTTTTTTATTTCAAAAATAAGTTTGCAATTAACAAAAAATGGCAAAAATCGACGTTTTTCTTAAAATTCTCGCCAATTTTCTAAAAATTAATTAAAGCCCATGAAACTTTCGGAAAATATTCCTCGATTCATGTATAATAAGCTCCCGAAATTGGATATATGATTCGATTATGGCTTATTGACAATATTTATACATAATACTTTCCGCAAACTTTAGAATGATGGCAAAATTTTTCTAGATTTTGCATCCTTTTGAAACTTTGTGAATATACAGGGTGTCCAGGAAAATGTGGGAAATCTCTCGGGTGCAGATAGAACATGAAAAACTAATGTGACAAATTTCCATAAAATTTAATAATAAAATAAATAGATTTTTCTCGAATAATTTTTGAATAAGTACTTGATAAAATTTAATAAAAATTTTATGTGATGGACACTAGTAAGGACCTCTTAAAATAGTGTCCTTGAAACATATTTAGCTTTTTTAGTTTACCAGGGGCTAAGCTTTACAACTTAATGCCTAAATTTTTAACACCCTGTATGATAAAGACTTTAAAATAATAAATCTGGGTAGCTTCAACATTAGATTAAAAAAAAGGTAGTCTTCTTTATTGTCGATAAAATGAACCGTTTACGAGAAAAAGAATAATCAACAAATTCATGTTTTATTTTAAATAAAAAGGACCATTTTTATTTTTTTTCTTACCCCTTATAAACCACCCTTATTGCAGAAAATAAATCAAAAATTTTTTTACATCTTCATAGCATTTATAATGAATGAAAGACTCATCACTGTTTATAATACTCGTTTTACTGATGATTCATTGCAACATTTCAACCCTTAAAAACAACCCTTAATGAGGAATTGAAGAATTTTTACCTGCTTCAAAACACAACAATACATTACTAAATTCAACGAGATTACTTAAAACTCGAAACTTAAATTATGTAATTAGTGTGTATTACGCTTCGGAAACTATCAGAAATTAAGCCATTTCTACGATCCGACAATTTTCACTGAATAATACAATTCGTTTTTTCACGATAACTTTTTTAATTTTTATTATTTTTCATCGCTCCAAAAAGCAATTTGCAGGGAATTGCAAGAGCTACAAATCAACCTTTGTAGTTGAAGGGTTTTGAACTCTTCGTTTTCGAGATTTTTAGGTTTTAAGGGCTCAAAGAAGGTGGTCCTTATACGCAAATGCAATCTAAAAAACGTAATCTCAGTTAATTTTTGCTTTACAGAAAAAATGAAAGAGAGCAAACATAAAAAAATACCTTTAATTTTGAACGCTTGTATTTTTCACGTATCTTGTTTAGTTTTTGAGTTATTTTGAAAAAAAGGAAATCTTTTTAAAGATTAAAAAATTATTTTTTTTCAATATTTCAAACTTTTTTTAAATTTAGGCATTCTAAACCGGTCAAACTTGCAGAGCCTATTATTAGTACCTAAATAAAGTCAATTGTACATGGGTTACGCTTAGTTTCTATTTTTGTGGTTCAGCCATAGATTTTATTGTTGATTTGTTCCCCGAAAAAATGAGATGACCATTTTATTTTCATCATAACTCCGCGAGTTTTTGAGCTACGAAATTTTTTCAAAAAGCATTTTAAAGGTCTTTCCAAGCACTTTAAAAAAGGTTGTATTCATTTTCTTCAAAAAATTGGTTCTTTCGTCATTATTTTACGGTAAATGGTTCGATTTTACTTTCCGAAAAATAAACAATCGCTTTTAGAGAGTGATAACTCGGTTATTATTACATCTACGGAATCAACAAATAATGAATCGATTCATTATTTCAAAAGCTTTATATTTGCTCCATATGGGTTTTTCGATAAAACGCAAGGTTTTCGAGTTATTTATCAAAAATGGTTGAAAAACATACACTTTTTAGATGAAAAATCGGCATTTTCAATCGAAAATAACTGAAAATATTAATTTTTGGTAAAAATGTTATAGAACATTTTTTGCTTAGAATTTATCCCTCTATTGATTTTTGCGATTGAAATGCACTACACACATTGGCACTATGTAACTTACAATTTTCTACTTACTGTTAAAAATTTCACGTCAATCGGTGCATGTGTCAAGAATTCAGACCTATCATATACTGAGCTATTTGTAAAGTTCGATTTTATTAATTTTTACGCATTTGTGAATAGTCCACGGGCCCACGTATAAAGAAAAAAATGATTACCAGCAAGCTGTAACTTTGCGTGACGTTTAAGTTTGACGAATCTCCAAAGATTTGACTACGAGGAAAATTCAACAGTGGTAAGTTTTCCCGTGATTTTCAGGAAAACATGTCAATCTGGCATAAACATGGAATGTTATGACCAGCACTTTTTTTTTAAGTTTAAATGAAAGATATTTTTTTAAACTCCCCAAAAAATTTGTCCGACAAAAATGTTGGTATTTTGTTTGTCCTCCACCCCAATTATGTCGATTTGGTGACATTATGGTTGGTGACAACCAGCAAGCTGATTTTTCTGGGAGGGTTTTGTAATATGATTTAAAATGAAAGTATCTTATTGTCCGACAAAATTCTTGAGAAGTTTTTGCAGTCCGACGCCCCGAAGATGTCGACTTGACAACATGGTTGGTGATAACCAGCTGTCGGACAAAAGCGTCATTATTTAAAAAAATGCAATATTAATCTGAGAATTTAATTGTCCGACAAAATTAACGTTTTTTTTTTGCTTGTCCGACAAAATTAAACGATAAAATTTTTCGGTTTCAATACTTACGCATGATGTAGAAGAAAAATTTATATTTAATAAAATTAATAATTTATTAATTAATTTGTTTTATGTTCAATACTTATATAAAAATTGGACGTTCTTATTTTTATATATGATACTGGGGGTATTGTACTTTTCTATTAAATGGTAAGTATGTCGAGATATATTTGGATATCTTACCATATGAATCTGAAACATTTTTTAATATGTGCAGTACGTAAATTCCTCTTGAAAAGAGAAACATTTTTTTCCTCTTCCATTTTTGTCTCCAGGCTTTCATTTTCAAGATATCAAAACTTTTTTTCAGATTTTTGCCAATATCTTAGAAATCGTTTGAACTACAGGACTGAGCTTTTATACACACATTACCACTATTAATTAATAGCTACTTGTTGCAAATGCTGTTAAATTTCGTTAAAATTTTTAATTATTACTACCCGTCTTTTAAATTATAAAATATCTTCAAAATGTCAGCAAAATGTTTGTTTTTGTTCAATAAAGTCATTTTTCTTGAAAACGGTTGACTTTAGAGCAATGAACCAAGAGAACTCTTTTTGTCTAAAATTCATTGGCGCTTCAAAATTTGCTATCAAATGTTCATTTTTCCAGTGGCGTAAAAGTTGGTAGGGAAAAACCCTTACGATACCTTAAAATCTCCACCACTGGCACGTTCAGTGAATTCGAGAAGGATGCGAAAAAGTAACTATTAATAGTGGTAATGCATGTACAAAAACTCAGTCNAGCGGTGAAGTTTCTTAAGTTTGGACGAAAATCAAATAATTGACATATTCCACTTGTCTTATTGCTGTCATTTGTATGCTACTGTCCATTAAGTATTATTCGTACCTAAAATTACATCTTAATTTAAATTGTATGTACATAAATGTGAGATGGAATGCCGAGACTTCCGTTTTTGGGGTTACATGAAATCAGTTGATTATGGAGAAACTATAAACACCTGTGAAGAACTTTGGCAGCAGGATTTAAATGCTCCAGTCATTTCGCATTAAGGATTTATACTTTACAACAAGACAATCTTAATAAACGCGTTGATAAATGTATAATAATATTTTTAAAATTGGTATAATTGGTTTTTCAAGAACAAAACTATGTGTAAACTGTTTGTCAAAACAAGATTGCAAATTTTAATTTAAAAAACGCAAGCATTCATTGTACAGTTACCATTTTTTATAAAATAGTTACAATAGTTTATAAAATAAAATGTACATATAAGTTTTTTGAACAAAGAAATCATTTTGATGGAGATTAATTAAATTAATTAGACATAATTATTTATGAATTTCAATTTCTGTTGCTCCTGTTAACAAAATAATTTTCTTATTTATTCTTTTTTATTTTTTCCTTAAAAAATTAATTATTTTATAGCGGAACGAACATTAGGTACCACAAAAAGTAATTTTTTCCATTTTTAAGGCAAATTTTCCAATCCTTTTGGCGGACAAATATATTTCAATTATGTATTAGAGAAAAAAATCGAAACCAGATTGCTGGTTATCACCGACCATGTTGTCGTTAAGTCGACAACTTCGGGGCGTCGGACTGCAAAAACTTCTCAAGAATTTTGTCGGACAATAAGATCATTTCAAATCTTATTACCAAACCCTCCCAGAAAAACCAGCTTACTGGTTGTCACCAACCATAATGTCACCAAATCGACATATTTGGGGTGGGGGATAAACTCAAAATACCAACATTTTTGTCGGAAAAATTTTTTGAGGGGTTTAACAAAAATATATCTTTCATTTAAACTTAAAAAAAAGTGCTGGTCATAACATTCCATGTCTATGCCAGATTGACATGTTTTCCTGAAAATCACGGGAAAACTTGCCACTGTTGAATTTTTCTTGTAGTCAAATCTTGGGAGACTCGTCAAACTTAAGCTGCACGCAAAGTTACAGCTCGCTGGTAATCATCTTTTTCTTTGTACGTGGGCCCGTGGATTAGAAGGTTTTATATGTGGTCACAGCTTTTTACCTGAACGAAAACCTTAGTTTTCACAGTAAATTTAATTTTTTTTGTAATCGTATAGACGGATTTTGAAAGAGCATCAAAAACGCGTGATTTAAAGATCTTTTAACGTTCTATAGACTTTGAATGTTGAATTCGGCAGCAGTTCCCACACTTGAGTGTGGATTTTCCTCAACGGCATTTAAAACGGCTTCTACCACTTCCTTACAGACCGCGAACGAGCGTGTTCTCTGGTATAAGCTAAAAACCCCTCTAGTTTATTGAAGTATAAACAAACCACTTTGGAACTAACAATTAAAAGCTTTTTGCTCCCGTTTAGGTGGAATTTGCCGCTCCCGTCGGCTACAAGGAACCGGAAAAGCAGAGGAAGGAGGAGGAGGAGATGGCCGTCGACCCGGCCGATCTCATGCCGGAACCGTCGGGCTTCGTGGCCTTCCGCGGTGCCGGGAACCGCCTGGACGGCAAGAAACGGAAGGAATCCACGACGTCCGACTCCGCCACCCCTAAACCCGTATACGTAAAGGGCATTCCGGACTACGATTACCAGATAGGCACGCTGAGGTTCATCAGGAGGCCGGTGAAGCAGAAGAGTAACGAGGGGGAGGAGGGTAACGAGTTCAAAGCTTTCAGCGGAACAGGATTCAGTTTGAGGAGTAGGAATTAAATTAGAGGTTGTTACGTCCCGATGTGTGGTTACGTAGCAGGATGTGTTATAAATAAGTGTATTTTTATTTCAATAAAGTATTAGTGTATTAAAAATCGTGTTTTTGTAATACGCAGGGTGAAACGTTGAATGGTTGGATGATAGGAGGACATGCGGGTTTGTTTTCTTAAATTCCGTTGTGGAAATTCAATTTTTTTAGCTTTTTCGTAATTTTCATACCCTACTTTTGGCCACCGTACACATTTGCTGGGAGCACTTACCCAGTTTTTATTCATATACATTAAGGTGGCCCAAAAAAACGAAATTTTTTTTTTTCGTGTTGTGAAAATATATTAGTTTATCATGTTTTAAGAGCCCCCTCAAAAAATCAGCTCAAAAAAATTTTTTTTTAGAGGTCGCTCAAGATTTTTAAAAATTTCCAAAAACGTCAAAAATTGAATTTTTTTTAAATTTTTTTTCTCGTTTTATTATTTTCTAGGTTGAAAAAAATCTCGATTCTAAAAATTTCAAGTCGATATTTTAATTTCTAAGTCACTCATAATTATTTTAACTTTCAAAGTAATGTACCTGTTTTCGAACGACCTTTAAAAAATAAATATCAACGAACTAATAATTTTTTTTTATTGAATTTGATGAACAAAAGAATAGAAATAAATCACGACACTTAAATTTTAAAAAATTAAAAAATTATAGTTTTGTTAGAGTGCGATAGTAAATTTTGCCTCGAGAAATTTTTTAAGTGTCGTGATTTATTTCTATTTTGTTCATCAATATCAAAAAAAAAAAATATTAGTTTGTTGATATTTATTTTTAGGTACACCACTTTTAAAGTTAAAATAATTGTGAGATTTTTTTCAACCTAGAAAGTGATAAAATAGCGAGAAAAAAAATTTAAAAAAAATTAAATCTTGACAATTTTGGAAATTTTTAAAAATCTAGAGCGACCTCTAAAAAAAATTTTTTTGTGCTGATTTTTTGAGGGGGCTCTTAAAACATGATATACTAACATATTTTCATAAGAGACACGAAAAAAAATATATTCGTTTTTTTTGAGCCACCCATGTTTTTTTATAATGTACAGAAATTCAACAATGAAGACGCACAAACACAGTACCGCCATTAAACACTGAAATAAATAACTTTGTGGTTCTAAATTTACACCATACCAAATACTCACTAAACACCATATTAAATTTTACTATAAAATTAAACTTAAAAAAAACAGTGCACTATACGAATTATATAGGGTGTCCCACCAGGAATTGCCACTATCGATATGTCGGAAAGAACTGATCCGATAAATCTGAAAATTTGACAGCTTAGCAAAGGCAGTAGTGCCAACACAGCTAAAATTAGAAATTTATGGCTTTTCCGGTTATACCGAAAGTCGACATTAACATTTATTATTTTAAATGGAACACCCTATATATTATTACATTTTATTAAATATTCCCTATACTTAGGAGTTATAGATTTTGAGATATTAATTTTTAAAGAAAAAACTTGACAGATGCAAGGATCTGCGGAGACGCTAGTAATTCTTTTCAGGAGCGCGACATCAAGTGGATTTTTGGTACCTGTAAAGGGCATAGGTAACACTAAATTATGGTATACCAACAAATTAAAACAATTAATACTAGGTGTTTAATTTTTGCTGTTACATTTTGATAAGTTCAAACAGCTATAACTTTGTTAATTTAAATGGAACACCCTGTATTTTTACTCTGTCGTATGCAGATTTAAATTTCCTTTCAAGACGTGTAAGCATTGTTAGGGTTGCCATTACTACTTTTAGAGATATTTGCAATTTTCTATTTTTTGGACAGTTTTTCTCATATCAGATCTATTGTCAAATTGGCCATGACCAGAAACACTCCAAAAACAATTGAAATAACTTGACATTTGTCCAAGTTAGTTGTCAAATTATTGTTGTGTTATAATTATAATTTGACTAATTATGAATTTAAAAAAACAATTAGATTAGTTTTCTACGGAATACAGATACACCCTGTATATTCTATCTATTTTAATACATGTTTGAAAAAACATTTCAGAACTTGCGAAAAATCTATTTTCCCACCAAAAATTGGAGTTTCTTCGTAATTCCTTTTAGCGTTTTCTCGATTCCGACAGATGGCAGCGCCATATAATACGAAGTCACATCCAATTTTTACTCTTCTATTAATAGTTCGTACATTATTAATTCGTTTTTTAATTTCAAAGTCAAATTGGTAGCTAATTATGTACTTATTTATGTTATTAATTATCTGTGAAGTATTATAGTATTAAAATTAGGTGATTGACTCAATGTAGTTCATCCGTTTGTGAGGAGATGGCGCTACATACAATTCAGTCGAAACACAGATGAGTCGAATGAACAACTGCAATCATCTCAATATAATTTTCGGATCAATTCATTTTAAATATTTCTGTCAAAATGTGTGAGTGTTTTCTGTCATTTTAACTACACGACAAAATGAAATTAGTTTAAAAGTTATATTTTTTAATTTGACCTCATTTAAATCCTAAAAAAATAGATTTTTTGCTCTGTAACTTCAAGTTAAAATTATTATCGCATAAAATCAAGTTACCTGCTTATTTATCATTATTATTTATTACATTTTTAAGTTTTGCTATAACTATATATAATTTTATAGTTATAACTTTTGCCTTTATTTGTTTATAAAAAAGCTCCTTTCGGCGTCGACAGTGCTGCCCTCTGGTAGTGAACGGAGTAACTTGGTCTTGTTGTCTGTGTATAAGCACAGAAATCCTTAACGCATTGCTGCCCCATCAGCGTTCTAACAGACATTAGTGATTTTCCTTATTTTCTCTTAGTCAGTCATACACGTAAAATTACATATTATTATAAGAATTTATATTATTAGTTACCAAAGTAGGTACATACTTACCAATTTGTAATAGTTCAAGAAGACCCCTACAGAAGACCCCTACAGGTGGCGCTGCATGTCGGAAACGCAATGGTGACTGCTGTTCGAAAGCGTCGGTTTTTTCTTTTGAAAAATTAAAGTAGTTTAGTGTTTAGTGTTTAGTGAATTCCTCCAAGAACGAGAGAGAAGCTTCTTTTTATGTACTGTACAGACTATCCAATTAAACAGTCCTGATTTTTATGTACAATTTTGTTCAAGGCGCCAAAGGTATTGATAAAATAACTACAAATATAAATTATTGCCAGATGGCAATAGCAAGCCCTCTTTTACGCACTTACTTTCAAAGTTTTTGGAACATTTTTAAATCTCTTTTAGTATGGCTGTTGTAAATATCGAAATCGTATATTGAAACGTTAATTTAGAAATATCTAGTCTGTCAAATATACAATATGGCGTATCTGCATATTCTTAAGATGCAGCGGGTTTTCAGGCAATGTGAGGTAAATAAAAAATTTATATCAGGTCCCATTGCAACTGAAATTGTTAATTTTAAAATATTGTTTGACTTATGATGGCCTGTACTAGATTTGTGAATATAACCATTATACAGGTCATTTCAGGATTAAGTCGACAAACTTTGAGGAGATATTCCTTAATAAGTAAAAAAATGTACATATAGATAAGGAAATTAAATGAAACACGTAACGGCAATGAGAGTATTATTGTTCATAAAATGAAAGTACCTAAATTAAAGCATAACTAATTATAACTAAAAATGGAGCATGAAAAAGTGACCAAATGAAAATAAATTCTTTAGAAAATACGATTTTTGAGGGTATCGACAATAATCCATAGCTTTCACGATCTTTCTATACAAAATAGTGTGTCAAAAAAACAATGTATCTGTAACACTACAAGTATTGTTTCGACTCGTCATTCCAAACCGATTCTGGAAAGCAATAAATTGACGTTCCCGATCGCCGCGATGCGACTCGGAAACAAATGCAACTCGTCCGCCGCGCTGATCTCGCAAACGCCGGCACACTTTGGGGACATCTCATTTAAATAACATCGGAATTAAGATACACGGACGATCCCGCGGCCGCAGCCGCCTTATCTGCTCGCTCACTTCGGCCATCTACAAGGCCCGGCTCACTAGATGCCCTCTCGGACGCCGTCCTCGACAAATGGGCCGCCGCGCGTTTGTTTTATTTGCGCCACAGCTCACTGGGACCGGCTCCGAACGATCCGAATGATAATAATAAATAGGGCTGTGGAAGTTGACGTCGCAATAGGGCCGTAATGACGTCACATCGTTAGGTGCAGTGGCGTAATTTCGACTTGAGGTGTAAGTTGATCGTAGTCTACGTAAATTTTTATACTTCTCCAATTTTTTTTGTCTTCGTCTTGTACGAAATGATATCAACTCAACCTCTTTATATATTTCGACAAATCTTGACTGGCACCTACGTGTTTATTTTCCGCTAAATAACATCTAACATGTTTTCCTGTAATTTTTTTTGTGGATACCTACCAACCTACCTGCATGTGCATTGTGGCGAGAGAATCGCGACGTGACAGCAGTGAAGGTGCAATCGGAACACTCTCCTATTAGGGCCAAATCGAATGTCATGTTCGTTTAGGAATAACAGCTTTTATTTTTTTTTTTTTCCTGTGAAACGCGCTCCAAAGTATTGGGTTTCACTGTAGGTCTTGTCGTCTATCTATCCCTACAGGTTTCTTAGCCGGGGACATCACACAGAACATTTATTTTCCAGTTATATGTTGGGTTCCTGAGCCCATCTAGGTTATTTTAAGAGATACAAAGTCAAATTAGGCCGAAGTGGCGGTTTCGATATCGAATAACAATCCGAAAGAGTCGAAAACAACATTTTCAGAATACAGTGTATTTTAATGATAACAGACCAAGGGCGTTGCCAGCCAATGGGCTAGGGGGGGCAAGATAAGAGAGAGGATGGGAGAAATATAAATTATAGGTAGAAATAGATACTGTGTATTAATTTTTTCAGAAATATTAATAAAACCTTTTTAATACAAGAAAAACATAAAAAATATAAATAACTTAAAAAATAAAGAAATTCAAAGAAAATTATAAAAAATATACTTAAAATTGGTGCGTTACATAATATGTATATGGCTTTAGTTGCACTGTTAAACCATTATTCTGATTCCGATATATAACA